CAGGGGAGCATAACCGGGAATGGAAAAATGCTCCGATCAGCCTTGCATTGCTACACCTGCCTCTGCCATTTCCTTCTCTCCTATTGTGAACTCTAATAAGCCCCATGATCCCTTTCAGTCCTGTTGATTTCATCCTGGGGTTGTTTTTGCTAAACAGTTTAACTCCCCGTAGACCTTTCTGTTTCTCATTGTTGAACAAATAGCTCACAGAGAACATAATATGAGCATCTACACCATGCGATCCGAAAGAAAAGAGTTGACTTAAACTACATTTTTTTGTAACACCACACTTAAATCCATTGACATGACAAATTCAGCACCATGGACAGTTCTTATCTAGACGAAGTACCTTGTATCATTTTATTAACACATTCGCTTGGTAAATGTTGGACAAATAAGATTAAAATCACCATAATAAAGCTGAAGAATTGGACTTAATTGTAATAAATTTTTCATGCAAGCATCCGTCGATATATTCTTCTCTATTATTAACATCCCAGTTCTTGCAGAGGCTAACGAGAGCTGCAAGAAAAGCCCTGGAACAATAGATTTTTGTTTATGCAGCGCTGAAGTCGGGCTATTGTGATTTTGTGTTATTATTGAGTAGAGGCTGGGGGTGTTTGCTGAATTTTCCTTCCATGAGCGTAAAATTGTGTTTTTATAGTGTTGAGCGAGGCAGTAAAAGCAATGTATATGTAAATATAAAAGTGCATGAATCCACGACTTTATCTATAATACCTGAATACACATGCATAGTAAAGTGGGCATGCTGTGCAAAAAAAAAACAGCAGTGAAAATGTTTAAGTATCAGTGGCTATGAAATATTCTCCAAAGGTCCCATTAGAAGTAGCTTATAAACAGAAGACCTTTTATTCTAAACCCTATCTTGGGCCCTATATCTAAACTAAAGCTATATTACATTTGGGAATTGGATTGCAAGATATGCTGGTGTAGGATTTCTGGGTCATTTTCATATGTGTATGTTTGTGCATTCATGATATATCCACATATGTTTAAAGTTACATTGAAATAGAATATGTTAACTTGCACTGGTTCAAACATCGACCAATTTTTATGTGAAGAGCGTCAGTACTGCGATTATCAACAGATAGCGGATGACAGCTGCCATTGGTTATAGATGACTTCCATAATTAAATCTCTTACGAGGGAAACCCAAAGAACAAAATGGAAAAATCTCACAAATGACAAATGACCCTATCATCTTTAACCCTGATATGAGATATTCTGCATAGTTATTGGCTATTCATTTAAAGGTGATCCTTATAAAATACTGCAGTCTCTGGGCTGCACAATAAGTGAAAATGGAAGGCAGTGTTAAAATACTGGTGCATTTTGGTGTAATTTTACTGCAGCCTTGATGGCAGTGGTGTCTAGGGGTAATTTTGGCTCACTAACACATACAACGCTGTGTCTGATCCAGTTCCTAGTGACTGTAGTGGCTCTTGGATTTTGGAGAGGGTCTTTTATATGTTGAATTTACAATAGTTTGGATGAACAAAGCATCCATTGTGTTGGGTTTGCAGTGCACTAAAGAAAGAAACTGCCGCTCATTATTGTTGCTGCCCATGCTAAATTATTTAGACAAAAATATGTACGTTTCATACAACAGATGTATTATGATTTTTTTGGCACAACGTTGAGCTTTTGAGAAATCCAATGAATGAAATTGAATGAATGGAAGTGTTTGGTCAGTGTGTTTAAATCAGTATGAATCATGGTAATTGTCTAAACCGATATTTGAAGCTCAGGCAGTCACTGGAGGAGCATGAATTGAGTGTTTTAGGTTTGTTGATATGCCTATCTAGAGAAAAAATAAATAAAAACAGTTCTACCACAAATCTTTGAAGTAACAGCACTACAAGTTGTACCCTAGTCTCACCATCTTTCCTCACATACACTGTGTATCTCTTTTCTCCTTTCATAAAAGATGTTTACCTACTGCATTATATTGTAGCCTCTCTACCCTGGAGGCTGCAGACTCGCACACAGACAGCGGTACTAGATATGACTGTGGCTGAGATAAAAGTGATCTCAATACAGTAGCTGAACAAACAGGGACATTGATAGTCTGCTCTCCTTCAGGCTTTTGCAGAGTCGAAAAGCCACAAACCCTCGGATCGCTGCATACTCCCCGCGTCAAGGGGGGTAATATAATCATAGGGAATTCCTGCACGTCTGTCCCGGAGCTGTCAGACTAAAGTCGCACTCCTCCGCCCCTCCTTACCCGCTAAACAGTCCCCTTCAACTCACTCCCTTTTGGTCTGTGACATCACTCTTCCCACGCGCTCTGATTGGTTGTCTGGTAAGGTGGGAAGTGGACTGTTCTCCGCAGCCTACACTCAGTCAGTGAAACCAGCAAGAGAACGTGGGAGGGAATGAGTATAGTTCAGAAAGAGAGAAAGAGAGGGAGAGAGGGAAAGAGAGCGAGAGAGAGAGAGAGAGAGGAGAAAGATTGATGCTGAGGCAAGCCGGCACCGCACTGCACGCTATCACTTCTAACACACACACACAAAACAAACCCGAACATTACACGAGCATTCACACCACACTAGCCCAGTTGCAAAAATACTGACTTAGCTTGCGGTCTCACACTGCAGGACAGGATAGCGAGGAGGACACGGGACCATTACAAGATTTTGGACACTTTTTTCTTCCCCAGAGCAACAGTTCACCACACTGTCATCCCTGGGGAGTTGTTTTGAGACACATCTCCCTAAAAAACAGCAAGGGCAGGGACAAGGTTAACTCTGTAGCTTTTTTATTGGAGATTGTGGATGTCCTCCCTACGTCCCCATGACAGCAGACAGGATCCGAAGAGGCTGGGGCACAAGATGGCACGACGCATGGGGGGCGAATCTTCCCCGAAAAGAAATAACACATCCCTCAATCTGGTGACAGGAGTCTATCACTACCTGCGTGGTAAGTGGAACAGCATACAGTGTTTTCGGTTACAAATATAGTTGTAGTAGTGTTTTACTGCAGTGTGGTACCAGCAGTCTCCTCTCTGCAGGCGAGATTGTTTTGGCCGCGGGAGGGGTGGTGTGTAAAGCTCTAGATGGGCAGACGTGGAAGGAGAGGGGGGCGTTTCCACTTTTGGCAGAGTCTGTGTCAGTGTGTGTGCGGGTTGCTCCAGCCTGCAGCAGGTGAAGCAAACACACAGGGATAAGGTCTTGGGTCCCAGAGCAGTGGGCAGATGTCTACATTTTTCTCTATTTGACCCTGTGGCTGTTTGCTGGCACATAGGGACTTACATGCAATTCATTCATCTTGTGTCTGCCGGCTTGTCCCACCGGCTTGTCTGTCTATATCCCACATTGGAGTCATAGCAAGTTGTATATACTGCATATATTCTTATATTGTTAAAAATGTTGCTGTCTCTTTGGGGTCTTGTCACAATGCATAAAAGTGATAATGGTAATGATGATGATAATGATGATTTTGTTAAGGTCATGTTCACAATGAGGGGCTGGGGGGGTTGAGTGGGGGGCTGTAATGAGACTAATTACACACAAAATAAACTATGAATTAAGCTGCATTGAATCAGTGCTGCTAGGCTTGTTTTAGCGACTATCCCTGTGTGATACTGAAAAAATGTGATTTCAAAGTCACCCTGTCCCTGCGTCTAAGGCTGGCACCACTCTCACACAAGACACTTTCTCTATGCCCCCATCTAAGATTAAACCGAGACCTTTTTCTCATTCTCTTCCGATATTACCAGACATCAATATTTGATCATCTTGGGTCCCAATCAAAAGATTAATCTATAGTGGGGAGAGATATGCTCACTGGCACGTATGACTATGTGTCTGCATTATGTATGACCAGCAGTCTCTTTGCCACATACACACACACACTCCTCTTCCTCAGCCCCGCTCTACCCACTGACACGGTGACCAACTTCTATCCAGTGTAATCAAACCGTCAGCATATTTCATTAAGCTAAAGGGAGTCAGTGTGTCAGACGCCCTATCTTATCTCAAGGATATTGCACCATGCCGCAGATGGGATAGAAGAAAGCCCCTGTCACATATGCCAGTCACTGTGTAGCTGTACACTCAGCATGCCAGGTACAGACTGGAGATCTATACAGCCTCTAATGAGAGAAGTGTGTGACTGCATACTGATATGTGCAAGCAAGAGTCCCAATTTAGTAGTGCAAGTGGTAATGAATTTTGCTGTCAGGCCATATTATTGCATAAACTGCAGCAGGAATGTGTATGCTGAACTCAAAGGCTGAGGCAATGAGAAGATAATGAAAGAAACAATCACTTGAACATTGCCCTACTTTCTGGGAAGTGGCTTTTAGGGGACACTCAGAGAGGACATCTATGTTATTGATTGTTCTGTTGCTTAATGGGCTTTCTCCCTTTTGCCATTTAGTGTGTATGGTCAGTGTTAGTTACAGTAATAATGCTGGTGGTAATGTATTGTTTTGATGGGCTAATATTTTTGTGCTTTTGCAAATTATATTGAGTAGTTCAAGATGCACTCCACCTAAGGTTCATTGTTGCTATACATTCTTGCCACTTGTACAAGTAAATAATTAAGTGAATGAATAACTTGGTGATGTTTAGTAATGTAATAATTTTTACAAACTTATAACCCCAAAATGTGCCCATAAATCTGTATTCTCCTTCCAGTATGTAAAAAACGCACCTTAAAGCAACACATGCCTTCATCCATTTCATCCTCTGCCCTTATAACATATGAAAGGCAGGTTTGAAAGCACGTTTTTGCCCACATTAGGGGAGATCCCACTAGTCAAAATGCCATCTTTAAATGTCAAATGGCTTCTCTTTGAATGCCAGTCCCTTATATGTTAAAATACGGTAAATACTTGCATCCAAGCTATAAAACTTCAGTTAATTATTGTTTGCTTGCCACCCAGCTCTGAAAACAATAGACAATGAGATAATTGTATTGTAAGCATTTTGTGTTTGCTGGAGATTTAAGCTGATGCTGTGGGCTCTGATTTACAGATGAGCAAGAGGCAGTGCAGAAGAGGACTTTCACTAAATGGATCAATTCCCACTTGGCAAAGGTAAGACGACTGCAGGCTGCCAGTATTGAGTTTCCTTTTCCCTTTTGTTGATAATGTGCAAAATTACTTCCTCATTTCAACCCCATACATGCAGTCATTCCTTTGTAGAACTGGTCATGGGACTAACTCTGCAGATTAGACCACACACATAGTCCTCAGTCGCATGCCTTTTCTCTCTGTCTACATTACTGCTCAGAAATGGCTGGTAGCGAGGATTTTAACTCCATAGCAATTAATACTTTCACATTAATACACGTACTATCAGTTGCCTTCAAGCTGTAATTAAGCCCTAGTTAACGCTCTGTCTAAGTGTGGCTCATTTAGATTGCACTGGATAAGAGATTTAAACATTGCATTTAATTTTAGATAAACAATGAGTATGGAGAAAGACAGTACATTTAGCCAGAAGAAACAGTCAATCAAATCCTCATTGGACTATGCAAGAGTATGTGCAGTGTTCAAAGTTTGGTCGCTCAACTCAAAATTAGGATGGTTTTACCCCTGCATGTTACTTCACAACCTAATACTTTGGTGGAGGGTCTGCAACCTGATTGTTTAGATGGAGATGTTACTTCTTAGCCTTGAAAGTTACACACTATGGCATTAAACTTTTCTACATTCATGGATCTGTGGAAAGGCAACCCTCTGCACAAGCTTGCCATATTGTGGCAAAGCAACATCTAACATCTGACGGGAAACAAGCAAATGGCCAACCCTCTAAGTTACACAGTGCACCTTTAAATAAATGTCTGACTTTTGCCATTTATTTTTTATTGTGATATGTTATTTTTAGTGAATAGATTACATAGTAGCTAGAGGCAGCTTTGATTCAGTGTGTGTTTTGCTCATATAATCAATGGGCATTTCAATCTCAGTTGCTATAAGTGGATGTCATTGTTGTGTCCTTGGGTAAGATACTTAATCTACCTTTTGCATTGATGGTGGTTGGAGGGGCCAAAGCTTAAAGATTGGAAGTCACACTTCTGTCAGTCTGTCTCAGGACAGCTGTGGCTTTTGCTCTATTGAGTCTCACTCAGGATACATAAATAATGCATGAGATCGCAGAATGAAAAGGGTTTTGAGAAAAGAGCTGTGGGACTAATGTTTTGTTAGTTTTTTGTAATGTAGTCCTGTAATATTAGAACTACTGAACAAAACAATGGACCAGTGAATATTTATGCAATAATAATTATGCAGGATCAGCACACAAAGCAAATACAAATCAATGTAACACACAAACAGGTGTTTTTTCAATCATCTACGCCCGTCTCTGGGACTCATACTCGATTTCGACAGCTGTGAAGGCCTGTGCAGCACAGTGACACCAAGCAGAAAATTCATTTGAAAAGCATTCTGGAGGGAATAAAACTCAGGGTAATATTAAATAACAAGTTCTAACACCATAAAATTACCCATAAACCATAATTTAAATGAATTTAAATAATATGGTGAATGCAATGTTTACTTATTAAGTCATTATCTGGCTGCCGTCATGGATTCTTCACAGTTGCATTTAAAGCAAATATTTCTACAACTACAATGGTTATATACAGAAAACAAATAAATTGGTTTGACAGCGCCTTGAATACTCATTATGTTTGAAAAACCCTTAATTCCACTTTAATTAACCATTTCATTTAATCAATAGGTTAGCGATAGCATCACATTTCTTTGGACTAGATAACGATGCTAGGTCCTTTCTGTGCTCTTGATCAAATTAGCCGCTCCCCTCTCTCCCTGTCTCCTCTTTTCTCCTTGCTCATCACAAACTGCTTACCCTTTCACCTGATGCCTGAGGTTGCCATAGCGATGCTGATTGGTCTGTATTTGTCTTCAAAACTGTCGGGCTGTCACCGCAGCTCAGGGGAGTGTTCAAAGAGGGAGTATACGAGGAGGGGTTAAAGGTCAATGGGAATGGGGCTGTATTATTGAGACAGTTGATGTTATTCTGAGCAATTAGAGCTTTAATTACATCCTATGAGCATTTCAAATCTATATCTCCCACATGGCAACTTTGGAAGAGGAGGAGCATACTTTTTCATTTTTACACATGAGTTGAAATAAGATGTTATTAGACAGCAAAATGGTTGATTATTATAGTAAATTCTTTGACATTGGTTGTTCTCATATAGTACGAGCACCACTGTTTTTTGCAGATCTTTTCTTTGGTTAATGAAATACATTTTTGATCATATTTTGTCCTCCTTTGGGTTTGTCTAGACTAGAACTACTAGACCTACTGTATCAGTTTAGACACATCAATATTGCCATAGTTCTGGTTTAGAAGAGAATATTATCTCAGGTGGTACTTTTTATGATTTGCATTTTAATATGATATAGTTTTACCCTCCCTGATATATTCTGTTTTTGGAGGCTTGGGCTGAAAGTTAACTGACTCTGGGGTCTGCTGGTTGGTTTTGTAAGATTATACTTCATCACAGTGATAAATATTCCAACCAAGCTCCAATTTTGGCCCGAACCAATTATTGACGTCCAAATCATTTTGATTATTCATGAATTGAATTTTATTTTTTGGCTAATGCTACGCTACATTAAACTACAAACAAATGTAGCCTATTTTAGTCTGCATAGCTTTCTGCACACAGTCGTATTGTTACCAACATTCAAATTGCTATGCATGTGAAAAGAAGTAGAGAAATGACTGCAAGACAAGACAAGGATATTTTAATGGTTGGTTTAGCAGTGGTCTCTTGGGGCAGATCATGCCTTGGGCCACTCCAGTTATCACAGGTCTTTTAATTCAGTGCCTAAAGGTGTGTGATTAATCGCTAGGTGAGAAACGGTGCTAGGACTTTCCTTCCTCCGGCTCCTCCCCCTCTCCACTCCACAGGTACAACAAAGAAGTCTTCTAAGCCGCAATATAAAGACTTTTTCTATATGAGTGGTAATTTACTCCAGAGATTAATGGGTCTCATTATACCCAGCGGTTCATCAGATTAAGTCAAGTTTAGACCAGATGAAGTTAGAAGTGTGGGAGGGCAGCTCTGTTGTATCCAACTGTTTCCACGATATGTACAGTGTAAAGATAATTATTCATATGTTTATTTTTAAAGCCATATTAAAAGGAGATTTTTTTAGTATATACAGATCAATAAAGGTACAACAATTATCATTTTGAACCATGTGGAAAAAGTACTTATTCCAACTCAAAAGGTTGATTAAAGGAATAGAATGAGTTTCATTCACCTCTCATTTTTCAAGACTGGTATTTTTGTGTTTTTTGACCAGTTAGACACCCATTTCATATTTGCTGTAAACCCTAAGACTGACATGTGCATCTTACATTTATTAAGCCTTTACTCTGATTGACCCATTTAATAATACCCCACAGATCGCCAAAGAAATTTAACATGTGCAACATTTACTTTCCAAAAATCACCAGCTCCAGCCTAAAAATTTTGAAGCCATGAGTCTCTTTAAAGTTGAGGATTGGCAAGGGTAGAATTCAGTTTCAATTTTGACAAATCCTTCCTGAGAAGCTTTAATTACAAAGTGGCCGTTTGTAGCTGCAGAGGTCTCATCGTCTGTGGAGCGTTTCTAGACTTTAGTGCAGCGATCATTGGACCAAGTGTTCTTAGAGATTAGCCCCCTGCTCCCAAAATGTTTACTTACTCCATTCCCACGTCTTTTGGAGGGTGCAGAGAGGGCGACTGAGCGGATGACACGCACTGTGCATCATGGACTCTCTATTGAAACTTGTATATCCCAAAGCATTGACCGTGGCCTGAGTAAAAGCACTTAGCATTCATACTATTTCCATTAAACTCTCTATCTATCTATTTGCAGCAGAAGCCTTTTCAATAGATGAGGATGTAGTGAATGGCATTTGTAAAAATCTTCCCTAATGCAGCGGGTGTTTAAGAAATCTAGTAAATTTAGTGTAATTTAATTGATTCTATTACAAAAAGGTGTTTTTGTCTGTCATACTTCATCACTTCAATTGTCTCACTCTTTAGTATTTACTTATGAAAGAAGTGGAGGAATTGATATATTTAACTGTGCTTCAAAAACATTATTGTTAGAGCAAAGATATTATGTCAACAAATGATCTGTAGAAAGTTTACTGCTGTGTTTTATGGTTAACTGCAATTGTAATACACATCTTTAGTGATTTATTTAACAGGCAATGCAGAAATAATACTTCATAGTGTACTACAGTTTCACTGAAAATCCACTGGCCAAATAAAATTTTTGCTTATCTGTGACTCTATGACTAAATGATTTGAGATCTTTATTCAAAGTGAACTCTTCACAATTCTTCACAATGTTACTGCATCTTGATTGAGAAATAGTTTAACTTTCATTTCAATACCTTACTAAACCGCCTTGCACTGGCCAAAGCACAGACTTTAAATACTAAAATGTCAATACAAGCAGCAAAAGTAAACATATCACTACTGCCTCGTTGATCTTATTTGCAATTATGTCCTTTAAAAAGACCAACCCCATGTACTTTTGAATCCAATCTAAAATAAAGCTGTTTCTCACTCCTCCCTCTGTCTCACTGTTGATCTTTGGAAAGCCACTGATCCAAATGGCACCAAGGGAATAACATTAAACAGACACACATCCTCAAACTCCTCGCAATCAATTATGGCCTAGACACTCACATGTAATTAGCTCATTAAACACTTGATTCATTTTATTGTAACTGCATACAAGAACTGATATGACTTCCTTATTTTGTAATTAGTCACAAATGTTCCCATTAGCTTTTGGATTATAATTAACAAAAAGGTAAATTTAACTTCAATTAGCATGCCGCGCCATTTATCCCTTTGAAATGATTTTGTTTCTCCTGTCATTCACTGATATGGGCGCTGTCTAAATACCCTAATATCCAAATATCCAAGGCCATAAAATGCCATTAGAAGTGGAATTAGAGAAGCGGGCGCCTGCATTTGGTAATTAATTTTGAAAGACTCCAGCCTAGTGTCCCCTCTCCACTCTGCTTGCTATCATCTTTTCCGCTGCCACTCTAGCCGTACAATTATACCACTTTCATTTGCACTCTGCAGGATGTTTTTTTTTTTCACACTTTTTTTGCACATGCACACACATGTACCCGTACTTTCCTCAGTTCTGTGATAATCTTCTTGTGAATGGTACGCCCTCCTCCCCATAGCTGCGACATGTGACTGCGCTTTAAGAGAAATCCTTGATGTGGAATCCCCGTCCAAACGCAGAAGCGCATGTGGCAGGTCAGAGAGGCAAAAAGCAGTTTGAAATCATCAGCATATTTTAGGATTTGGAAAAGACCATTCAAAGTCTGCTGAGCTGCTACTTTTGGGTTGAATCTTCACTCCCCAGTAATACATGGCACAGACAAACTCTATTTGGGGTTTTCAAGTAGTACTTTTCATGTTTGCATTTATCTATATTTCACAAATTTAAATTATTGTGTTTGTGTATAATTCTGTCTATATAGTATCTTCTGCTCATGAACTAGAGCTCAAATTTCTGCAAGATGGACACAAATTGTTGTTCCAAGTCAGTACATTCTTAGTGCCAGTCCGAAGCCTGCACAGAAAGTAGAGGGTCATGCTTTGTGGAAATATGCCATATCAATAATGCACACTCGGCTGTGTTGACTGAGAGCTTTTTGAAAATGGGTTTTGGAGGTTGTGGGTGGGTGTGAGAGAATGATTTTAATTGTTTATAAAGCACTTTGCATTACATGATATGCATGAAATGTGGTTTATAAATTAAGTTTGTTTGCTTGATTGATTGATAAAGAATCTAAAAATGGCCAAATGCTGTAGGAATCAAAATAAAGAACCTTTGTCATCAAGTGTTTTGAGCCACCCCTTGCAGTCAAAAGGCCTTGCCTCATTGCATCCCGTACAATGCAAATGCTATTAAGATTAACATCTTAAAATTCCACCTAAACTGAGAAACCATTGTTCTAGTGTGGTATGGTATGCATTTGTGTAAACACGGAGCTGTGCCTTTAAGATGATTAGGGAAGGTTTTACATAATAGTATTGCAGCACCTACAACAGGGAATTTGGCTATTGTTTACTAGATTTTATTATGGTGTTTTATATGTAGTACATATCCAAGGCATTCATTTCACTTTAAATGTCTTTGTCATGAGCTCTTGAAATGCTTCATGCTATAGCAAAAACAAATGTTAAATGTTTTACACACTGTAGCACACAAAATCAAGTTTATTAAATGTGTCTATGATTGAGCCCTCTTAAAAACACCATTACTGCTACATTTACTTCCTCTTAATGCTAATCTATTTTGTTTGACAGTGTGTGCCCCCACTGGTGGTATCAGACCTGTTTGAGGACATTAAGGATGGGGTGATGCTGTTGGCTCTGTTGGAAGTGCTTTCGGGACAGAAACTGGTGAGTCTCATGGTCACTAGTGCAGCACGTGATTTGGCTGCACACTTCAAACACGCTCTCGTCCCCCTCTGATCTGAGTGGATTAAAATTTAACTCCTCACGTTGCACCGGCTGATCGAAGACTGTACAGAGAAATTCACTTACTGGTTATTTATGTAGTAACAGTGCGTGCTTTGTGCTCTTAAATAGTACTACTGACAACAGAAGGACATTAAAACTATAGATGTGAATGTGATGAGGTTCGGTGTGAATTGATTTGTTTTATTATGATGTTGGACAGTCCTGATTAGCAAGGACAGGTTGAAGTTTACTCATTCACAGTGCATACAAAGGAAGCTTAAGGATCTTTCTTCGTCAATATAGCCTCAGGTCTAAGCCGCCTATATGCACTATTGATCTCACATTCTGATTGAGCCACTTGAATTTTCCCATAAGAACCATGCTCTAAAAATTACATCAGTTGAAACAATTGTATTTTCTTGTTTGTATTTAATATTTAATAGATTTTTGTATGAAAAGAAGTCAAATCAGCAAAACCTCCAATTAAAAATAATTGGTCAACCATGAAGATCATGTCTAAAAGCAAGAACAGTACAATATAATATAACAATATAGAGACAATATAGTCTGAATAAAAAAAATATATATAAATACTTCTTTTTAAAAATTGTGCTGATAAATCTGAAATGGACCTGTCTCTGTTATTTATTTTGTAATGCTGTTTCATGTAATGAACATTTAAGTGTAAAAACTGACAATCTGCAGTAATGTTTTTCTCTTTTTTTGTATTGTTTATCTCTATTGTTGTCTTATTCCCTTGCAGCCATGTGAGAGGGGCAAGAAACTCAAAAGGATCCATTGGGTCGCCAACATCGGCACTGCGCTCAAATTTCTGGAGGGGAGGAAGGTACGAGTTCACCACTGCCCCTTTTTATCTGTTCTTTTCCCTCTGTCTATTCCCAACACGATACTCTTCCCGCTCAGCTTCTCCTGCCCTCTGGGTCCAAACACTACAACTTGACCTCATGTGACCCTTTCCCCATTTTTCTTTACACGTTGTACATTTTTTTCTTCCTATTTTCACACTCACATCTTCAGGGTGTTTTGCAGTGAACCAACAATTTGACTCTCTAATAATTTCCAAATGATATTACAAGTGTACAAGCAGCACCCACCAGTTTGTCCTTGAATATGCATAAATAAAGCCATAAGTCTGAGCGTGCGTCTAGAGGGAGGTTGATTTGTCTGCCTCAAACGTGACAGGGTTAAAACCACAAATCCTAGACCAGTAATCTGCAGCAGTCTGGAGATGAGATTTCACTGGGCACTCTGCTGTATATATGGGAAGATGTATGTGTGTGTGTGTGTGTGTGTATGTGTGTGTGTGTGTGTGTGTGTGTGTGTGTGTGTGTGTGTGTGTGTGTGTGTGTGTGTTTGCATGTGTGTTTGCATGTGTGAAATTAATGAATATGCTTTGTTTGAAAGGATGTATGTCTGGACTCCTGTATTGATTAGTGTTTACTAGTGTTTATGGATGACAGTATGCATATTGTAACCAATTATTTGTATCATACTTTATTAAATTGTATTATAAGGTAAAAACAGGAGATATAAGAAAAACATTATTATATTTATGTTACTGTGTTATTTTGTAAATATGCAAATATGCATTACATTAGAATATTGAGTATATCGGCTATAAAAAGGGGTCAGTACTACCTACTTTGAGGAGTAATTTCTTATGTTACCTTGTTGATGTTTCATAAAGATTGCAATAGACTATTCCTTATTCAAGAACATGTATGGTACATTTCACTACATTGAACAACCATACTCATAATATTTTGCTGATATACTGATCACAACTACCTGAAATAATATATTGCATTTCAATAGAACTTTCTTAGCTACACATAAATCACTCTTGTTCTGTATTCAGTGTTAGGGAAAAGGAGTATAAACATGTCAAACGCAAGGCTTCATCAACAATTCACGATTGTTTAGTCAGCATTTTCCTGTTATAACCTGAAGTTTCTCTGCACTCATCACACTCTGTAAACCTGTATAATAGTTTGGTATATATTAGCATGAATCACTAAAAATGATGAACATTAGTACCTGTCCCTATACCATAAACTGTGAATATCTTCTCAGAATTACCCATTGTAAATGTGTCATATTATCTCCAGTTGTGTTTAATATGATGGATGGCATTAGATAGTAAATAATATTGGATACTGTTGGGCATGTTTGGATTTGGATTTGCCTTTATAAAACCAACCATTCTTCCATCCTCTCATTGCCGTATTGAATGACCCAACTGACCTGGTGTGTTTTTTAATAAAAACTCATGTAATACATGTTTTCTTATCAGCTCTTATCCCACATTGCCCCTGTCTGGCCCCAATCTCTTTCTCCTCACTCTTCACCTTCATACAAAGTGGTGTACATTTCCATATGTTGACCTGTGAGACTCAGGTCTATCATTGCACAAATAGGCCCTATCCTTTTTCTTTTCTTCCTCTCAGTCAGTCCATCTCAGCTTGGTCTAATCCTGGTTGCCTGTGCGGTGTTGATAGATCTTTCCTCTCTCCACCCACTTCAACTAGAGATGCTATTGGTGCTATCTGTCATCTTTTACCAATTGAGGCATCCCATTGCAACAACTGTCACTTACAAACCTATGTAAGTTACTATCTCTCTCGTCTCTTGCTCTAATTTTTTTCCTATCTCCTTCCCAGTCTGCCTACCGAGGATCCCCGGTCAGTACTCATAACTTTGGCATTAGCCACACAGTAGACCAAGTTAACAGGGTTAACATAGTGCTTTGTGTGAACCAGCCCTGCATGATTGAGATAACGTAAATACATTTTGTGATTGTCACTTATTTGTTCCCCTCAGATCAAACTTGTCAACATCAACTCCACAGACATAGTAGACGGAAGACCAGCCATTGTTCTGGGATTGGTGTGGACAATCATCCTCTATTTTCAGGTACTATGTTGTTCATTATAACAGAATCTTTTACTAACTGTGTTACATGCACTATTCTTTCCCATAATTACAGGGATGGGATGAGATCCTGAAAATTATCTTGTGAGATTTTTTTTTCTCTGTTTTTATGTTTGTATTGGATAAAAAATTGAGTTAAGTACTGGCTAGTTAAATTTTTTGAAAGCTATAGTCCCAAAAAGCAGTGCTACAATGACAGCAAAAATATAAAATCATTTTTAGAAAATCAAAACTGGGAAATACATTGCACAGTTTATTTATTAAAATTGTGTCAACATCTCGTCTTGTCTCATTCTCATAAACCCAATCTCGTATCTCCTCTCTTGGGAATTGTATCTCATCCTACCTCTAATAATTATCTAATGCGCTGTCTACAAATTTCCAATAAGTCTTGTAAACTAAATCACCAAGATATCCATGCATGCTTCGTGATAGCACATTGTAATGGAAATCAGAGTGACATATGAAGCGATTATGGTATCTTTAAATCCTAATTCTCTGGTATTATGTTACATGAGAAGAAAATCTATTATGAAAAATGTGCTTTTCAATGGAATAATACAAAAAAGTCCTCCTCTGACATTTGAGACATGCATTGATCAACAGAAATATAATCTAAATGCTGCAGTCGCAGCACCACATTAGCACATCCGGGGAGCATATGGATTAAATAAAGGGTGTGTAGTCTGTGTGAAATGTACTTATTCATTGTACACTGGTGTTTATGGAGGTTTGTGTGTCGTGAGCTGATCAGATATGCAACAGAGAACAAACTGAAGATTCATTTGTAGCAGGGGTCCATCTGTTACCATCTATCTTGGTACATTTGTGAACTTATTTATTTCATGTATTTTCACAACCCTCCTATGAACTTAAACAGATTATTCAAATTGTGTCCTTTGTACAGGTCCTGTATTAATAATGGTTCTAAGTAAAGATAATAGATAATACTAGATTTTTTATTTTTTTTCTTGACAGTGGGAAAGTAATTTGCTTCTTGGTGTAGAGGCAGTGGGTTCAAAACCTGCACCAGGCAAAGCACAATCTCTGCTTCCAACTTCCACTGTCCAAAGCCTATATATTTTTTTGCATCATTAGTGAATAAGAATTTCATTGTAATAGGAGAGAAGGTTCATGAAGTTATACACAGCTGAAAGGCCTTAGTTGGTCAAATAGATAGTCACACTTATCATGAATCAGTTAAATAAATAGTTATGCAAACTGAAACTGAAAATATTGACTGTGCCTTTTGTAAACAGATTGAAGAGTTAACCAGCAGTTTACCAGCACTTCAAGCCCAGTCCAGCAGCACTTCCTCACTGGACAGTTCAGCCAGCAGCACTGAGACCACCAGCCCACCTGTCAAGAAGAAGCCCCTCCCACCTCCACAGGGTGGGGCAAGGAAGGCTCTTTTAAAATGGGTCCAACAAACAGCTACAAAGTAATGACTATTTACTCTTGATGACTTTAACAACTGAAAATATAACTTTTAACTGTAGTATTTTATATCTGCCAGGCGAATGGGTATTGATGTACGAGACTTTGGCCCGAGTTGGCGGACAGGTCTAGCCTTCTTTGCAATGATCCATTACCTTCGACCAAATCTTGTCGACATCGAGCAAGCTTGGGGGAGACCCAACCGAGAAAACCTGCAGGAGGCCTTTTCGTTGGCAGAAAAAGAGCTGGGCATTCCTCAGCTGCTTGACCCAGAAGGTAAATACAGACAAAATCACATTAGAGATTTATTATCTTGAAATATGGCTATACACAACCTTTCATTATTCTCACAGTGGTTGGTAAACTAAGATCTGTGTCTGAAGTTAAATAGGTTTAGTAAAAAGTTAATCCACAATCAACTTAAGTAGCTTTCTTAAGCATAAATATTGTTAAAAATAAATACAATTTACACCAACCAAGTACCAAGTATTAAACTAATTTCCAAAATTTTGCACATATCGCTGTAACATAAAAAGATTTCAAATAAATATTTTAGAGCCTACTGACATCCACAATGGTATGAGCCATAACTATTGAAACATTGATTAAAATACAGTGTAGTGCTCAGACGTGCATAGTCTCTTAAAAATTACAATTGTATAGACGGTTTATGGACGTATTATGTTTGTTTTTTAACATAATACGTGTAATATTAACAAATGGGAAATGATGGTGAGTGGGTAAATGACGAAAAGAAATGACCTAAACTTCAGTGGCTGGACATCCATTCATACCTGATGGACACATAGCCCTGCTCCCCTGGAGAGCCTGAAATCCTACACGACACTGTCATGATACATCAAGACATGTTAGAGTGTCGAGTGGAAAGTGATGTAGTCTGACAATATTATCCATGCAGCCTTTATACTGTATGAAATAATTACTAAAAAAAGGAAAAACACTGAAATTCCGCCTAAATATTTGAGTAGTAGCCCGAGTGTGTATGATGAATGATCCGATGCTGCATTTTGGCTGAAGATATATGCTTCAGTGACACCATCTGTGGCTTTTTCATGGCTGCCCTTCACAATGAACTCTGACAAATCAAGCTTGACATTAGCATAATTAAGGACCATTAGGCCAGAAAAACTCAGCATGGTTCAACCTTCAAACTTAAACAGGGATCTAAAACCATGACATTTAAATCCATTTTGTTCTTGCTCCTCAGATGTTGATGTGGACAAGCCAGATGAGAAATCTATCATGACATATGTTGCCCAGTTTTTGAAACATCATCCCAAACAGAGCGATCCAGGAAGCACACATGAGGATGAGGTAACCAGCTGCCCCATCTGCCCCATTTTGGAAAATCATTGTTTCTCATCCCTCATACTCACCTCAGATCTTACAATATTTCCCACACATTTAGATTATTTGACCTTTTAATGATTTTAGGCAGTTTGGGTTTTGTTTCATATTACGTTGAGTTGTACAGTGTGCAGACAACCTGTGTTTTTTTTGAGAATGCAACTCATGCTCTAACAACTGAGCAATACCAGATGTAATACCAGCTGTCAACTTCTTTTTGTAATTACATGTATACATAAGTACACATAGGAGAACATTTACTTGCATATTTAAAGATTATCTGAACACATCTTTCATTATTTTATTCTACTCTCCTTCTTATTTTCAAGTACACATGCTCCCTGTAAAATGGTTTTCCCTCACATAGACCTTATGTCTCCTATGTCCTTGTTCCCTTCTCCTCTTGTGTAACTTCCTTTGCTTGTTGTGCTGGCCTCTGTCCCCAGCATGGCCTTGCTCCTCGTCATATAGAGGAAATGTTGGAGGTAGGTTCATGTGGAGACTTACTGTATGCTCCCAGGGGCCAGGTTTTCCATTATCTGCAGCCCAAACGACATTAGCATCCATACACCTCCATGCTTTCCATCCAAATCAGATTAATTCCTATTCTATTGAATCACTGTACTGTAGCACTGCCTACTATATACTGTTTTGGTTGGATTAAACATTGTTTTTTCTGGACCTTTATGGTAATCCTGCCTTTTTATCTTACCTGATGTGATATTACAGCCCTAAGGTTAGATAACAACAGGAAGTCCAGTCTAATAAGACGTGATATTACCATTTATTAATGCTACCATCCAGCGCTGTGGCTCCTGGTTCCATTAGCATGACAATGACAGCCTCTGGCACTGGCAGGTCATATTGACATGGCATATTTCATAGAAAGCTTTTGAATAGATCTTGCTCTGAGGTTAACAGGGAAACTAGCTGCTACGTAGCTGCACTAAACACTTATGTTGCTGCATCATATTTATAAGTGGTTCTTTTTCTGTGGTTCTTATGCTGGTTCCTGTGCTTATTTTTCTTGTTGTGTTGCTATGCTTCCAAATGATGCATGAGTATAAAATACATGCATTATGCGATGACTGTTGTGTTTTTAGTGAATGTATTTTTGTTAGGCCTAAGCATTTATGGCACAATTTGTTTTATTTATTTTTTTATCAGATATGCATCCCACAGTGCTCACTGATAGGACAATAATTCCTAAAATATATATAAAGTAGATGGTAATAAGGATAATATATATTTATTTATAAGCGCCTTTCAAAGCACCCATGGACACTGCACTACAGAATCATTTGAAAACATAAAACAGGTACACAAAAACACACGATGCAATACAAACCTGGATGATGGTGTAATGGTGAGTGGTATGTGGTGTAGGGCTGTCTGAACAATTGTGTCTTAAAATGCAACATAACAATGCTTTGTCTAAAAAAGTTGGACTGCCTTTGTCTTTTGTTGACTTTTATAATCTGTCTAAAGGACTGAAGTTAAATAGACTTTATTTAAAACCACTGGGGAATTTGAATAGGCTAAACACTTCTTAAGCTGAATTGACGGTCACACAAGCTTTTGAGCACCATCGTCTTATCGTCATGGTTACTTAAAACCCATTGAAATATTGGTAGGGGGTCCTAAAGCGCCCTGTTTAAGATGAGTGTTTCTGGCAGTTGCAGAATTTTTTGACGTGAGACACAGTGGATTAGAAAAACACATGTTTAATCGTACATGCTCTGCTTCCTTCTCACAATTTTTTCCTGTATCATTCAATCAATTTTATGTCTCCAGTGAATTTTGACTTGCTTACATTTTGGCTTTTTCCCCCTTTTTGTGCCTGTCTAATTACTCTTTGATCCACTAGAGTTAGAGAGCTGGCTAAAACAAGTCTGACAAAGTTGTGATTACAATACAAGGACATGTTTTCTTACTATTATTTAGAATTAACAACATTAATTAATTAATATTTTGTTTAGGAATATTTGGGTTTTAATGGGGAAATTTGCAAGGGAGCAACAAGCACTGCCTACATACAGGCAGTATAGTAACACAACTTTTTTGTACATTACGAATAACACATCAAATGTACACAGCACACCTGCATTTTATCCCCAACTACACAAATATTTCATCTAATGGAATGTCTGGAATCATGGAGTCAACCCATCATTTTTTATTTTCTTTTTTTGCCTGGCTTGCTTCTTTTCACACAGTCTTTTTCTTTCATACCCTTTTGCTCTCCCCAATTTTGATGTCCGACCCTTGCATCCTGGCCTCCTACAGAGAGAGCAGCGCAAGAGCCTGAGGGAGCTCAAAATGTGGCTCGACCAGCTGGATAGAGACGCCATGCAGGCCCAGGAGACGGAGGCCAATCTCGCCCTGCAATACCAAGTGAGACAGTGCACGTGTCAGCTGTGTGTGTGTGTGTACGTGTGTGTGCCTGTGTGTACAGAGGATTTAGACAGGGCAAACTGGGCACAGACGCTCCTATTATTAGCTTAATCAGGAGCATTACACTGTAGGGATCAGACACCAGCAGTCGTACTTTCACTCAATCTGGCTTATTCCACCAGGCCCCAGGATAGGATTCATATTCAACAGCAGCCACATGTGGGCTATCCTCATATTTTTGACTTTTTCCTTTTTTGTTCTTCAAATGAAAAATGAATGGAGATAGGGGCTAGCTATCAGTGGTAATTTGCTGCAGTGTTTGCAACTTTTAATAATAGCCATTTCATTAACTAGACAACAAATCTTAAAGCAACCTTTCCATAGAAATAGAAACTTTGGAACATTCTCTATGGATAAGATAAGTTTTATCTCTAGAAAGAACATTTCCACAGAACTAGTCTTATATTTTAGTATTTTTTTGACAAAAAAATTGAGACTTCCGCAAAAATCTTGAATATTGTTGAACTTGTTGATTTTAATCTATAACAAAAACATACACTGTAATTTGAGTCCTGTTAAACACGTACACAAATATTAATCTCTTTTCAGTTATTCAAGAGTTTGCGTGTCCAGTTGGAGATGAAGAGAAAGCAGGTGGAGAGTGCTCTGCAGTCCACTCAAAAAGATGGGATGCTCACAGTGGATCAAGCTTTGGTCAAGCAGGCCTGGGAAAAGGTGTCCAATAGGGTAGGTCAATCTAGTTAGGGCATCTGGTGAAAACCCTTATTTTATAAATCTTATATATCCTGTTTACAATTTAGACAAGTTAGTCTGCTTATACACAGACCTTGTGTTGTAACATTAACGGTTCATGTGACTTTATCGTAGTTGCTGGATTGGCACTTGAAGCTGGACCGGTCCCTCCCGGCCCCTCTGGACCAGGTGGGCTCTTGGCTTCACCAGGCTGAAGGAGCCCTGAGACAGGAGGTCATTATGCAGCAGGCACATGAGCAGACAGCTAACATTATCCACCGGGCTCTGGAGCAGCACAAGGTCAGCGCATGGTTAAACATACGGCCGATGTTTGATCAGCCCCGGTGCACTCTTTGCATTCATTTGTGTGCATATGTATATATATGTGTGTGTGTGTGTTTAAGGATGTGCTGAGGAGCCTGGAGAGTCACAGACATGTCCTCCAGAGGATCCATAAAGACAGAAGTGTGGGCGGAATACCAGTGCCCCCTGACCAGCTACAAGACATGGCTGAAAGGTAAAAAATGTAGTATGTACCAACAGATGCATGCGTTTATAGCTTTTTGTGAAGTTTCTTATCTGTTTCTGTTTGCTCATTTTAATTTTTCGACAAATTATATCATTTATATTTTTTTCTTTTTTCCTTAAATATACTAGTATATAGTATATATATTTCCTAATCTTATCTTGATTCTGTTTGTATACTTATCTTAACAAGGAAATTTCTCTATTGTGAGAGTAATGGGCCTATATTACATTTTCATTTTATGATCTATGTTATAATGTCCTGTCCTATTAAAACATACCTGGAGTTGAGTCATGTTTAACACACAAATCCTGCATATTCAGCCTCACTCTGTTCCACCTTGTGATGTCATATGGGAATACAGGAAGAGCTCCACTGTGGTTTTAAAATCCATACACTTTCACTAGAATCATTTGAATGATTTCAGCCCTGGAATTGACCATCTCTGCTCAACAAAAGGTCAAATGTAACTGTTAACTTGAAAACTACTACTTCGTGACATCACAAGGTAAAACTGCATTTTGAGCTTTGGAAATAAGTACTCAAACATGTGTACAACATGCAATGAAACAAAAGACTCCAAGTATATTTTTGAGGAGATAAGAGCATTCTAACATGGCTTAAAGCTCACAAGAGTCAGTTTTGTATAGTATAGGATCGTTAATACTGTAGAGTTTTGTCATATCTAATCTGCATTTTGCAATTTAAGATAAAGCCATTATAGGAAATTCATCTTTCACAGGATGAACTTTGTTTGCACATCGTCAAGTGTCCACTTGGCCAAGATGGAGTTTTTGGAAAACCAGCACCATATGCAAGCCTTCCTCAGTCTGGCTGAGTCTAGACTGAAGTCTTGGATCATCAAATATGGTTGTCAAGAGTCTGTAGAGCTCATGCTCCACAATTATAAAGTGAGTCAATGTACCATTATGTTGACTGGCTATATGTTCACCAGTAAATTATAAAATTTACACCAAATGTATTTCTGTTTGATAGTTGTTTGTTGAAAAGCAGAGGTTCTTTGACAACTATGAAGCATTGTTCCAGTCCCTTAAACGTTCTGGTGAGGCATACGTCACTGCTGATAGTTCAGGTGAGGTATTTTATTGCATTGTTTGTCCATCCAATAAAATTTTTTCATTTCCTCATGTTGCTTTCGGCATGAGAGAAGGTTCACTATAGAAGTTAATATCCAGACTGACAGAAGCAATCAGAGCCAATTCTCCCATATTGATTTTTAAAGTCAGCAAAGCATGTTTAAATGCACATATTTTGAAAGGAGACAGCTATAGTCATTGGCATATAAAAAAAACTTCAATATGAAAGGAGAAATAATTCGGTATACAATAATTAGGAATGACATTATTCACACAATGGTAAAGAGAAATTCTCTTATGGTGGCAGCATTATTCTAGTGGGTGGTATATAATAGGCAGCAAATTAATAATATGCTCTTGTTAGAATGTTAGAAGAAGGATCATTTCCATTTTTGCTGGTTTGCTGGACAGATAGGTGACAGTATACATAGCATATTGTGGGAGTACGGAGCTACATAATTAGTGTGACTGATACTGTAGTAATTACCTTAATAAGTTTCCTTTTGATAATACTAAGACATATAATTGTTTTTCTGACACTTTCTCTGTCAATGACTCAATCACTGTACAGCTCCTCCTCCCAGCTGCTTCGTCTGTCTGCTTTCACAGCCTGGTGGAGGGGAGCGTCTGCGGGCTACAGCTAAATGAGGTTCTCCTATCCTCTCAGTGGGGAATACGACCCCATTTGCTAGTTAGGGGCTGCTCCACTTCTGCAGGTCTCTGGGAGCAAACAGACAGAGCTTGTTGGTTGCATTAAGATTTGGAGGTTGCATTGCTTCAGGGTAAGCAGGAACGTGAGGTGTAGTAGGGGCAAGAAACCAGGACATCTGATGGGATTTGAATAGCCAGCCCCACAAATATTACAAACTCCCGCCTTTGCAATCATACCTTTGTGCCTTCTACTGGTAATTAGTTCACTCAGCTCTGATTGGTTGACTGGTGTCTTTTACATGTTGTAGTTGTAACTAGGGCAGTAGAAGGAAAGAGTATTATCTGCTAATACAATCGTATAGTATACCAACTTAGAGTATATGCTGTATATGCAGTATGTAGTTATAAAGTGGTGCATGCAACAACAATACATCATTCTCAAGTTTTTGAGGTCACATATTTGTCTATAGAGGAATGTGGCTCTGTCAGCCTTTATGTACTGCCCAAAGTTAGTACACCATCTGCACACTATTCCTGTGCTCTGAAACGGCATTTTGGTTGTGATGAACACCCCATTAGTGCATTTTTAAAACAAATAAATTGGAAATAGGTGTTTTACTACCATTAATTCATAAGGAGTCAAATCTAGCCACGTTGTATCATAACCAAACGTGATATGTGTGACAATTACTGTAGTCTTCCCCAGGTTTTTCAGTAGGGTGAGTCTGCAATCCATTCTGTGTGCTATTTGGGCTACCTTCAGATTGATTAACTTTGTGACTTCTGGTATAAAGTCACTGCATGCAAACAGCCCTAAGGAATGTTTTTTTTTTCACTGTCATTGATCATAGAAGTTTCAATGTGACATATGTTTTCTATAGTGGAAGAGGGAGAGCTTGGGGTGCGACGTTTTATCCGTGAGGTAGTAACCCAGTGGAGGAGTCTGTCTATGGAGGTGCGCAGTGTGAGGAGCATGCTGGAGGAGGTGCTGTCCAACTGGGAGAGGTACAACTCCACTGTGGTCGCGCTACAGGCCTGGCTAGATGAGGCTGAGGCTGCCCTTAGCCAACCAGAAAACATTAAACGGGTAAGACAAACATAAAAAACAAAAATTACAAAAATATAAGTCTCTGGAGTGGAAAAAAATAGAGGTGGATATAACTAAACTAAACCAGATCTATTTTTTTCAACATTATGGTCATGAATAAAACATAAGTAATAAGCAATTCATTAATAAGTTACTTGTTAACTCAGACTGATTTTAGAATTAAAATAAAAAAATCTATTTCATTATGTTGATATTAGCATAGATAGATAAATTTGTGCAGTTCAAATGCTACTGATGTTCACAGATTACATGTCTAGCATTTAAAGTGCACAAATCTCTCTGTCTATGCTAATATCTACATCATGAAATCGATTTTTAATTTTAAATGTAGAATCAGTCTCAGTTAACAAGTTACTTATGTTTTATTCATTACCATAAGGTTAGTTTTGCTCAAGAGTAGTTCACTAATGCTAGTCGTTGCTAGTCGCCTTAAGTTTTCATCTTTCTTACCGTGATAGTTGTGGATAAATTCATCATGGAGAGAATATGTCCTTTGTCGACCTTGTTAGATGAAGATTTAGTGATGAGGTAAGCAGATTTATGAAGATGGCGGAAAATACGTTTACCCTACATTGCGGCACTTTCAGCGGTTGTGAAAAAGGTCCTATTAGTCTACAGTTACACACACTATACAAAATAGAACAATTTACAGTAACACAACAACACTTAAAACCAGTTAAGCTTCTAATATCTTCTGCAATAAAAAGTAAACATTAGCATACTTTTCCCCATTGAAGGTGCATAATTACTGTTACAGACACTACACAGAAATGAACACTTTACAATTTTAATGCCTTCATGATGAAATCTATCTTTTAATCAGAAAAATGGTGGTAACTTCTACTAAATCAGCCCAGTTTCTACAATTTAGTCATCTAAGTGAGATCCTATTAGCAGTCTCCATTCAAGTATCAAATGATCTCTTGTCTTACAACCAGCCACCGAGGATACTCCACTATTGCCATGGTTACCTCCGATTCCCGCCCCACCAAGGATTAAGCAGCTAATTACCCCCATTTTGTATTGTCCTCTCCTTGTCCCGGTCTTTTGTTTCATTTTTGATTAGCTCTTTTTGTTCTATTCAGTTTCATTGTGTTCCTCTTTTTGTTAATTGTTAATTTCTCTTTGTCTCCTGTCAGTATGTCTTTTCTTAAAACACGTCTCTGTTGTAGGAGTTTTTCAAGAATCTCAGCCACTGGATGGATCAGCACTCGGCTATGAACGACGCAGGAAATTTTCTGATTGAAACATGTGATGAGACAGTATCTCTCGATCTGAAGCAACAGCTATTACTAATGAATGGGCGCTGGAGGGACATTTTTCTCAAAGTCAAACAAGTAATAAAAATGACAAGGAATACAATAATAGAAGAGCTATAAATTGCTTTACAATAACTTTACATTGTGATTATTTATCTCTCTTTCAGTATGCTCATGCTGATGAACTGGAAAAGTACCGAAAGGATCATGTAAAGGCCATTTCAGCTCTGAAGGAACTTCTAGACACAGCAGAAACCAAAATTAATTCTCCAGTTAATGTGTCTTTCCTGAATGTGAGAGCGTTTCTGCAAGATGTGGAGGTAGGAATCACTTTTCCCACTGAAACCATGACATGAGAGACATGCATTTTTAATATCTTCTGAACCCGCAAATCAAAAATTATAAAAGGTACAACAGTAAAAGGAATCTTGATGCACTTGGAGTCCATCAGTGGTTACAGTGTAAAAAAGTATTAGACATAAATTTCCAATCTACAGTACACAGTTTTGAACACAACACCAAGTACTGAGAGGTCATCATGCCAGGTAGGGCATCTCGTGTTTAAAATCAATATGCTAACGAAGCGACTATTCATCATCTCCAAAATTTGTTCTAAATATATTGAAGAGCCTTCGCTAACTAAACACATGCTTATTGAATGAAATTGCTGTTGTTTTGTAGTAGTTTTAAACCTCTTGTCGCTATTTTTAATCTCAGGAAACAAAGCAAAAGGTCGTAGCCATGGAAACTCAATACAAACTGGCCGCCCGCAGTGCTCAGCTACTCACGAAAGACGCGCCACAGGATGAAGCAGCTCGGGTCCTGGCTACTATGGCCACAGCCAAAAGTCAGCTAAGTAAGGTAGGTTTCCTGTAGGCACATTTGCTATTCTGAGGAACAACTTCAGAAATCACCATACTGCTTAATTACACGCATACTGACTCTCCCTGTGCCTGGATTCAATGGTCTGTTTAATTTGTCTGCAGGTGAGAGAGCGCTGTCCCTCCCTTGTGAGAGAGTGCAATGTCCTTCTGCCTCTTTTGGAGGAAATGGAGAAACACATCAGTGCCTTTTACCAGGCCCTGGAGCGAGCGAGCTGCATCACGTCAGCGGAGAGAGAGACAGAGCCACAGAGCCAAACTCAACACGCACACAAGTGGCAGGTTAGAAGCTTTATGAGGAATTATACTTTTATTATTGTACCTTCTTGATGTCTAAATGGGAGCTTTTCTGTGCTCAAAATTAGTAGTACTTTAATCATTAGTGAAGTGTAGTTTGTTTTGACATTTCATTTTGGCATAACTTATATTTGCACATTTTTGATACATCGTGTCAATTACAACAATGCTTTGTGACATAAAAAGAGCATTTATCATATTTGCTTCTTTTCAATTCAACTCTGACATTACATAATCCTGATGTATGGCACCCATTCTTTAATCATATGAATATTTTACTTTCAGGAATTGCTAAACCAGCAGCAAAGTTGTAAGCGTTGCCTTTCAGTGATAGAAAAAAACAACCACAGCCTGCAGAGGGCGATCTCCACAAGCAAGGTGCTCAAAAACTTGAACATGTCGATGCTGCAGAAGAGAGTGTCCGAGATCCAGGCTTCAGCTCAGGTTAGCATTTCATTTTTATGGATGGATGCAGTGCTACCGAGGCCCTACATTAACCACTGTACTTGTTATAATAATGAGATTACAAGCATTCAAACACCCTAAAGGCAGAGACTGCAGATTACATGTACTCACGGGTCTTATTATTCACACAAGTGACGTAACACAAACAATTCAATTACATTATTACACTGTTGAGACCAATTACCCCCTCATCCATCTCTCTGTTATTTTGCCAGACCTTGCTCAAGGAGATTGGGGACTGGAGAAGGCAGGAGGAGGCCAACAACAGCCTGAGAAGGAGGTTTGAAGATTCCCGTCAGGAGCTGGAGAGAATATTGAAAAAATCTCAGAGTTGTCTAAGGGAGACTGGAGACGCAGAGGACCTGCTGAAAAAACACACAGTATGGTTCTCCTTTGATATGGGTGCACACTTGAAAAGACCTGTCAATCCACTCCTCACTCAGTACTTCAACAACAAGATTTCATCACACTCTCCTCTCTTTCAAAAACACCACTGTTTATAGCTGCATGAGGCCATGTGCATGAATGAATGCATGGGAAAACACACTGTGAAATGCATTTTAACTATATTCTATGCAGTTGATCCATGTGTGTCCAAGATACTCAATCAATATGTTATTCAGGCTGAGGAGATTATAACAGCAAATATCTCTTGAAGTACAATGTGTGCATATAGAACAAAAATATATATATAATATAATAATAATATATATATATATATATGTGTGTGTGTGTGTGTGTATATATATATATATATGTGTGTGTATATATATATATATATATATATATATATATTATATATATATATATATATATATATATATATATATATATATATATATATATATATATATACATACATACATACATACATACATATACACAATATTTTTTGTGGCGTAGGGCCAAATATTAGGAATAACTTTAGGGACCACCAAGAGTTCAAGTTAATAAGATTTAATGGGGCAACTGTTCATGGTTGCCTGGTTAGCTAAAATGATTTAAACATTCAGAAGTCAGATGGTGTACCAGGCATGTTCATGGTTGTAATCAATCAAGCAATTTACTATTTGTGTTTTAGTAAAATAGCAACTGGAGGTTTTTCATAACTTTAATATTTTATTTTTATCTATCAGCTTCAATTTGTACAAGAATCTCAGGAAATTACTGTTGAAAATAAACAAAATAGTCACCGGGTTAGGAAGTAACTGTGTCAAATTTGTGTTTAGAATGTAATGGCAAATATACATCTACTATAACAGTGTCCCACCCTGTTTCTTTTGCTTTCAGGAGATATTCAGCCAGTGTGACCAGCGAGTTTTGAATGTCTTCCTGAAAGCGTGTGACGAGCTGACTGACATCCTGCCAGAGGAGGAGCAACAGAAACTACAGGAAACTGTTAGGACTCTACACAAACACTGGAAGGTCAGAGGTCATCATGGTTTTAGTCTCCCCATAAATCAGTGTCTACCTCTGGAGGAGTGGAGCCGAAACTTCATTAACTTAACCCAGCAAGACCTTGATATATCCCAACCTGTCCCCTGCTGTCATGTTTAATTAGCGTGTAGTCATTAGGGTAATCTAGCTTTCTGTGTTTACTCTTTGTCTCTGTCTGGTAAATTTAGTCACTTTGATAGGTATAGAAATAGAAACAGGAAACAGACCTTATATTAACAGATTCCCAAAATCACAAATTTGAACAAATAAAGCAGAGAATATTGAGACATTGTATAATTTACAACAAGAATGGTTCCAACTTGTGGAAAAAAAAACAACAATAACAACAATGCTTCTTTAATGCACAGGAAGTCCAAAGTGAGTTACCTACCCACCTTGTCCGCCTCAAAGTGGAAATTGAGCAAAATCGCGTGGCTTCCATCCTCCAGGACTGCCGGGTCGAGCTGGACAGAGAAGTGCATGCTCTGTCTGGGACCTGCACCAGTGAGCGATTGATCAAAGAGCACAGGGTAAGCTCTGGGAATTAGTTTTAATCTCTGGAAAGATTAAACCAGGGGTAAAAACTACGATTAGATCAATTAATGTCCTCATCATGAACTGGGAGCTTTCCAAGTTTATCTTTTTCCGCTTTCCTATCTCCAGACTTTCTTCAGGGAACGCAAACCTCTGACTTTGTGCGAGAAGAGGATTAGAAACATGGAGGATCTCTGTCAGAAACTGCCCGACAATGATGTTGCTTATCGGGTACTTGACTCCACCAGGGGCGCAGTGGAAGAGGTTACAGGGATGATCAAGAGCACCTACCTCAAATTAGAGCAGCACCCAGATAAATGGAAAGACTGGAATGAGAGGTTGAAGTTTAACCAAGTTTAAACAAGTCTTTTAATCGCTGTTATCGTCTAACGCTAAGGGAATTTTTTGTTGTAGGTTTTGTGAACTTTCTGATTGGGTATCTTCTCAAAGGAGGCATATCAGGTTTCTGAAAGAATCTGCAAGAAATTCTAGTGATCATGAGCAAGTTGAATCTGCTGTACAAGTGAGTATCGTAAATTAGAAAATTTGATATACTAAATATTCAAAATGTTATCCTTTTGCAGAACTGTACAGGATTTCTTGTTTTTCTTGATCACAGGAGCTACAAGAAGCAATAGAAGCTCAGGAGGAATGTATTTTGTGGCTGAAGACTCGACTGTCTGGGCTGTCTGAAGTTAGTTCTGAACAAGAAGTTCAGAGACAGAGGGTGTCCCTGGACAAACTCTCCTCAGATCTACGTGCTCTGTTTTCTTCTCTCTGTCAGGTCAGGTTGTTTATTTAAATACAATTAATACTGTGTTATTCCATTCTTATTTCTTTTCTTCATAAGCATTTGAACTTAAAATATCTTGTTGTTTTAGTGGGATGAGGAGGAGGGCTCAATTATACTGGAGTCTGGTGAGCTCAAAGAGGAGTTGCATAGAGCTCTTGAAGAGATGTTGAAATTACAAAGGGAGGCTGAGGATCTGAGCAGCAGACTCCTGGATGCGGAAGACCTGGAAGAGGCCAAACAAATATATCTCATTCACCAGGTTTGTGATAAATTCTCTTTTTAAATTCTTGTACTATGTGTCAGTAATTGCAGTTTTTACTTGATTGTTTTACTGGTAATAGACATTTTATATCCTTACAGTTACCTTAGAACATTTGGCATAAATTAATTTGAACAATGTGACATTCTTATGTATCTTGTAAATATCTGTATATCTCATAATTATTACACATGATATAGGTTTTTGAGTATGATGTCAGTCTTCTATGCCATGCCAACCGTCTGCTTTGTACCCATTGTTTTTCCCTACAGCAACACATGAAACGCCTGTACTCAAACCGCAGAGAGGCAGAGCTCTTGTTGCCCCATTGTCACCAGCTGCGTAAAGAACAGGGCCTGAGTGCATCTGTGTCAGAGCTGGAGAAAACGATCAGAGATGTGGACAGTCGCTCGGAGGCAGAGCAGCATGACCTGCAGGTACCTGGGCAACCCCATCATGACCCTCTGTTAATGTTAGTGGTCTGAGTACCATTGATCTGTCCACACATGTCCTGGTGTGATCATCGACTGGTCCATGTTTAGCCTTAATCAGGTATCGATTGTTGTGTGGTATGTTAATTTTGTTTGGGACTGTTTGTACACTGTCATTGCTATTTATTGATTTTTAAATCAGTGGGTGTCTTCTATACCGGAAACAAACTAAATATTTTGGCACAAGTAAATTACATTCAGTCCCTGAAGAAAATCAGTCTACATTTTGACTTCACAGAGAAATTTTTCAAGTACCATTAGCTGTAATAAATCAATGGTAGCAGTAATAACAGAAGCAGGAATTAATTCAAATAGAAGGAGAATTAGTATTGTATTTAGGTATGACTTTGATATCAATCTACTCATCTTTTGTGCTGATTTTTTTATTTCTCTTTAATATCTGGCCATAAAAGCCATGGTTTTAATTAAATCTATAGCTTTCCTTTCTCATTCGTCTCCATATATCTGCAGGCTACACTCAGCTCCTGGCAAACATTTGAATCTGAAAGAGAAATTATTTGGGGGTTCATCAGCCACACCAGCAATGACTTTCACAAAGAGCTCATTTTCAACAGCCTCGACAGTCTGAGATCTGAGCTCGAGCATAACAAGGTTTGCTTTCATTTTTAAACATATTTACATCTCTGTATACATTGTACTTATTGAATTTGCTCACGAAACAGAGTATATTTGCCTCTTTGCTATCTACAGGAGCTGTGTGCCGAAGCGGAGGAGTTTTCTGTTCGAGCGGATCTACTTTTAGAGAAGGCCGCAGATTTGCATTTGAGTGCCAAAACGCAAACTCTTCTTCTTAAACAGGCTCAGGCCACAAGGGAGGAGGCTGCACAACTACAAGACCACCTCAATAAAATGTAAGTGTGAGATATGAGACATAAATACCATTTTAGACAACAAATAAATGAAGGTGCCTAATTAATTAAGCTATTTTGAAATGTATTGAATATTTTCCAGTATTTCCCAGCTGGAGATGATGTGTTTGTGGTGGCAGCGCTTTAGCAATGAGTCTAAAGCTTTTTCTGATTGGATTAATGGGAAAGAACAGGAGCTGGAGGCCATGAACAGCTCCTCATCCTCAGAGCCATTGGATGAGAATATCACTGCTGTGGAGGTATTCGTCAAAAGCTTCTATTGTAAGCTTATTCTATCTATACAATGTTTTTCATGAGCTATTTTAGGACTTAGACTTAGACTTGGACAAACTTTTTTGATCCACAAGGGCAAAATTCTTGGACAAAGTAGCTCACATATTACAATATAATGACAAAGAGAAAAAATTAAATAAATAAAAAAGATAATAAAATTCAAATTTAGAATTTTTTATACAAGAGGTGGTGGGGTAAAGAAAACATTGCAAAATGGTCATTTTACATGTCATTATCGCCACACCTGTTTCTCTATATATGTATCCCATTTTACTTGTAGCTTCAGGAATAATTGGAAATGCTGTTTGCACTACAATAATAATTTACAATATCAGGTTTGCCTTGGGGTTTTGAAGATTAAGATAAAATGTGGTGAAATATGCTGTCCTTGAGAAGCTGCGGTGGAGGGGTGGGCTACCTAGGACATAAAAAGTAAATTGAGACTTTTATTTTATTCTGAAAAAGATGTGTCAATCTTTTGTCAAACTTATTTGAAATGTTTAGGCCGTATTCAAGTTTCAGTAGAATAATAATTTAATTGATTCTGTCACCAGTGTAACAAAAATTAGCCTTAAGAAATGTCCACATTGTTCACTCTTTCACACAAAGCGTATTAAATCAATACATAGGCAAAATATCCAATTAGAAACTCCTCTTAAACATACATATTGTTGTACAACAGGACATAGTTGAAGCTATCTATTGTTGTCCGACAGGACATGGCTGAAGCTCTGGGTGAAAAATGGGCCGTCATCGCTCACATGGAAGCAGACTGCGAGTGCTTGTCCAAGTTTGTCACCCCCGGAGAGGCAGGACGCATCCGGGCACGACTGACACAGATGAAGAGATATTGGGACGAGCTGAAGGGGCGAGTGGAGCAGGTCGGAGGACAGCTTCACCAGAGCGCCAGCTACAGGCAGCGCTATAATGACAATCTGCAACAGGTTTTATAAATTTATTTTTCACATTATTTACACATTGTTGTGTTGTTGCATTATTTGAAATATTTTTGTTTTAAGATAAAGAAAACAATTGCTGATTTGAAGGAGAAGCTGGACTGTCCGATCAACAACTGTTCATCTTCTTCTGAAACCTATAAAATCCTCCAAGATCACACGGTATCACTTGCATTTATATTATAAAAACTTTAAAGGACAGTACTTTATAAGTAAGGTTGTTACAGCAGTCTTTACCTGTTCCTTCACCAGGAGGTGTGCCAGGCTATAGAGCAGCTGAAGCCCAGACTAATGGCCCTGTGCTCTTCCCTGAAGAGGTTCAAAGAGGGAGGGCAGCTGGAGGAAGAGGTGGAAAATCTCCAGAAGCAACAGGCACAGTTCATGGGTGCTGCTTCAGAAAAACAATCTACGTTGGAGAGTCTTCTAGCCCTGTGGCAAAGGTAATGATATGTATTTAAACTACCTCCATAATATTCACATATAAAATGCATAAAAGTGAATTATAGAAAAATGATAGAATTTTCTTTTTACCCTCACTGTTTCGAGGTATAACTAATCAAATTACTTTCTCTTAGTTTTTTGAACCAAGTGATATATTTGTTTCAGTCTTGTGGCAGTCAGCAGCATAAGAACATGACTTTTCATTTCCTTTTCATTTATCTTGCAATATGCTTTGATATGGGCTCGTCTATGTGTAAATCAGCTATGAAAATAAGTAATATATACTATTATTAGCTCCGTCTGTAATGCAATTTTCTCTGCATGGATTACAAATAGCTCTGGGTGCTCTGTCCAGATGTTGTGATTAATTTTGCTTACACAGGTTTGAAAAAGAAAGTTTGTCAATGAAAAGCTGGCTGGACAGGTGTGAGTCAGTTTGCTGTCCAGACACTGACCTCTTCTCTGCAGACAAAGCAAAACTGAGAAATGAACTACAAAATGTAGAGGTAACTATTTACATTATACTCTAAAACAAGTGTGCAACTAAGTATATGCCATAACTTTATGAGCACATATAATATATCCTCAAAGTTGTGATATAACAAAAGGATCAGATTGTAACTTGTTGTGGCTCATCAGTCTTTCTTATACTGGCATTATATCTTCACACCTTTATTGTCTTGTGCAGGAAATGCAGCAGGAGACTCCATCTTATGAGGCTCTTCTCTTTGGCCTTTTAAATCTTGGCATTTGTCTTTATCCCACTGCACCTGAACCTCGCACCAGAGAGATTAATGAAAATTTGACAGGACTACAGCAGAGAAGCTATTCTTTAAAAAACTCTATCACTCAAAGGTTTGTATTTATTACAGATTTTTTAATATATGTGCTAAAATATAATTATTGTTTGAATGATCTTTATTACTCTTTGTGTACTTTTAGATTAATATTACTTGAAACACAACTGTCTAAACTCCAGCTTTTTGATGAGGCTTTGCTGAATGTGACCCAAAACAGTGAACATTTCCTTTCGGAGTTGCGAGGTTCATCTCTTGTGGATATTGGAAACCTGCAGGCTTCATTTAATAAAGTCAAGGTTAGCAGTCAATCAGTGGCTTTCAACACTTTTAAATGTCAGCATACAAACAAATTTATATTGATTGTGCCAGTGCTAATTTGTCAAGTCTTATATGCAAGAGCGTGTATTATAGTTGAAGAAGTATAGATTTTCCATGCTTGTTTGTACATACACAACTCATACCCTTGGATTTTAAGATAATTTGTCAAACCTTTTTTCCAGGAGCATGAAACACAATTGGAGCAGTTGGTGTCATTGAAAGAAAGTTTGGAAGAGCAAGTGTCCACCCTCCTCCTATCCTCCATCCCCGAGGCCCAACAGCAGATCCAGAACTGGAAAGAGGATGGCCTACAACCCCTCCGCGAATCCCAGCGTCTCCTGATGTCCCGTACTGAATGCCTTGAAGAGCTTAAGATCTTCCTTGATAAGCACAGAGCAGCAGTAAAAGCAGTGCGCCAGCTTCATGAGGCTGTGGAGGGCCGAGGCAGCTGGGACCGCTCCAAGGCTGAAGAACTGCATCATGGGATAGGGGAAGTGGCAAAAGATGTGGCGCGACTGGAGGCAGAGGCAGTTGGATTAGACGGACAGTTGAGTAGGGCACACCTTCACTTGTGTGGGGCGGAGTGGCGAGGTCCAAAGAATCCGGGACATCCGCAGGGGAGGACATCTTGCCGGGGTCAGACGGTGGCCCTGACCATGACTTTGGAGGAGGTACAGAGAGGCGTGGGCTGGAGGCAAAGTGAAGCAGATGCTCTCAGTGCCCTCTGGAGCTCCTTCAGGGAGAAGAGGGAAGAGGTGCTGAACAGTCTGAAAAAAATGGAGGATGGACTTAGACAAGAGGATGCCAGAGAAAACACTGTGCTGGCATTTCAAAACAGGTATCCTTTTTGTCATTCACATAAAATTTATATTCATACAGTTGATAATATTCTGACTTATAGTGTGCTCTACTTGATCTTGTGAAGGTTTGACAGTATTTCGATATTTACTCACTCTCATCAACACTCAACACTGCCAGCCATGGTGCCAATTATCCACAACCAATGACTCATAAATTTAAAGCAAACAAAGTACTTTACTAAAGGTCACAACAGCAGTATTATCAGTCTAAAACGAGATTTTGGCCACTCGGGCAATACATAATATGTGAACATAATCAAGTCTGAATAGAAAGAGGGTTGTCTCAGGTTGGGCATCTGACACAAAAAGTATAAAATGAATTGCCCAAATGACTAAACAGACACCAGAAGGGGTGTTAACAATATGAGTAACAGTCCTACTGATAAACTGTGTAAACATGGGTACTGCACATATGTGGTGGATGCCAAAGTGCTCCAAGATTGGTGTTGAACAGAGCTAATAGAAAACACATCCTGAAATAAGTACAGTAAATCCCTATTGTTTTGTGTGCATCTCTCCTCTCAGGCTGCGCTTCTTCATCCAGCTGGAGGATGAGCTCCAGTCCCTGCAGCATTCCCGGCAGTGGCTGCAGGAAAAAGGCAGCCAGCTGGCCCAAAGAGACACTGAGCTGTGTGGGGAGGCTTTGAGGGAGGTGGCTCTGGTGGAGTCAGCCTGGGAGACTGTGAGGACAGCTATTTCAACTGGGTAAGATTTATTTATGAAGCAGACATCAATGGTATCAATGGTAAATTAAACTGAAATCTAATTATATTCACAATATGGTTGTCAGTAAAATTGTACTTGAAAATTGTTCAGTTCAAATGTATTTTGTCTCCTAATGCAGCCAGGAACAAAGTGGAGTTTTAATAGATCTTCTTCGTCAGTTTCACCATCTGAAGTCAGTCCTGACCACCGCTGTGGAAAGTGCACAAGCAGTTGCTCACAATCTGCCCGACCACAACCATAACGCTCAGGAGGCCAAGTGGATCTACTCACGGGTCAGTGGTGTCATACATATAGCAGAAAATAATATCTGTGTCTACACATAGATGCTTGTTTTTCCGGTAACTCTTTAGTTTAGGGACCACATATTAACTAAGTGGTAATTGGTATGCTAATTAGCTGTTACTTAGTTATTAGTTGGTGTTAAACACTTATTAATGCTTATTAATATTTCAGTGTATGCAAAAAACATCTATTTTAATCCTCACTACTTTAATGGGAAGGAAATAGTTAATGTCAACACTTGCATAATACAGCCTTAGACAAAAATGCATTGAAAGTACTTCATAAATACTAACCAAGATTTAATTGAGCACTTATTACACATTTTACTATTAATTAGCTATTAATATGTGATCCCTAATCTAAAGTGTTACAGTTTTTCCTACTTAAAAAAAAATATATATAATTCTATAGTCACCGGTTATGAGTTGGCATATAGAGTTCTTCTATCACAACTAAATATCACATTCTTTTTAACCCCTCGCTCCCTCCTTTTTACCTTTAGCATGAAACAGTCCAGGAGAACTTTAAAGAAAAACAAGAAGAAATGGACCAGCTCATCAGTACAGTGGAGGATTTGCAGAGAGAACTCGAGAAACTCCCAAACTCAGACACAACCTCCATACAAAAAGATATGGAGGCATTAAGAGACCAGTGGCTAGAGGTAAGTTATGATGTTTTGACAACAAATCACTATATTTATTCAGGCGCTTACTTCGACTACATACAGGATTTCAGTCAAGGAAAATAACATAGCCTTTTTCTATTATAGTAATGAATTGCATCCATCCTAATACATGTGGTGCTCTATACATTTTTCAAAGCCTTTCCTTCTAGCAGGAATGTGATAATGACTTGGTAAAGAATTGAGGATTTTTTGGGGGTTGTTTTTTGTTCAAAACCAATTATTATTTCTGATAAAAGTCAGGGCAATCGCACCCAAATTTTTTATTGTCAGTCAATTTTCCCCTGTTGTGTGATGTGGCTTGCTCCTCAGCTGTCACAAATGAGGCAGAAACATAAACACGTCTAGACATGTTGTTTACCATTCTGTGTTTTTCGCACTTCTCTATTCTGTCAGACCAATTATAACACAATCTCTCACTGGTCCTGAAAAGAGGTGGACTGTGGATCTATACCTGTCTTTACTATTGACTGAAAGAGGACACATCCACTTTCAGGAGATTCACATCCCATGGTCATAATGTTTTGCTTGATTTGTATGTGCGCTTCAGCTTTTCTAATTTACTTTCTTGTGGTTCAAATTTTGGAAAGAATATATGCATTGTAATAATATTTTTTTTAACTGATGCATTCAAATAATATTTTTTTGTAGCCATAGTGTATTTACCATCTAGTTTCTTTAGACAGCTGTTTTGTGTCCTCCAGGTATCTGAGCGTATTCAAACCAACACAGAAAGACTTGGGTACTGTGTGGCTCTTTGGAACGACCTCAAAGCCATGGAGCAGGACATTTCTGAATGGGCTGCCTCTTCTATCACTGATCTCACAGACTGTGTTACCAATCTGAGTGACAAGGAGAAAACAGAGGAGCATCTTACAGCATTTCAGGTCAGTACAAGATTGAGGGGACTAATGGTTGTGCAGTGGCCCTATTCATTATAGTTTCACACAGAGAGTGATTTGACTGAAATCCTCTGATGTTGGTACCATAGGCAGAGGTGGAGAAACGAGAGCAGAGCCTGGACTCACTGCAGGAGCGAGTGACAGAACTGAAGGAGAGGGCCAAGCTGCAGGAAACCCCATTACAAATGCAGGTGAGTCTAAAAAAGATACATACAGAATGAACTCTGAAAATGGGAGTAGTTACATATTATGTTTCAGTTGAGTACAATGCTATACCCCAACTGGGCTTTATGTTATAATACAAATAAAAGACCAAAAAATGGGTAAACCTTTATAAAACCTACGCTTATTTATGCCAAAGACATAATTTATAATGAACAAATAGTTTATTAAGAATGATTCTTCCTTAGTAGCAATTTAATTAATACCCTAATCCCTTAAGTAGTAGTCAGTTAAGTTAGTGTTCATTCGTAATAAACTATGTGTTCATGCTTTGTGAAGACTGATTAAGGCTTATTACTTTATGTAAGTGTCTTTGTCAATCATAGGATTACCCAAGACATACACTACACAAACAGCTTAATCCTCTATGAGCACACCTTGCTATAACAGAAAATGTTCAATATTTTTGCAATGATCATAAACCTATTTTCTTATTTCTAAACTAGGTTCTTGAATCTGACCTGAGGAAGAAAATGGCCCATGTTCAGGAGGTGTACAACCAGGCCAAACACACGCTGACCTACTTTAGTTTCCAGAAACAGAGACTGGAGGACCTCATGTCCCAAATGACTGAGCGGCTTGAAGCTGCCGAGTGCTGCTTATCTGATCTGACTGATGCTGCATCTCTGGAAGATATTGGTACACTGAAGGTATGCAAACTTGTAAGTTAAAATAAACCTATAAAACAATCAGTTACTGGTAATTGTCATGGTTTTTAGGGCTTACAGAGTGTATTGCAGCAGCAGAGGGCAGACATGGACTCTGCCCGGGATGCTCTGAGTGCACTTTGTAGGTCTCATCCCTCTGAGGAGCTGTCCCGTCTCTCTTCTGACCTTACATCTATTGCCAAACGAACAGAGACAGTGGTTCAGCGCTGTGCCAAGACCAAAGGAAGTCTTCAGGATGGACTACAGATTCACTTTAATGGTAAGGTGATTGGGGGGCACCTCTGTATACACAGTCCTGCCCAGCTTATTGGGGACAAAAATCATATTCCCATCGCAAATCCTTTATTATTACATCAACAATCGAATTTAAATGTTCCAGTATGGGTAATAAGTAGAAACTTTTGTTAAGGTTAGGATTAGCCTCCAGGAAATTAATGTTTATGTCCAAAAAATATGATGAAAACCCAATATTATATGTGTGTGTGTGTGTTTGGTGAATTTATTACATTGTTTATCATCAAAGATGTATGAAGACAAGAGGAACTGACCATTTTTAAATTAGAAATGTGAAAATCTGCTCCTAACAAATCTATTAGGCAGTTTTTATGGCCATTGTTGACTTGTTCAGTCCACCCACTACAAGCCACTCTCCTCTGACACACACGGTTGGAGGTGCCAGCGCACTTCCTTTGCTCCAAAACACACCTGAGCTTCAGAAAACGACTACTCTTGTCACATCTGTCCCAGGGGAGTTGTATCCATGACAACCCACAGCTGCACAGCATGGCCCCTCCTACACCTCCCACCTTCTTTCTTGTTGTTTTAGTTTTTGCATGTTTACTTTTGGCTTATAACTGACAACTTGAACTGCCCATTATATGTACATATAGTTGTTTTTGAGTTATTGTTGGTTTCTTTTTTTTTGACACAGAGCTTGTCAAAGACTTGCGCTCCTGGCTTGCCAATCAGATCTCTGAGTTGAAAGAGTGGTGTAACCAATCTGGAGATGCTGCTGTCCTAAATGCAAAATTGCACAGGCTAATGGTACAGTTACAATATATTTTTATATATCTGCATTACTCCATTGTTATATCTGTAGCTGTAAATATATGCAATTGAACATTCAGAAAATTACATATAGTTTTGTAAATGGGTTGTAAAGCTACAGGTGACCATTCCTTCTTCTTCAGGTGTTAGAGGAGCAGACAGCAGAGGAAGAGAGACGTCTGTGTCAGGTTTCTGAGGAGGCTGAGAGGCTTCAGCATCACCTTTCAAAAGCTGCAACAGCTCAAGTCCAGGACCATCTCTCATCCTGCCAGAAGGAGTGGAAGAAATATTTAGACAACTGTTCCCAATGCCAACAAGATCTGGAAGACGCTATTGACCTCTTAAAAAAGTAAGCCTTCTGTCGTGTACAGTTCTGTGGTAGTGGAAAGACTAATTTGATAGCCAACAATATTTTTCTTGCAGTTTTGATGACAATGTGGTGAATATAAGAGACTGGCTGAAGCAGATGGAGCTCAGCCTGAAGTGTGAGCCTTTTCCTGGAGATGAAGGACAGCAGGGTGTCCCTGACACTGCAGAGGAGCTGGAGAAGGTGGAGAGAGTACACAGTGAGCTGCTGGAGAGACGGTAGGTCTAACATTAGTATGCGTCCAGTGTGTGCCACTGTAGGCAGAAAGTCATAGTGTTTTGTTTTTTTTTCTTCTTTTACAAGGGAGTCCATTGAACGACTGTGTCAAGAGGCACAGTCCTTATCAGAAGCCGGAAGGGGGTCAGGGGGAGAGGTCAGAGTGACTGGACAGCTCCATATGGAGCACCAGTCTCTGCTGAAGGCAGCCAGAGAGAGACTCAAATGCTGCCAAGAGAGCCAGGCCTTCGCAGAGACTCTCCAGGGGGTGTGGGCCTGGCTGGAGGAGATCCAGGAGAGACTGGGGACAGTGGACAGCACCATGGGCACCAAAGATCAGTTGGAGCAGAGACTGGAAGCTGTGCAGGTGAGTGAGGGTTTTTTCTGTCTATTTAGCCATGTCATTTTGAGTGTATCCAATGTCCTTGCAGAAGGATTAATCTAATTACTCATTTTGACTTGCTTTGTTTTGCCAGGATATCCTGCTTTTGAAGGGAGAGGGAGAAGTGAAGCTAAACATGGCCATGGGGAAGGGTGAGCTCGCTCTGCGCAGTTATGGGGCTGCTGGACAGGAAGTGGTCAAATCTCAGCTTCAGGAAGTGGAGGATGCTTGGGCCACTCTGCTGGTGACTGCCATGAGCTGCCACAGGTACTCTTCATGCTGCACACTGTTTGATATTCTAACCTGGTTCTCTATATGAATCTATAACTCTGACAATGCATCTTCTGTAACATGTGTGAAGACATATTCCACAAGCGAACAGGTCACCTCTGTTGTAATTAACTGATACCTGAATGTCATTAATCATAAATAGGTTAAATACGTAATGAGAACTATTTGTCTAATTTTGTAACTGTAATCGATGTGTCAGAGCAGTGTATCTGGATGCTCTGTCTGTGTGTGTGTCTGTGTGTGTGTGTGTGTATATGCCTGGGTTTTTAATGGAGTAATTGTGATTTCAACAAAAATTTTAACTCATTACAGACAGTGTAATGAGTTAAAATGAGTGCAATTACACAGTTGAGGTGTGCATTAAATTACACAGGGGTCTTTTAAGAGCTGACAAGAGGCGACGGGGGTAACAGGGGAATCATATATGCACATGGCTGGATCCTTATGTATGTGTGGAAATACTGCAGTTACTGTATTTGCACATGTATTTTCACAGATGGCAAGAAAGTCTGTATGTACAGCTCCAGCACTGTGATTTTTACCTCCAATTAACCGTATAGCATAACATATACTAGGATTAATATAAATATGATAAAATATTAAGTTGTTTCACTCCATTTGTAAAGAAAAGTTAGCACATTTTCTGGATTAATTTGAATGATTTAATTGTGTGTTTAGCCGATTGGAGTGGACTGTGTCCCAGTGGAGTGGATATCTGGACAGTGCAAACCAGCTGCGGTGCTGGATGGAGGCTCTGGAGCGGCAAGTGAGTGCACCCCTCACCCCTCAGCCTGGACCCAGAGAAAAGGCTGCTCAGCTGGACAGACTCAGAGCCTTGCTGGCTGATCTCGAAGACCACCAGGTGGCACTGTCCAGCCTGGAAGAGAAAGCCCGGGAGCTCTTCAAGAAGACTGGAGATGCAAGCTTCAATCATGGGGCTCGTACCCAGCTACAGGCGCAGTTTGATGACCTTACAGCTCTGGTGGAGGTATGAAATACACAGATTTGTAACACATAGAAATTAATGTAACATTGTACTATAAATGTACTTGTTGTTGTAGGGTAGGGTTAGTCTTGCCCAGAGCATAGTGTTGGAGCATCAGGAGTATCTGGAGTCAGTTCGAGAGCTGACAGACTGGCTCATGACAAGTGGAGAGGAGTTACAGCACTGGTCTGATACATCTGGAGATTCTACCTCTATCAAGAAGAAGCTTTCTGAAGTCAGGGTAAGGAAAAAATAAAAAAATAAATATTTGATTGATAAAGTCTATATTGAAAGAAGTCTTTTAGACATTTTATTACTTTTTAGACGACACACATAACCTGTAATTGGATGATATAGTAATTTGCATATTAAGGTAGTATTGTACAAAGACAAAAGGACTGAAACAAATGGAAAATGTGTAGTTGAATTATTGCCTCTCCAAGGGAAATTCACAGATTTTCCAGAGTATGTGTGAAAAGTCACCCATGTGTTCCTATGGAAACTGCATGTGGAGTTTTTGCTAAAATACCACTGAAAAGATCAAACAGCGGTCACATAAGACTGTTCATTTGAGTTATGAAAGTAAACAAATGATGGAATTACTATTAGTAGTATTATTGTTATGGTTAGTAAATATTACTAGAGCAAATATGTGAGTGAATATTAACTGACATTTGTATTTCACACAAGGGGGTCAATTGTCATGTAATAAAAAGTACTGTTAAGAATCTCAGCAGAATATATTTTTATGGATTTATGCCTGCATGCTAGCATCATTTATATTTAAAAAATCTTGTTTGGGTGTCAGTATTCCCATCTTTGTACACAGCATGTGCATGATAAAATGATCTGGAGCTGTTTTCCTTCTGCTCTAATCCTTCCATCAGATTTCTGTGGCACAGCTCAGTGTTAGCTCTTCACACCTTCTGATTTCGAAGTGTTATCTTTCCACTCTGAATAATAAATCAGTGCTGAAATAGATTTCAAAGAGGTTAACATCTTAAATACAAGGGCATCATAGCAAATTAAACTAACATCAAATGTATGTTTTTGAAAACAGTAAAACTAGAGAGACACAAACAAGTGGTCTATTATGTAACTTTAAATAGAATCACATCAATGATGGCTGTTTCCGTAGACACGGTTTCCGTAGCAACTTAGTCTTTCCATGTTTCTTCAGGAGCGAGTGGAGAGCCGTCTGTTGGAGGGCCGTGAGCGCCTCAGCCGCGTGCGCCGCAGTGCTGCGACCACAGCAGAGCATACAGCAGCTGGAGGCTGCGAGGCTATGGACCGCCAGCTGGGGGCGCTCTCACAGGCTCTGGAGCAATGGGAGGGGGCCGCACTGAGGGCCAGAGACAGTCTAGAAGGGGCTCTGGCTTCTGCTGCAGCTTCAGAAGAAGCATACAAGTGTCTTGTGGCCCGACTAGAACAGGACCTAAAGGAGCTGGACCTCAGGCTGAGGGGGTGGAGCCAAGAGCTGATCAAAGCAGAGGGGCGGAGCAGTGGCGAGGAGGCCGTGGAGGGCTGGCACCTCGCTAAGGTAAGTTTACATAGGGTAGTTTTTTTTGTAGTGTATTATTTGTCTGTTTTGAAAAGCTGCAATAGAATGAAAGAAATTTGCATATTGTTTTAGAGTTTTGAAACTCAAACAATGGTAGAAGTTAACTAATATGTGGAAAACAATTACATGTTAATCCACGATTACGACAGTTGCAGTGCAATTATGAAAAAAAAAAATTCTAATGAAAAGTACAAACACTGACACTGCACAGACATACATTCCCTTCCTCTTTCTGTCAGTAATTATCCATTCTATTTGTAAATCCCAAAACCAGATTAGTTTTTAAATCAGCTTTAGTGGGACGACGCGGCAGTGACAGCTACAATCCCATCAGTATTTCCTCATTTCTCCTCATTTCCTGCACCCCCCTCTGTCCTTTTGTTTTTTGTTTATCTTTTGCCCCCAAACAGTGTGTCTGTTCATGCCCTTGTATGAGCACTGGCTTGTTTGGACTCAGCAGTGATGTCTTTCTTGGTTGCAGGGGTTGTTTCTTAGATGATCTCCAACTTCCCTCTGCAGCCGTGTTGTCTACCTCGACAGGATATTTACATTGTAACAGTTTGTTCTTGTAATGCTGGGGTCAAACCAGTGTGCCCACCCTCATATCTCTCTCTCTCCTGGGTTTCTTTGGACCATGACTTTCTCTGCTATGCCTCAATTTGTTTCTCTTTAGGCAAACAGAGGTGGAGCCTGTCCCCTCCTCCGCGTTTCTCTCTCCTCCTCCCTCTCTCCTTCCTATGTCCAGCCTTATTTGAGCACCATTTACGCGCTTTTGAACCACCGCGCATCTGTGTAAGCTCTGACAGATGAATTCCACAGGGAGAACCGGCGAAGAAAATAAGTGGTGGAGAAGGTGGGAGGAGGAGGGTGGAGAGAAAGTAACGGAGCAGGAGTAGGTGGAGAGAGAGAGAGGGAACGCAGCAACGAGTCCACGGAGAAGACGGTAGGGAGGGGGAACACTGGTTATTGGTGCGACGTCAGGAACAGAGCTTGTTCATATTTCATGGGGCAGATTTTCAACCGTGTTCGGCAGCAGAATGTGAGCGGGAGAGCGTTATCCACTGCTCCTTCCTGTCAGTGAAGAGGAACAGAAATGCTATTGTACAAGACTAGCTGTGAGTATGTTAGCTCAGAGAGAGAGAGGGGTGCGAATGTAGCAGAGTTTGTAGCAGCGACATACAGATCCTTTGCTGGTACATCTCTTTTTGACAAGTCGTGTTTGGTGTGTGTGTGTGTTGTTTAGGAGATACTGGAGGGCTTGCAGAGTGCCGAGCCCATGGCAGAGAAGTTGAAAAGCCAACTGAATGACCTGGTGCGGTACTCCAGAGACATCAGCTCCCAGTCGGACCGGGTGACTGCACTGATCAAGCAGCACAACAGGTAAGAAGGTCTTTGCTAGTTGACTTTGTTTTGGTTTATGTCTATGTCTATACTACTGTGTCTATGTCTATACTACTATACATGTGATTCTTTCATCTGCAAATTGACTGTATATAGCATTACTGCTATTGGTTATGACAAGCTTAAATAAGACTTCTAATTCTAAAATGTGTCCAATGTTGTTTTGGTGGTTTCAATGGAGTTGTGAGTTACTATGTAATAAGATGTGGTTGTTCTGCTATGTGGTGTTTGTGTGTGGCATTGTGGCATTACTGGCAGTTATGGTTTGGGGATCTCCCTGTATCCAAACTACAATATCTGCAAACTTATTAAAAGTTCACCATGCCTGGTTGAAGCATTATGAATCTATGCACCCCAATAATAATGAATATAGTGTAATTCTTTGTTTTCTACTAGTATAATCCCTTAAATATTCATTAGTTTTACTGCATAATATTATAGTTGTCATTATGCATTAAATGTACTGAACACCACCATCTAACAATCTCACTGGCTATACTGGGACTTCTATTACTGCTATTTCTTGAATTGTATTCCCCATAATTGGATCTTGCTGAGCGCTCATCCCCATTCATTTATAAACACAGCAAGTAATTACCCAAATCACAACAGGGGAAGAGAAACACTCTCTCTAAATAGGGCAGGGCCATCTGATTTACTAGCTGCTTGTGTCTGCTCCCTCTTCAAAGACTTCTGACGTCCAGGCAAAGGTCAAAGGTGAAAGCTGCACAGAACAGCCACCAGTTGCTAAGGAGAATATAGTCATCATCCTTTGCTCTCACTGTTACCTTACTGTAGTTTACCTCCTCTTTACTCCTCTTTTACTGCAGTGGTACTTGGGAAATTGAGAAAATGAAAGTAATTAGAATAGTTTTTAATCATGCTTTTGTGTGGTATGTTGCTTGGATCTACTTAATACACACTAATTGCTTCTTCTGGGCCTGGATTCATTTAGTGGCTGTTTGTGCAGTTGCTTAGATTTTTTTTGTAAACAATCTTAAATGCATATTCAGTCATAGCTTTCATACAAATGAGTTACTTGTCATTGTCTATTACATTGCATTATCATGGGTTGCTAATTTGCAATTTCACTTGGCAACATTTATTGACAATTACCTTAAGTGAAGCCAATTTAAAGGGGTCCTTGGAGGAGAGAAAACAGCTTTCGTTCCCCCATGTATTTTGTGTATTTTTAGGCCTGTCTAAACTATTACTATAATGACTTACAGTTCAATGACAGATTAACTATGTTTTTGTCTTAATGTTTATCATATGTACTCGTGAATGGGTGTCTGCGCTAATGAAGATGTTTGTTATTTTTACTGCTGGGAGGGTTGGCTCATTAATATATATCTATGACAGTATACAAATACATTGTGATACTGGTGTTTTCTTTAGGATATGGTTTAGGACTTTTAGAAAAACTTGGATTTGGATATTGGATAAGGGTGTTGAGTATTGTTTATCCTTGTATTATATGTTTCGGATTTGATAGCATGACACGTCTGTACTTTGCCTGTTTTCTCTTTCTATTCTTGCACTAAACTCCATTATCTAAAGACATACAAGATAAGAACCAAGAAAGAAAAGGGGGTTCTGTATCTCCCCCTCTTAGATCTTAACACATGCCAGATTTTCACTGTCACAGCAGAAAAAAGTGCTTCTCCTATTCCCAGGGCATTTCTCGGCGTGTTACCCTTTCATGCCCTCATCGCTTCATTAAAACTCTGGGGTGTATGTGTGGAGGTGTGTGTGTTTAGGTGATGGCTGGTACAGGAGGTGGTTGTTTTCATCCTCCCTTTGGACAGTTAACTCTTGCTAAAACAGCTGGTGTTCTTAGTGTCACCCTTTCCATCACAATCTGCCCCTTCACCTCTCATTTAACCTTTACTGACGACCTCCAACCTTCAACCCTCTTTCCACTGTGAAATCTGTTACTGTTCTGCATTTTTGTTCTGGTATTTCATTGTATATTTCTAAGGCCATGAAAATAGGTCAGTGGGACAGTCTTACTTTTCTGTCTATTTTAGATAGATGAAGTAGTTAGATGATGGATGTGACATTAAATGGTAATTATTTAAGTCCATGAGGACGTTACAAGAATCCTCGTTATGATGGGCAATATTAAAATGACATGCTTTTCTGCAGAATATTTGATTAAATCTGAATCTCTCCTTTAGGCAGACTTAAAGCAAAAGTGAATTTGGTTTTCCGCCACTGTAGTTTACATTCTGCTTGACAAGTCACAGCCTGAATAAATGATTTGCTGCACAACCACTGAAGTAAAATGATGGAATCTATGAAAACTGCTCATTGCTGACACAGGTGTCTCTGAGTGGAGCCTCCAGTTGCATAACAGCTTGGGTTAAGGCGCTGTTTGGACAGTATTCCCACACCAGAGTGTAATCATTCATCATTGATTGATACAATACAGAGGGTTGGGGAAATTTGGCAAAAGAAAATCAGTATATATTTGGTAACTTTGGTAATAATGAGATTCTTCTGAGATACACCTAACTTTGATTATTTAAATTGACCTGTCAGGAAGTGTGGATGATGCCAAGTAAATGGAATATGTTTGGTAAAAAGATTGCCACAGGTTTTAAAAGCAAAGAATGTCACTCATACTCTTGCATAACCAGATATGATGTGCACTCTCTATATTAAAATGCAGAATGGACCTTCAAATAAGGACTCATTTACTTAATATTTCTTCCTGTATTTGACCTTATAGCTCTTTAGTATATGGCTCGTTGTCATCCAACTGCCTGTCATGCCATGTTGTGTCTGTCTTGTTGCCCTTGTGAACTCTCGCCCTAGTCATATGCTGCCTCTCAACCCCCATCACACACTGTACCCCACTCCACCCCATCCCCCACCTTCTCTCCCTCTCCTTTTCTCTCTCTCTCACTGTCTCTCTCTCTCTGTTTGCCCCAACAGATTTTTCCACTTCACCCACTTCGCCATTGCTCCACCTGCACAGTTCCCAATGCCCCCTCCTCCTCTGTCATTTTTGTTTGTTCAGTAGCACATGGGAGACATACAGCATTGTGTAGTCAGAGTGAATTTTCATGTGGCCCTGTCACTCTTAATGGGTGTTCTTGTTCCTCTTCATCAGCTTGAGTCTGCGTGCATCCAGGGAGTGTCAAAACAAGGAGCGCTTGTTGGAGCAGCGGTTCAGGGCAGCTCTGCGAGACTTTCAGCAATGGTTGGTCAACGCCAAAATCAGCACAGCCAAATGTTTTGATGTGCCTCAAAGTGTTGCCGAGGCCTCCACAGCCTTACAGAGAATACAAGTAAGTATCCAATTACAGTTTTGTGGTCACAGTGCAATTAAGAATTTATGCAGTAGTTGAATAGGCTAAAGCCAGTATATTGATATTTGCTATTATCACAGTAACATAACTTAATAATTTTGACCCATTATTTATGTCTTAATTTGGAAACACTTAAAACACTTTACCTGATCTTGTCTAGTTTGCTTTAGACATAATCATCAATCATCAATCAAGACATTTCAGTGTGTATGAACATCACTGGGAGGCATAAAATATTCCTGGGTTCTGGCATAAGGATACCTCTGGGATTTGGCATGGCACATTGTTATAGCAAAAATACATTTCAAATCAAAATATTATATCTTTTGAATGGGGAAATATCCTCAGAAAAATCCTTCAATTCAGGAAGAAATCTTTTGCCTGAAACCAATGAATACAGGAAGGGAAGCAACAGGGACAAGCCACAAAAAAATAATCTTTTTACAAATTGATTCCACTTAAACAGGTTGCAAGCATAAAGAAAGTTAAATGTCATAATAGATGTAAAATAAATCTGCTTAGCTTTAGCATTAACTCAAGGGGATGACTGTATTGACATGCCCACTGTTGAGTGCCCTCCAGTGGGCATGTTAGAGTGGTGGGTCTGCCCCAGGCAGGATAAGCTGAAAAAGGGCATTTGGCCAAACAGGATAAGAGAAAGCTCAGCAGCAGGGATCTTCTGCATAAAAGCAGTGTGTGTCTCTGTCTAAGAAGTGTTTTTGGTGAGAAGCTGGCAGGTGTAACAGTCTGGCAGCTCTTTAGTGCACCCCAGGGCCCTGGCTAAAAGTCAGGTGGTTGTCCGTTAAAGCGGACGTCCTCAGCACTAGACATTTAATTACTATCTTAAACACCTGACCACTCCACCATTTACTTTTCTAGCACCAGCTGATGGTAGATAATGTTAAGTACAGAGATTACAGTAAAGATTGTTTGTGAATACAATATATGCAGAAATGTATTCTATTCCCATGCCTTCAGTCAGTGCATAGTATTGGATGGTATTGGTATTGTATGTCTCTATGTCTTTCAGCAAATGAAAATATGTAACCCAAAGAATAATATGTTTAAAAAAAAAATGTCAACAATGCCTTTGTGCAATCCTTACTAAGATAGATTTAAGTTCTATTAACTCTAAAACAAATTAGATTTTTTTATTTCCTTTTTAATGAATGAACACTGACATGCATGTTTTTTTCAAATATGGTGAACCCTTGGTGAAGTGTAAGTTTGTTTGCATGTTCTCATTGGAGTGTCACCAGAAGAAGTCAAACGAAAGCCACTTTTTTGCTTTGTTTAAAGCATGTCAAAAAAAGGCGGCATTTTACAGTTTTTTTTAATAGTTTTTTGTCATTGTCCCATAAACTTTGACAATAAGAGACAGTCTCATAAATTGTACGGCAGTGAAGTGGTTCAGAAATACAGAGGCGGGCATGTTTTATTTATTATTGACTTGGTGAAGAATGTGGAACAATGTTTCCACATGGCTGACCTCCAGGAGGGCCGGAGAAGTGGGAGGGGCTGAGGGTAACCAATGTGCCTTGCTTAATTGGGGGTATACAGTTACACTAGCAGCGGGAGTGTGAAAAAGAGTCAATGAAGGAGAACACACAGAGAGCATAAAGAGACAAAAGAATGATGAAGAATGTCGAGGATGCACGTTGGTTTATTTGGTTGAAGCTCGCCTCAAAACAGTGTGTGTGTATGGTGCGATCACGGCGTGTCTAAGTGATGTTGCTGACTGCACAGATGGTGGAGTGGTCCCTGCTGCGTTACTGTCATCGGCTTGGTTCTGGGAGGGAGGGGGAGAAGGGCAGCGAGAGAGAGGGAGGGGGCAGTGGGCGTGGGCCGCGTGTGGATGTAGTGTCTTTCTGGGGGTGGTTAGAAACGAGCAATGTAAAAAACATGTTCCAGGCAAACTCACTTTCCCTGTCTGCCTCTTTCTCACCACCTGCCCATACAGATTTTGCTGTATGCTATTTTATAATGCAAAATGTACTATTGTGAGCTTTAAGCCATGTTATAATGTTGTTACCTCCTCAAAAACATATCTGGAGTTGTGTTTTGTTTCTTTCACACATTGAGTAATACTGCATTATTATTCTGTCTGCATTTCCAAAGCTCAGAATGATCTGTTTCACTTTGTGATGTCAAGAAGCAGTAATTTTGAACTTATCAGCTACCTTTTTACCTTTTGGTCAGTAGAGATTCAAATGCTTCTAGAGAAGGTGTATGGAGTTTAAGAACACAGTGGAGGGCATCGTCAGTCTAAATGTGCAAGGTTTGTGTCGTAGACTGTATAAAGAATTGGATTAAGCAAGTGTGACGTCACTCACAGAGTTTCGCTCCAGTCAAATGACGCTCATGGTACTAGCAGATACAGGGGTGAATTCGGAGCCAGGCTCTATATTATGAATAGGATTTTTTTAACGGACACACAATAGCAGAAAAAAACCCCCACCAGGATCATGTAGAGCAGGTTAATACGAACATTTTAATACCAAAATGATGAGGCTCACTGCAGCAGTTACAAAGAGAGGGGACACAATATTCCAATGATAGTCAATGGGAGCCAGGGTCAGAAGGAGCCAGAAGAGCCTGCATGCAGACTTCCTATTTTGAATGCAGTGGCTAGTGTGTTTGCTATGTCCAGTTATATACACAGTCTATGGTTTGTGTATTAAACATGTGTGAATGAAACAAAACACAATTCGGGGTATGTTTGTGATGAAACAACATTATATTATAATATAGATCAGAAAATAGTGTAATATATGGGCCCTTTAAGTAAACTCCTGTAAAATGAACAACAGGCATACTTCATGAGTTTCTATAAATTGTAAATTTCAGATAACATCTCAACATTGTATAGCCGTGTGAAACTCAAAATGGGACTAGTATAATGCAACAATACACCATAATATCAAATAGTTAAATACAACCCTCAAAATTGAATGCACATGACTGACTCACTGTCACTACTCCAGCTCATTTATCATGCAATCATGCCATACTTTGGTAGACATACAATAAAATCGTTGCATACTTAGTATAATAATTTTATGGTTTGGTAACATGATAATTGACCGTGTCTCCAATAAAAAGGCTCCAGGTTCAACTTTTGATTCATGCAAGTGTGAAATAGGGTGAAGATTGGGAAGAGAAGAGACATTCTTCTCAATTTATCATGCACCATTTCTTAATTATTTCTTTGGACATTTGCAACTAAGTATGGATAATTGCAGTGAACGTTTCTTTTAACTGTTACTGTACAATTGTTTATATTACCCATAAAAATGATCTTTCTTGTGATCTTTCTGATCAAGTCTAGTTTTTGGCCTTGTCACCTTCTCACTTCAGTCCTTTTGTGAGTGTTGCTGCTGCTCTGTGACAGGTCCCTTTGTCCTGTTTCCCCGCAGGAGTTTCTGAGTGACAGGGAGCATGGTCAGGCCAGGCTGAGCACTGTGGGGGCCAGTGGGGAGCTGCTCATGGCGGTAGTGTCCAAAGACAGAGTGGAGGGGATCAAGGCCAAGGTGGAGAGCACACGGGACGACTGGAAGAGCCTGATGAATAACTTACAAATGAGGGAAGATGCTCTCAAGGTTGGTTCACTGCTTACTTATTTAGCATTAACAGTCACATTGCATTACATGGAGCTACTTACAGTATGCTGCACTTGAGTTATACCAACCATTTGAGGTTAATGTTGCAATGTATGACCCATATAACTCATATAAAACACATGAACCATATAACATGTTAAATTGGAAAGAATGACTAAATATGTTAAATGAGAAATTAAATAATGGTATGGAAATCACTTGCGCAAGACATTTAAATTGCATTTGGATAGAAGAGTCATCAGCCTTACTGTCCATCTTGGTCTATTGACTCCTACGATAATATGCCTTTTAAATGTGTTCCTGTTTATAATCACACCTTAATTTGTTCTCATGTGAAGATGAATGATGGTAGATAATGTTAAGTACATAGATTACAGAGTAAAGATTGCTGTGAATACAGTTTAGGAAGAAATTTATTCTGCTCCCATGCCTCCAGTCAGTGCGTAGTATTGGATGGTATTGCTGTATGTCTCATTACCAGCAATTGAAAATGTGTCACCCAAAGGAAAATATGTAAAAAATGTCAACAATGCCTCTGTGCAATCCTCAGTAAGATAGATTTATTTAAGTTCTATTAAATCTAAAACAATTTAGACTTTTCTATTTTCCTTTAAAAAATTAACACTGACATTTGCATGGTTTTATATGGTAAACCCCTTATGAAGTGTAAGGTTTTTTGTGTATACTCATTGGAAGTCAGTCATTATGAAGAAAACCACTTTTCTGGTTTGTCTAAAGCATTTAAAAAAAACAGTCCTCCAAACAAATTTAGCCCTGATTATAATTGGTTATAATTGTATTGTGTCCCCAGAACCTTCAAGCTCAGATGACAGAGTTTGAGGCGAGCGCAGAGCCGCTACAGGACTGGCTGAGCAACACTGAGGTCAAAGTTCAAGAGAGTAGCACTCGCCTTCATGACCTGTCTGCTAAGAGAGAGGAGCTTACCAAACTGCAGGTAATATGGGCTGTATATGAGTTTCATATATGATGCTCTTATGATGGTTTTACTCTTTCATTCCAGACCGATGCATTATCTCATTTATTTATTTATTTTTTCACATAATGTAAAACTACATTAACTGCAATGCAAATTGTTCAGTGTCTTTTGTTACTTCCTACCAAAGACCTTTTTACAGTTTGATGTTTTGAATAACTAAATCCTTTTACAAAATGGACATTAGTCAAATTTTTCCTGACTCTCTGAGTAGACACTGTATCTAAAGCTCTTCATCAGATATCCCTCTCTTAAGTACAATCTCAAATCAACTGATAAAAGAGGAGGGCCGAATTACATTTGTCGAGCACCACTGGATCAAAATGGAGCAACGTCTTGACACAATAGTCAGTGGGAAAGTCCAGAAATCTAATTAATTCTCTGTCTGTCACAGCTGAAGCGCTGCGTTGCTAAAAGGCCTTTTCAGGATGTGATAACAGCTTGTGTCTGAGGGAGACAAAAAGAGGACAGGCGACGGACGGGCGTTAAAAAGATAAAACTGACAAAAGGAAAAATATATCAAGCCCATCTCTAAGCGCGGTGCTTATCTTTGTTGCTATTTTTGTATTTACTGTGTCACCCGCTGTAGCACTTCTCCTTATTGTCTCTTGCCTGCGCTGAAAGCAATTACATGTCTCCCCCATCACCTGAAATACAATACAGTACAATAAAGCTTTAGTCTTTGGACCTAAAATGTGTTGGCAATGTGTTGGCAAAACCATTATCCACAACCTTTTACTGTAATTTCCTTTTTTGTTTTTTGAACCAATTCTACTTGTGTTGTTAAGCATGGCAATCAGGGTGAATCATAACAGTTGAAAACCTGTTTGTATGCAACATTTGATTTTGAAATTTGGGTCATTCTGCTCTCTTAAAGTGTAAGGCTTTTACACTAAATTAAAGATAATATCCTTTTTTCATAATTTGCATGTAAAAGCAATATCATATATTAAAACTTGACTTCATCCAGTCTGAATGTTAACTGTTTATATGCCTTCTTATTGCTTTGGTTATATACCACTCCTGCATCCTTTGTGCCCATTACCCATCATTTTGACCTTCACAATATTATTTCATCTTTTATATTTCCCACGACACCACTGTTCCTGATGCTGGCCCATAACTACCCTCAGTGTTGTGGTTCATTTCCTCCGTTTTTTAATCCATCTCTCTTGTCTCACCTGAATCCGATCTCCTTTATTTCTCCATTCTCATCTTCTTTATGTGCTTCCCGCTGGCTCAGTGTGTGCTGGAGGAGATGTCCGGTCAGGAGGCGGAGCTGACCAGGCTGAGGGAGAGCGCTCATCGTCTGTGGGAGGGACAGGCTGCAGGCAAAGGCTTTGTCCATCGCGTGTCCCAGCTCTCTGCACAATACCTGGCACTCAGCAACTTGGCCAAGGTATTAGCGCTTTCATTGTGTAACTTGTGCATGTTAGCCATTAATGATGGTGGAAAATATGCATGCCTAAATACTTTTACATATTCTTGTCCATCTGTCACATACACTAAGATTAGAGTGCCTTGAAGGTCCCCTATCTTGGTGTCTTATTTATTTATGTTCATTGGTGGATGTTGTTTGCATGGGTATGTTGCTGTGAAGGCTTTTCTCTATGTTAAGGCAAATTTCTGCCATGGGAGACAAATAAAGGTTATCTTAAAAACTTGTTGCAGGGATGAGCTTCTGTCTAGTGGTTATTTATATAAATATTCTGTGTACCTTTTTATACATAACAGAAGACATATTATGTCATTTAGCATGAAACTCTAACATGTACATCATTATATTACATTGTGGAAACTGTAATATTGGCCTAAAACATCCATCGACTTTCTTTTCAGAACAGAACTGATTCAATGCAGGACACTACAGTATTACTTCAACTTGCATGAACCAATAAAAATACAACTCTGATTAATGTAATGATGATGGCAAACCGTAATAACATGGTGAGAAATTTGAGTCATATGTCCCCTTTAATTTTAACATTTGTAAATATAATTACAAACAGCGATGACTGCATGATTTTTGCATGTTCTTCAAATGTTACTGTGGATCTCAACCTTCTTCTGTTGTACAAATACATGCATGTGTTTGTGACTCTGAATTCCCTCTCACCGTGAATGATTGCCTGTCTGTTTGTTGTCAGCGGAGCTGCTAACAATACCATAGATATGCCACCCCTAAGGCTCATAGTTGCACGGATACGCTCCAGCATAGGTCCTCATAGTGAGGTGAAAGAAATTAATCAATCAAGTTAACATGCAAAACATATGTCAAGGATGATTAATTCTTAGAGGAGGCTGTGTACCCTTTAGTAGTGCTAGGCTCTTTCTTGTTGAACATTATTCAAACATATTAGTCATGCCACTTTGCCTTAAGGTTATAAAACACAAGTGTTGACATCTGCAGTCATTTTATTGATACACTATGTTCCCCCACAAAGGTCTTCAATATTAAAGTTCAGAACGCAGAGGTTTTACCTTTACTTTGAGAATCACGTTGGAAATGCCAGAGCTGTGTCAGAGCAGGAAAATCTGACCTTTCTGAAGTTCTCATTAGATTGGTCACACATGTAGTGATTAATTCAATACAACATACAGCAACCCTGCACTGACCACACAAGCACTTTTCTGTTCTCTGTGGGACAATGGGAGAAGACTGATATAATGCTTAATGAGGTTTATTCGCCTCTTCACTCCAAGAAGGGCTATGTCTCATGCTTCTTTTTGTGCCAAAGAAACTGAAGCAACAACATTTAAAATCATCTCTTGTAGACAGTTATTTTTAAATTGGCTTTCCTCCTCAAGACAGTTCTTCTGAAGTTATCTGAGCGCTGACTCTAAACAATGCATGTTATTTGTTCCGGTCTAGAGATAGGAAAATCCCCAGAGATGTCCTCAAGTAAAAAAGGAAAAGAAACATAGACAGATCAAATATTGAGACATAGCTAACTAGTTTTAAATACCAGACTATTTTACACAATTACTAAAACGGTATCAATAGTTTTTAGTTATACAGAGTCTCATGACAGAAGTTCTGGCAACATCACTTTTTTGGGATGGTTAATTGTTGTATTCTTTTAACAATGTTTTTAAAATACATTTCTCCTGTTCTTAAAGGATAAAGCCTCCAGGATTGAACGGATTGTTGGGGAGCACCGCCTGTTCTCTCAGGGCCTAAAGGAGCTCCAGGACTGGGTGAGTGAGGCTCAGGGCCTCCTCAACTCCTGCCTCTCTCCCACCACAGACAAGAGTGTGCTGGAGGAGCGGATGGTTCAGCTGGAAGTAAGTACAAGTATATTATTGTTTTAATACTTTGAATACATAAATTGTACATAATATCATAGTAGCTATCTACTTACATCTGTGAACTTTCTACATCTGTACACTATCTAATTTTTTGGTGCATGGTTTGCAACCTGCTTTTCTGGAGATAAGCAGGTACCACCACCAGGCCAAGTTACCCTTAGAATATATGTTTTTCAACATATAATACATGATTAAAACAGATCAATGAATGATGACCTGATGAATAAACTCAATCACAGTTAGTACTAATCCAAGACCAAGTTCTAAATATAATAAACCAGACTTCTTAGTATAACTAGAAGAAGCCCTTCCATGAGTAGTGAGAGCTTCGCCACATTGTAAGACCCAAGGATCTAGACACATAACAGCATGCACTGTTTTTCTTGTGTATTTGTTCTCTTTGTTTGCTGAGAGGAGATTCCTCATTGAAGATTTTTTTTATCTTTGTCTGCAGGCGCTGCTGGCTGCTCGTCAAGAAAGGGAGATCCAACTAAAGATGCTGCTAACACGAGGAGAGGCAGTCCAGAGAAATACTTCGGCTGAGGGGGTACCAGTAATTCGTAAACAGATCCAGGACCTCAAGGACTCCTGGGACTCACTGCTTTCTGCCTCCATCCAGTGCAAAAGGTTGGACGTTAATTAATTGATAAATGAAACCAGGAAGTATCTAGTTCCAGTTCATTGATTATTCCTGGTTGAAAGGTTACAAGGACATTTATATTTGATGTTACATGTGTTTTTCTTGAACCAACAGTCAGCTAGAGGGCGCTCTGTCACAGTGGACTAGTTATCAAGAAGATGTGGGTCAGTTTGTGCAGTGGATGGACAGAGTGGAGGAGACGCTCAACTGTGCAGACAGACAGTATTCAGAAATGAGGGACAAGACTGCAAACCTGGGCAAGACCAAGGTACTATGAGAAATAAAAGATTATTGATACATAACGTAAACACATTGTCTACCTATTCACATGTAATTGGCTAAAACTAAACCAATAAATATTAAATCATGCCTTAAGCAAGACCAAACTAAACATGTACTTCTTATTCAACTTTGTCTCAATAACTTTCAATCATCCAGCTACTCTATGAGGAAGTACTGAGCCACAGCAATCCTTTGGAAACTATTGCCTCAAAGGGATCCAATATGGCTGAACACTATAATACTCATCAGGAAGTCCAGCAACTACAATCGCGATACAATAGCCTCACAGAAAAAGCCAAAGTACGTATCCATCTTTGTTTTATGCTTTTATGAATTCTAAATTAGTTTTTGAAGTACTGTGTTTTGTTTTTCAGAATGCAGTGAGCAAGGCCAAAGGGCTGGTCTTGGTTCATCAGGAGTATCAGAGAGCCCTGCATGTGTTTGAGGACTGGCTTGAGCAGGAGCAGGCCACTTTAGCAACTCTGTCCCATCCAGAAGGAAGTGTGGACACTCTGGAGAGCACATTGCAGCAGCTACAGGTAATGCACGTAAAACAACTTGTAAATAACATAATAAAATATAATTGCAAATTGCAATATCTCTTATGCACTCTGTACTCTTTCAATTTTTCATGGATTTTATTACAAAATGGTTTTAAAATACCAAAGAGACCCAACACATTAAAAAAGGTATATGTGAACTGTATGTAATTTTCTCCGCTATGAGATTAACTAAGTTCTTATCTTCTTATTCTTATCTTAACATGTTTTGAGGCATGCAATCTGGAGTTTTGACTTTATAATAGAAAATCCAAAAAGAATGAAGATTACTAAATGGCTTCTGTCCATATTAATTTCAGCTTTGGCTCAAACATCAGTGAAGTCCCGTGATTAAACGCTGTTTTGATGCATTCTTTGTTGCCTTGTTTTCTTCACAGACCCTGCAGGAACGTTGTTCAAAGGGCCAGTCTTTGCTCTCCTCTGTTCTGACCAGCCGAGAGCGGGTTATCCCGTGGGGCACCCCGCAGATAGAGGACCGCACCCTAGACACGGCTCAAAGAGAGTGGGGAGTCTACCAGGGCCGACTGGAGGAGACCCAGAGTCAGCTCAGAGCGACCCTGGGCAGAGTGAGGAAAATGGGACAGAAGTTCCTGAGTCTGGCCCATTGGATGGAGGAGATGGAGAAAGCGGCAAACATAAGGAGGCATCGAAGGTCTGACAGGGCAACCAAGGAGGATCAGCTCAAGAAACTACAGGTGAGGAAAGTCTTGACACATCACTGTACACTCAAATAAAGCTGTTAGAGTCTAAGGATTTTCCTTTTTCCTTTGTAATTTTTTGTTCTGTTTTGACCTGTCAAAATGAGCAAAAGACAAAATTTCCTCCACAATCTCCTTACCTAACAATATGATTTACGTGCATAGTATTTAATATTAAATTTTAAGTATACTCTATAGGCATTTATTTATGATCTAAATTGATTATGATAATATTCAATTTAAAAAAACATAACATATCCATAGGTTGTTTTTTTTTACCTGTATTTGTAAAATGTATCTTAAGCTATAAATATCATCTTGAACTTCATGAACTTGCCATCCTGTGACAGAATGAATCACATATTTCTGTATTTATACATGCCATTGAGGCCCCGCGTGTGTTCAAAGTGAAGCAGTAGGGGACTGGGAATGTTCCTATGGGCCTCCTCCCTTCCCAGTCTCTTCCTGTCAGTGTCACAGTGTCAGACAGTCTGCATTATTCTCTGGCAGATTTATAGACAACACACACACTGTACTGACTCACATTGTTTTCAAAATATGTTTATCTACTTCTACTGTTTTTTCATATTTGTTTACATATCTAACCCTATGACTCCTAAAAGTCAACTGACAATTACATCATGAATAATATGGGCTGATTATGCTAATTTATACATGTCTGGTGTCCCTTGTGAGCAGGGGTGTCTAGAGGCAACGTTAACTCGACAGGAGGAGGTGGATGGGCTCTCTCCGCTGGCCCAGCAGGTTTTAGAGGAGACCTACATCAGCAGTCGAGTCAGTGTTACGGCCACGCAGCTAACGGCCCGCTACCACTCCCTGCTGCTCAGCATACAGGTGAGACACAGTTTAAAACAGATATAAAGGGCTAGGCTTGCCATATTAACAGAAATATGATAGGATCTCTGTAGTATTAAATCTCTTAATCGATGGTTAAAGGAGTGTTTTAGTTGATTTATTAGTCGAGAAACAATTTTATTATGATTGTTAGGATTTACACGTAGTAGGAAGGATGGGGTGAATTAACTGGAGTTTGGGGACTGACTGTATGATATAATCTGTCTTTTCTCTTATGAAGATGATGTTTACTCACTGAAGGCGCTGTTTACACTGGTCAAGATCCTAATCATTTTGAAAGCTTTTGCCAGTGCCATACTGCTGTCCCTTTTAGTCAGTTAACTGATGCAGAGCACATGCCAACCAAGGATTTTTTTAGTCAACAATGACCAGAGTATCACAATGCTTCTGATCTCATCTATTGGTAAACATACGTAAAATAGCATAGTGTTTTAAAGGCAATTACAGAGCTAGTAATTCTAATCACTTTCCAATGACATTTCTTGTGTGCTGAAGTAATTATTTCTGAATTATTCATCAATAGGTTGGTGAAATCTAAAGTTTTTCTGTTTTACTCGCATATCCTTATTCCAAAAAATAAGGCTTATCATGTAAATTACAGGTGGATTATCTCTTTACCTGTGAAGTGCATTCCTGTTGTTTGCCCCAGTGGGCTCCTCTCATGGTTAAGTTGTCTCACCATGGACTCACCTCCTCTGAGAGTTTGGGCTTGTTTGTGTAACGCCCCATTGAAATAGCTTTGAGATTTTGGCCTGTGTTGTTCTCAGTACTGAGATCTAGACGCAGTATTTGCCTTCTCCTCTGGGGGGGACTAAAGGGAAATCAATGGGGCTCCTGTGGACCAGGGCTAAGGCTATAATTAAACGCTACAGAAGGCAATCTCACACCCAGCACTGCAAGTGGAAAAGCTTTACCAACGCTACATTGATTTTTACACCTTCAATAACCACTCCTCACTTTCCCCTCATTCACTCTGGAGTCAAACTCACACCCTATTCTCATCTATAATTCTTAAACTTTCATTTCAAAGTCTTCAAGTGCAGCTGTACAATTTCCGTATGAGCCAGTCCCTTGTACTTTCTGTTCAAATGCATTAGGATCTGGAACCAGACCATCATGTTGAAGGCCCCATCACTTGAATATCCTTGCAACATTCAAATGCAAAAACAAAATCTGCTTTTACCTACATAGAGTGATTTAGAGTTTAGTGCTTTCTCAGTCCTCTCTGTTATTTTTTTTAACATAAGCTGCTATGTTTGTTTTCTAGTAGGTGAATCTGCCTGTTCCAGACCCAGACTTCTTTCTAAAGTGTTGTGAAAACATGTGGTCATGGCTGGCCAGGAAAAATTTCATGAGGCTAAATCTAGCAAAAACTAAACTAAACAGAACTATCTTAGGACTGAACTAGAACCAGAAAATAGGATTTACAAATGGGAACTATTCTACAACAACCATACTGGTTTAGTAAGGCTTACAAGAATGAAACTAAAGGTATGATCCAGATTTTCCTGGTGTTCTGTTTGACGGTACCATTTTTCTAACCCAGTAGATGCATGTAATTATTCTGTGTGAAGTGGGGGCCATATGTGTGCGAGGTGAGGAGCTGTTACCTCTACTCTGTCTAGTCTCCAAAAGGTGTTCACTCAGCATTTCCAGCTAATTGGAGTTTCTCACCACAGGATTTGCAACTAGACTGAATAATGTGTCAAAATCTACATGAAAATACACTCCATCCACATGTTATTGACTCTAAAAGCTCAGTCAAGTGGATGAAGCATCAAAAACATGAACAAAAAAATCCTCTCTTGTCTCTTGTCCTTGTAGCAGTAGCTATTGGCATTCAGCAGATGAAAGACAGGGCAAGAGAAACTGGATATTTTCTGCTGTGATGGGTGATCACAGAGCTTTTTGGTCCTTTGTGGCCACTGTAGACTGTGTTAAAAGGAGTAGGAACAGAGTTATTTCCTGGATATCCCCCCGCCTAAAGCTTTGTTAATAATGTTCAGTGCTGTTTTAAACCAAGATACTGTGTATCATTGAATTTGAAACCACTATTTACAGTGACAGAGCTATTTAAGTATATTGCTTTTTCTGACACAAATCACTGGCATTGTTTCAAATACAGCGTGCATTTACGATGCACATTTGCATGTATTTGCAACCTGTGCTCTTACATTTATAGTATGATTCCATCACAAGCCAGTGGTTTATTTGTGTCATAAAAATAGTTACATTTAAAAAAGAATCGGTCACACAGAATCTGGAGTATAAACTATGCCAACACTATAGCCAGTTGCTGCTTCAGGAGTTCGATGATTTGTTTGTTTGTTTGTTTCAAATGTAAGGGGCAAGCATAAGGTCTTGTTTAATTGTTTCATCTCTAATCCATTTCTCATCCTTTTTTGTTTCAGGAAACCATCAAACACCTTCAGGAGGAGCTAAAGAGCATCGATGAAGCAGAAAACCTTTGCATTTCATTTTCTGACTGGCTTGGCTCAACTCAAAAAACATTCACAACTTTAACTGATAGCTCTGAACCTTTCGACCGCATCACTATGGAGAAAAAGATGAAGAAATTAGAGGTATAAACTTGTCTCTCATTATACTTTTACATGCTGTTAGTTTGTTAATTAAGGTCCATGGGTCAGAGTGGATTTAGCTGCAGGTGTATAGAGGTCCCTTTAGTATTGCTGTGTAAAATGGTTGACATAAATCAGTGCAGACATTTGGTATTACCCAGGTGAAATGTCAAGTTAGCCTGATTTAATTTAAGTTTAGAGCACAAAACATGTGCACTTCTCATCCAACGTTCATGCCAGCAAAAATTCCCATTCCAATCTAGTTTCTGCCAAAAATAACTATGCTTGTACCATCACACTTTTGGCAGGTGTGGTGTGCTTGGCTGGTTTAATATGCATTTCTGTAGAGTCTGCAAAGTGTTTGCTTTTAATTTTGGAGAGCAGACAAGATGTTCACAGCAGTATTTTTTATTTTTTTTTAATCTTATCTGTGTAATGGGCATCAGAAGGGATGTCCCTGTCCTAAAGATATAGATTTCCAAATATATTTTAATCTTAATGAAGGGAAATATTATAACATTAATGTATTTCCAAATGTAAGTCAGGAAATCAGGATTAAACCAAAACTAGACCAAGACTGAACCAGCACTAAACCAAGTGCCTGCAAAATCAGTGTCTTTTATTTTAGAAAGCAGACAAGATGGTCATTGCGGTCTTCTTTTTTCTCATCTCGTTATGTGGGCATTGAAGGGAAACTTGCGTAGCCTGCAGAGGGGAGGAAAATCACTGCTATCGTTTGCTTGGCATAGTTCATATCGAGTGTGTGTGCGTATCGATCGGCCCCTTTATGAAGACAAAGCGGGTGCGTTTGAGAGGATGCGTGGTAGCGGGGAGGGACCGCCCACAGTGAGGCAGAGGATGAAGAAGAGGCAGTGTCAGGAGCCTGCTGGCACAGACACTGTAATTGATATGGTGCCCTTACCGCTTCACTTCACACAGGCGTACACACACTGGCCTCCTATAAGCGCTTGTTTTATATCACAAGTGCTAGCTAACAAGCATCTTTCAGTCCTATAGCTCCTCTGTGGGTTCATTTACGCTACATTATTTAGTACAATTTGTGTTTGGCTTTCTTTCATCTTCAATAATAGACCAAAATTACGCATAAACGCAGCTAAAGCAGGAACCTTCCCATAGCTAAGCCAGGTGTCAACCAGTCTACACAAAGACAAATATCTAAATTAGGACAAAGCTAGTAAATGAACAAAACACTTCTAATCAAAATGCCGTACTTGTATTAAAAAAGGAACCCATGTACTGACTGTATGTGTCCCACAGTTTGAGGAGATTGTGTATATCTCATTGCTTTTGGTCTTCCCCAGTCTCCAAACAGTAATCTGCAGACATTCACACTTTTGCGGTACATCATCTGGTGCGAGCTTTGTGCTAATCCATGTCTGGGATCGATGCACAGTGTCTGCACAGGGACCAAAGACGCGCTGTCACCACATGTGTTCTTCCCTCTCTGTGCAAATGACACATGAGCACGCCATCACTTACCCACTCTCCTGTAGTGAGACCTCCAGCGCTGCTCAGTCTGCCTGGATGATTACGCATTGACAGAAAGAGGAGAAGTTAAATTGCTTTGTCAAGGGCCATCAACTTTCTATTATTGTTTGTATACTACATTCCCACAAAAAAGTTGCAACATGATGTGAATTTTTCTGTTAAGGCTAAATTTAAAATGAATATACAAACACGGTATTCATAAATGAACAAAAACACAATATCCACTTAACAGACAGGTCAGTGTTGCAAGACTTCCAATCATCCCACTACTCCTCCCTTTCCTTATTTTCTAATATGTGTGACATTCATTAATTTTCAAGGACATTTTCTCAAGTCCCTACAGCTTTTTAGTATATATAATAATTTATTTTTCCCCATGAGGTTAAATAGTTGCTGCTGTTATTTTCCCTGTATAAGAAATCCCAGTATATTAAAATTACACCTATTTTTCATCTGTTGCTCCAGAGTTATTATTTCATATCATAATCAACCACAGATGTGTTTTTACTTAGAAGCAGTAGTCAACATCCCTTGGGGTGACCATAGCATCTTCCCACAGATACTAAATATAGTTCCATATATCAAATCTTAATATGCAGTGTCAGACATATTGGAAAACAAGAGTATAAACACATGACATGGTATATTCTAGCTGCAAACAAATGAAAACCTAGGAACCCCGGACTGCACTCTCAGCTACAATATCATTAACAGCTGCTATAGATGAAAGTGCTGCAGTTTTCATCAATATGCAATTTATTTCAGCGAGAACTCTGAATTGTGTAAGCAAGTTCAAGTGAAGCATATAATTATTGATAAACTACATTGTTTTCTCTTAAATTGAAGTAATGGCTTATAGAATATCCAACTGAACAGGACTGCTCTGCATTTATTATGTTATGTCAAACAGCAATGTTCCTCCAACCAATAGTGATAGATGTGTCAGATAACTCACAGGCGTCAATGTAAAGTGGGAATAACGAACCATAGGAAAATTTACCCCCTGAACTGTGTGATATTGGGATATATTGAGTGTTGTTAAATAAGGTCACAAGGCGGGGTGCTTGTTTTCCTATTAGACCAATGAAAGTGCTTCACACCAAACTCGATCGTGCACAGATGAAAACAAGCCTTGTTATATTAGATTATCAACACCACTATTTGGCGCACTGGGGTTGGTACAATGTAACACTCCTATCTCGCAATAATAGACAGATGATGAAAGCTAGATGGCGTCCCATTGAGTGACGATCTCTGTGTCTTTGCGGTATGTTGTGGTTGCCCTGGAAACCCCTGTAGCTACTGCTGCCTGTTAAGGGCCTTTATAATTGGGTCCTCCTTTCATATTATCCACCCTGGTTTTCTCCGTGCGTGACCTCCCCGGTCTTCTCTCCATGCCTCCTCCCGCTGGGTGGAGCCTACCTGATGGGTTCAAAGCCTTCAAACACAATGCCAAGGCAGACGCAAGGTGAACAGGGCAGCACTGCAGGTGAAGGACAGAAATTACCCATACAATTTCCAATGGTGTCCTAAAACCTAAGGAAAGAAAACGGAAAGGAGAATGATATTATCCACTTGATCATGTGGTATCAAGAACACATTGGATTGAATGGCTGAATAGCTTGGTATTTACAATATGCAGTCCAAACACAAATAATGGTCGCATGAGTTTCTTTTCATTTGAATTGTGACTTACATCTAAAATGATATTGTAAAGTTACAACATACAAGATGTCCTCCAAATCCTGCTTCTGGGTTTGTAACAGAAGAAGAACATCACATCCAGTTATATATTTTTGTTCATTCTGAAATTATGTATTTATATATATTTTTTAGAACCTTCAGTCTGAACTCCAGCATGGTCACAGTTACCTGAAGTCCCTGAGAGAGAAGGCGGAGCAGGCAGCAGGCTTCCTGGACGAGGCTGGTGCTGAACATTTGGGCAGCGAGGTGGAGGCCCGACTGTCCCAGCTGGAGGAGCTGTCCAGCGCTCTTCGGCAGGAGCATAGCTTCTTGGATCGGACCTTACTGCTGTCCAAGGAGTTTCAGGACCGCTACAAGGCGCAGGCTCAATGGCTAGTGGAAACAAGAGTGGTGCTCGCAACCCCCGTGGAGCCCAAAGCAGAGCTGTACCAGAGGAGAGCTCAGCTGGCTAAGTATAAGGTAATGTTAATAGACTCTAGAAGTCTGCTACTGACAAGATTTTGTGGTTTATATTCCACTGATATGACAAAGTAGTTTTAGCAGATATTTCAAGTACACATTTGTTCACAATGGTATTAGGATTAGATTAAATCTTTTCATCTTTATAAATCCTTAACCCCAGAAGTTTGTACATAAGTAGCAGACAGTTTAAGTAACAATTCAGTTTAATTAAAGTCCCTTGACAAACAGTGATCATTACTCATCATTTGTTGCTGCTCACTGCAGGCCCTGCTGCAGGTGGTCCAGTCCCATGATGGATCCGTGAGGGCGGTGGTGGAGAAAGGTGATGCTCTGCTGGCATCGGTCCATTACCCCTCAGTCCGAGACAAGATGAACAGGCTACAGAAGGACTACTGTGATCTATGTAGCACTGCTGTGGTAGGGCTTTTTGGAACATTCTAATTGAAATTTTTCTGACACTATTGCAAAAAGTAATTGTAGCCTTTGCTAATTGTTAGCAAAATGATTCTCAGTTTTGATTGCAAATAAACTAATTGCCCTTTAAAACCATTGTCCCCGATTTAAATATATGAAACACTGTAGGCTCATGTGGAGAGTCTGGAAGTGCAAGTGAAGGAGCAGGAAACATATCACAATGAACTCCAGGAAGTAGAGCGCTGGCTTCTGCAAATGTCAAGCAGGATGGTAACTCCTGACCCCACTGTGGGAGGCAGCCTGGAGGCAGCTACACAACAACTGGCCAGACACAAGGTAACCAACAACCGGAACTTATCTAGTGTATTGTATGCTGGATAATATTTTGTAAAAAAACTAAAAAAAGTCTTACATTTTTTAAAGATACATTATTCTAGATTTTTAAAAAGCTTTGTACACCTTACTATATTAAACATAGCTTAAAATATTATCATGTATCTAAAAAATATCACATGACCATGATTACTGAAAATGTGTACAAACGGATTAAAAAAATTACTGTAATTTATTAAAGTAATTAATGTTGTTTTAGTGTGAAATGTAATCTACTGTATATTGTTGTAACAGCACCTGAGACAGCAGTAGTAAAATCAAGTAGTTCAGCTGTAAGTTTGAATCTTGAATTTGCATATTAATAATCCATGCAAAAAGAGCATGAAAGCCCCTGACCACGTTCAACTGAACTCATTGCCTGATATGTATCCATGGAGACCCTCTCTAAAATGATTGCATTACATAGATTACATTCCTAACATATGATTACTTTGTCCTTCACAGGCCATAATGGAGGAAATCGCAGGTTTTGAGGAGCGCTTAGCGGGCCTGAAGGAGCGCGGAGACCACCTGGTACATGGCTGTAGTGAGCGTGTGCAGAACAGGCTGAGACAGCAGGTCCAGGCGCACCAACAAGGCACTCGAGACAGCTACTCCGCCATCTGTAGCACCGCGCAGAGGGTGAGACACGGGGGAGTGGGAGTGAGCTCTTCTACAAGTAACATACAGTGAAAAATAGGATAAGTGTGCTATTAAATATATATAAAAAAATTACAACATTTTTTAAATTCTTAGTCTCCTCTTTTAATGGGAATATTAGAGTGTGCTGTAACTAGCAACCTAAAAGTTCAAGAGTGAATGCACTTCTCATTGAGCCATTTCTTAAAACTTTTTTGAATTTAAACAGTAATCCTAGAAAATAAATTCAATATTCTATAAGCATTTCTTTATCTGCCTTAAAAAGAACAAAACATTTATGATGATATGTAAGTCTTTTTATTGGTTGCATGCAATTGCCTATGAATTATTCTCAGCACACACACATGCATAAATACTCAGCCAACATGTTAATGCTGCTAATTTTCTAACAGCTTAGACATCCACTTAATCCTAACCCATTCTGACACTTAAACCCATCTCTCAAGACAGCCCTTCACTGCCAGCGTAGAGGGCACAACCAATTAAGTCTGCCAACATGAAGCACCAGTGCAGCTACCCTCTGAAGCCCCCACCAACGCAAATCACTAACTCAATCTCCCCATATTAATCTTTGTGCATCCCCTGTCAACTTGCCTTTTTCATGCCATGGCCAAAACTGGTCACACACCACGATTCGGTGGATCTGGCATAGCCTATAATCCAGTGCCACTCTGTTGTTTTGGCAAGCTCTGTATTCTGTCATCATTGCCCACCTCCCCAAGGCACCACCTCTTCAGCCACTTGCACTCCCAATCTGGCATTGTGTGATCCAGCCACCCCTTTACCACACCGCCGCTGGCCACACTACAGCCGCGCCTCTACTGTCGCTGCCAACCGTGTCCCAGCACAACAGCGCTCTAATATCCTGCCTGCCACTTTCAACCATGCCAACCTCTCAGCTTTGCCAATACACCGGGCAGTTTGCCAATATGTGGCTGCCCCTCCTTTCTACTATTTCAGGCTCATATTAGCACTGTCAGTCAGACCTCCCTGTTTACCTCACTCCAGGAGGGCATGTGGGCTACCTCGTACAACATCTGTTTAATATGAGACTGCGGAAATGACAATATTCTGTATTGTCTTGTACTGTAGTCATTGGATCTCAGGACATCTTCAATATTGCTTTGGTTTCAGAGAGCCACAGATTAATTTCCCATCCTTTATCCAACAGGTTTATCAGAGTTTGGACCATGAGTTGCAGCGGCATGTGAGTCTTCAGGATGCCCTGCAGCAGTGCCAGAGCTGGCTGACCTCTGTCCCACCTGAACAGGAGCCTAATACACAAACTGCACTCAGCCTGGAGGAGGCGCTACAGCAGGTCAGTGAGACAAACTACAAACATAGACAAGTTGAAACTATTGCACTATTGTTTATGTTGGTTTACTAAAAGAAATAGCTGTCATATTTTGTACTGATTCTGATACTGAAGGTGAAGCAGGAGCGGGCTCTTCAAGAACAGGCTAGCACTTACCTCCAGCTGCTGTGTTCGACCTGTGATCTGTCTGAGCAGAGGGTCAGAGAGACTGCTGCTGAAATACAACAGGTCAAACTGCAGGTAGAGTGCCATTGTCTCTCTTAAAAATAAATTATATAATATGGTCTTTATTTTCTCACATATTCTATCAATCAATATTTTATGTCTTTTAATAAAATGTTCTAGATTGAGGACAGAATGATCCTTTGTGAGGAAATGGCTGACAGCTGGCGGGATATTGAAGAGCATAAGGCAGATTTAGAGGTCCAACTCCGAGAGACTGAGCAACAACTCCAAACTCTCTGCAGGAGACCTGCAGAATTGGAGCAGAAGATTGCACAAAATCAGCTGGACAAGGCCCAGGTTTGATGATGGATTGTATTCATCAACTATAAAATGTGACAGCTTAGATTTACCTTGTCACATCTGCTGCTTGCCCTATAGGAGTTCCTCCAGCAGATTCGAGAGAAGCAGTCAGAGGTGAGCCATCTGAATGAGGCTGTTTGTCGGCTGACAGACAGGCAAAACTGTCCTGTTTCTGAGGAGATAAGAAAACTCCAGAAAAGCTGGATGGAGCTTGGCCAGCGGGCCGAGGAGCTGGAGGCCCAGAGAGGGGAGGACATGCAGCGTAGTGGGGAGTACCAGGAGAGTGTGGCCACAGTGGAGGAACTTTTCCATCAAGTGTCCAGGGAGTGGGACTATCTTGCCAGGTATCACTGTTCACTTTAATGTACAGTAAACAAATGACATATTTTGCTGTTTGCTATGGTTTGCAAATAATTTTAATTCTTTCAAACTGCTCCTCCTCAGGGCTGATACAGAAAGCACAAGTGAACATCTGGAGGCACTCAGGAAGCTTTTCAGTGATTTGGAAGAGCAGCGTACAACTCTTGAAGAGCTAAGAGACCAGAGACAGGCCATACTTCCTCGACTGAGTCTTTTGGACAAGGAGCTGGTAAAACAGCAGGTGGGCAAGACAAGTTTACAATTGCTAATTACATTTGTTTTTAGTTTTAAAGGCGCAAGTTTTTATTTTTGCCTTTCTTTTCATGGTCTGTTTAACCAGGTGAGCCATCTGGAGCAGCGCTGGGCCCAATTAGAATCCGTCATTCAGCAGAAAATCCATGACTCTGCCCAGACATTGGAGGAGCTGGCTCGAGTGGAGACCCAGCTGCGGGAGGCGAGGGAGTGGGTGGAGGAGCAGAGGCCAACTCTTACTTCTGCACTGAAAGGCAGCCCACCGCCTGATGTGGCCCAGAGCTTCCTGTTTGACCATCTGAGCGTCTGTGTGGAGCTAGAGGCCCGACAGCAGTTGCTGACGCAGGCTGTGAGTGAGGCCCAGACAGTTATGCCTCGACTGGGACTGAGCGAGAAGAGAAACCTGCAAGAGCTGGTGGAGCAGGCCCAGGCAGAGGTGGAGGCACTTGGGGCACGAGTCACACAGAGGAGGAAGTATCTCAGCAAAGTAAGCAGCTTGTCTAGAAATAAAGGGCTTTTGTAATTCTACATAAGTCTACATAATGAAAGAAGATGAAACCTATTTTTCTTCATTTCTCAGGCATTCACAGAGAGGACACAATTCCTTCAGGGCCTTGGCAGAGCACTAAACTGGGTCCAACAGCAGGAGAAGAAAGCTCTGATAGATGATCACATAGCTCTGCTCCCTGAGGACCTGTCCAAACAGGTGTCTGTTTGCAGAGGCGTCCATAGTAGCCTGAGAGAGTACCAGAGGGAGTTGTCCTCTCTGTGGGCTCAAGGGCGAGAACTGGAGAGAGATGCCAGTGACAAAGAAAGGATAGAAACCATGTCCAAACTTCAGGAGCTGCAGATAGTGTTCGAGGCTGTGCTTCAGAGCACCACTCACAGACTCACAGACCTGGAAAAGGCTCTAACCTTCAGGAAGTACTTCCAGGTTGATTTGGACAAGACGTGTAACTGGCTGAGACAGGCAGATGTCATCACCTTCCCTGAAATCACTGTATATAATGTTGAGGAATGCTCCGAGCTGCAGTCTCAACTTTCAAAATATCAGCAAGTCCTAGAGCAAGCCTCTGAGTATGAGAACCTCCTGCTCATTGTCCAAAGAATCGGTCAGGAGATCCTCCCCACTCTGAATGAGATCGACCACTGTTACCTGGACGAGCGGCTGAATGCTCTGCCTCAGCAGTACAACAACATTTTAGCTTTAGCCAAAGAGAAGAAAGACAGGGTCCAGCAAATCATTCAGGAGCGAAAAGAGTTCAGCACTTTCTTTGATTTAACTAGTAATGCACTTGAAGAGCTGCAGGAGCAGTTTGACAATCTGGAAAAGCAGACTATCAAAATAAATGAAAAAGAGGTTCTATATCTAATTAATGAACATAGAAATATAAAACAAAGTTTATTGCATATAGGTGGCGCTATAAGAGAACTGAATGGTAAAAATGAGTTGTTATTGAGTAGAGGCCAGCATTATAAAGTTGAAGAGACACACCAGCTGCTAAATCTTCACAAATCATTAAAGAGGAGAAATAATCAGAGCCTTAGGGACTTAGAAGAGAATGGTTTGAAAATAGTAGCTGAACACAACAATGAGGTAAACAAGTTGAATCAAGAGTTAGAGTTAGTGAAGGAGGAACTTGTCACATTAAAAACAAACTCCAAAATTGGAGCTGGGGCTAAAATGAGTAGTCTGTATTTGATGCTGGAGCGTCTGGACCGTGTGAACTTTCAGACAGAAGAATGTATCCAACACACAAAAAGCCTTCATCTGAACTTTGACCCCGCTGCTTTACGGAACCTTTTATCCCAACAAGAACTATTACAATCAGCGCATGGTGATGTACTATGTTTTATTGAAGAGATTAAAAAAGACCCCATAGACTTTGAGAACGTACAGGAGTGGTTGGAAAGGATCAAGTCTAAACTGGAGGAGCCTGTGGTCCTTTCGGAGGTCACGGTTAATCATGTACATGTGCAACTATGGAGACTGAAAGCCATCGGAGAAGAAATGAAAAGTAGTTTTATTGCAGCAGAAACCTTTAAAACACATGCAGAAGAGAAACTGGCAAAGATGCAAGAAGAAATCCAACAAGCAATGAGCAAAAAACAGGTACATTGTATTTTAGCTTTTTTTGTAGGTTAGTATGTTATGTATGCATGCTAAATTTTGTATATATGTACTTCTAAACAATTAACTGAGAAAGTGAGAAATAAGTACCTATTCATATATTTCCCAGTTTAAACATTATGTAAAAATGAAGAGCTCATCTTTAATAAATGCAGTGTTGAATCCCAAAGCCTCCACTGCTGAAAATATATTAAATAACTTAGCACTTTTTTTGCTCGTTTAAGCCTAGGATTTTAAACGTTAATTAACTGTCCTTCTGTGTGTTTTAGCTCGCTGTGGACGAAGCTTTTTCCTTGGTCCAAAGGCACCACTTATCGCTGCAGTCTGCACAGAAATGGTTGGACTGTGCCTCTGCATTTCTCCAAAGGGCCGACGCAGGACTAGAGCTAGAAAACCACACTGACTGGATGCAAGACCTGGAAGAAATTACAGCTCAGGAAAAGGACTTCACAGCTGCTTTGGAGGAGTTACTAACTGTGGACCCTCTGCTTGTGAAATATGCGGAATCAGGGGAGATGAGTAAAGTCCGAGGGCAAGTAGAAGCAATCAAGATGAGGAAAGCAGAGGCAAATCAGCAATTGGATGTGCACCGAGACACACTACGAAGGTATATTTATACATATTGTCCATTATGAAAAAGTTTATGTTTGACACTATTGTGAATGGTGTAATAGTATTCAAGGCAGTCATACTATCGCTTATATATGTATGTTCTCTCCTAAAACTTACAATAATCTTGTATTATTAATAGGTGTGGAGCTCTGTGCACCTCCTTTCAAAAGGAAAAAGATGCAGTAGTTGAGCAATTGAATGATACAGAGAGCAAGATGGCCTCATTCACAACAGCCAAAGCCACCAGTCTACAAACAGCAGAGGACAAATGCCAACGATATAAGGTAAAAACATTTTTTTTCTTTCCATTTCCATCCATCACGTTTGACTTTAGTCCTTTTTCTCAATCTAACATGCAATCTCACTTTGCGAACTCTCGTCTGCAGTCCCTGATTGCTCACTTGGATCTTTTGGAAGTGCCTTTAAATGCTGTGAAAGACATCAGTAAAGAGCTGGAGCAGATCATTTCTGACTCTAGCACCATAGTAACCAGCCACTGTGTCTCAGCACTATGGCAACGCTGGACCAAGCTGTGCAGTGTGGCCCGTGCCCAGGAGAGGGCGCTAGTGGACACTGCTAGAGAGTGGAGAAATTTTATGGAAAAGGTAAAATATTTCTGCTGTTTTGTTTTGCTTTATATTGAAAATATGTACTTTTTTAAAGCTAGTATTTCACATTTGCAACATTGTACAGCATTTTGTATAAATTCAATATAGGGCTGGGCAAATTTTGAATTGTGATCAAGATTGAGATTCAGTCACATTGTTAATCACTAATTGTTAATAATATGCTTGGGTATTTTTAATCTAGAGGCCTACACCCTCTGTCAGTAAAAGCATGTTATAAATCAAGATAGATCAATAATTGTGAAAATAACTGATTTCTTTTTTTTTTGCAATATCCCCCAGCCATAATTTGGTTTCATACATAACTTATTTTCTTTTTATACAAACCTGTTCATGTGTTGCTATTACAGCTGATTCACGCAGAAGTAGGTTACACAGTCACACCAGTTGGAGCTGTGATGTAACTCCAGGCTTCAGTCCAGTCCTCCGCCTCTGCCAAAGCACTGTGTCATGTAGTGTTTTCCCGCCTTTCAGCCCAGTTCAAGTGAATTTTTGTCTCTAAATTCCCACAGTCCCTTGCGCCGAAAGAGGAAATGAGGTCAAACTGTGGGAAACAGTGGACACTTCCTTAAATGTGGCACAACTCATGCTGTCCACTCTTTCTCTATGACTCTTTTGTTTAACGGGGGCTGATGTCATCAGAGTGATATCTCCAGCTCTCTCTCTTTCACTACTTCAGTGCTTTACAAACAACAATGCTAGTCCCAAAAGCAGCATGAAAACACATTAGACTAAAAGGACTTTTTATTTAATCCTAAAAGTACATATTCTTGTCCAATATTTAATTCTTGTCCAGTATTTTGCTTTGGGGCATTTGAATTATTTATGTATGTTATATAATGATATATATTGAAAAATTGGTATTTGTACGAGGCACTTGGTTCCTACACACTCTAAAATGGTGGCTAAGTCCAAGTTTATATAAATGAGTTAGCATTGTGCAATGAAGGAGGCATTAATAAAGAGTAAAGGCTTTTAGAGCTGCCTTAGAGGGTTTAAATTGCCAAACTGAATCATGTTTATTAAATAAAAAAGACCTTTATGGGTTTCTCTGGTCGGTCTAATATACTATTTGTGTGCTTAGATGGAGAAGGTGCGGTCTGTATTTGAGGACCTCCGTGGCAGAGTCCCTGACAGCACAGTGGAGAAAGCAGCCACCAGAGCGGCGCTGCAGAGCCTTCTGGAGTACCATGACTCTTATAGTGTGGAGCTGGAGAGGGAGCAGTCTATCCTGGCCCTGCTCAATCAGCTGACCTTGAGCCTAAGAGGAGAGAGAGAGAACAGGGAGGGGGAGAAAACTGAAAATGGGCACAACCAAACACTGTGGATGGATCAGATCAGTGACTACCAGGAGCAATATGATACGTAAGGATTTAAATAACATTAATTTAACTATCACTATATGCTGTTCCCTAATATATAATTCTGTGTATTTTTTTCATTAGGTTTATTTAGTTATTATAATTCAGAACTATAATAACATATTTCACAGTAAGACCTAATAAGATTTTTATTTTTTACATGGACATGCATAAACATAATACTTAATAGCACAGGTGTAAATTGATAAACATTATGATAGTGTTAGATAGAGAGATAACTTAGAGATAATATGAGTAATAATAGTTTTGTATGTGCATGGTTTTGTGCAGCCTTCTGCAGCAGGTGCGAAACAGCCGGGCTCAGGTGCAACAGGAGCTGAGGGAGCGGGAGGAGGTGGAAAAGGAGCTGGGACTGGTCAAAGGCTGGATCCAGGACACTCGGGGGCTGCTCCTGAGCCCCACTGCTGACCTGGACTCTCTGCTGCAGGAGCTAGAGGTACATCACCCAAATTCAACTGTCACACAAAGACAAGATGTAGTGTATAATTTCTTTCTAGTTCTGAAATGGATGACTTTATTTATTTCTGCAGACTGCACATGGTGAGGTCATCAGTAGGCGCCAAAGTGTGGAGCGTATCACAGAGCTGCAGCAGTCCAAGTACCAGGAGCTCCAGGCAGGTCTCCCCTCAGAGCTCAGTATGCAGCTGGCCGAAGTGGCTCTGGCTTTGGGCTCTGCAGAAGATCAGGTAACTCCTCAAGCTTACACTGTGGAGAATATCAATAGTAAACATTTAAGATAAGTACAGACTCAATTAAATTATGAGGATGTAAAGAAGGTAGTAACTTTCATCATCATCAGTGTATATGTTAGATAGAAAGTTTGCATTATTCATTATAAAAAATATCATACAGATAAAGCAACATGCATGTATAAATCAACAACAAAATGTACAACTTTGGTGTAAAAATATGATTAGTTATACCTGATATAAAATCTTATATCAAAATGGACTTGTGATTTACATTTTTTTATTGCAAATGTTGTATAAGTAATATTGTACTGGTGTCTTTTCCAGGTTCAAGCTAGAGAAAGGGAGATACAACAGACCCGTGATGTCAAACAAGACTTCAACTCCAGACTCCAGGACATGGAGACAAAGCTGAAGACCATAGCCCTAAAACTGGAGGACAAGAGTGGAGATCTAGAGGAGGCCAAAGAAGAGACCAAGGTAATCAAGCAGACAGATTGACTAATTAGTAGGCAATTAACCCTGGCTCCACTGGCTATCCATCCTGCAGATGTTTAGGTTAATGAGTGTGTGTGAGTTGGAATGGCAGAGACTGGATCTTGCCTTCATAGGTGACCCACTTTAGTGAATATAATTTCACGTGGGAGTCTAAGCCCACCGTACCACCTGTTTCTCTCATTTGTTCTTCCTGTCACAAAACTTTTTCTCTCTATTCATTTGAGAAACATGGCTTTTAACTAGGTGTTTACATTTGTGTGTAGGTGTAACATTTTGTACATTTCTCTTAAATTCACCTAATTTTTATTTTTGAGATGTTTTAGGAGAGGTTAATAATTCAATTTACAGAAAAAATGTAACCAAGAATATCACATAGAATATCACAAGAAGAGTCATACAATAACTAACTGTGCTATTGTGACTGTAACCTATAATGTTTCTTTATTCTAGACCATCTGTGAGGAGTGTGAATGCTGTGGACGAACGTTGGGAGAGTTGGGGGTAGCGGTGCAGGAATTTGGAGAGCAGAACCCTCTTTTGTGTAAACAGCTGGGGGACGCGGTGACCAAACTAATGGAGGTGCAGCGTCACACAGCACAACAGATCCAAGACAGATCCAACAGACTGAAAAAGGTGAGCAAGATAATAGTTTATTTTAATTTTATTTACATGAATACAATGAAAACAACATGATAACAGTTCATATTAATGATGTCAAGAGAAACACAATAGTGTCCAGTTACATGCCACGTGTAGTAGTAATAACCATTATATACATGTTATAGACCATTTAAGGTGTAACAGTTTTCCTTTTTTGGTAGATAATTGAAGTAAGTTTTTATATTCAATATGGAAGACTTCCAGCCTAAAACCTACACCCAATTAGTATGCAAAAGACTCTGCAGAGGGAAGCTATTGTGATTTCCTATTGCTAAAATATTAATGCTCTCTTATGGTAATATCTTTTAATTTTTTTGTGCTCTTTTTTGGTCTGTTCTGAGCAGGCGGAGAGACAAATGGAGGACTACCAGAGCATGAAGTCATTCATCCTTTCTTGGATCGAGAAGGCTGAGTGTATGGTCAGTGGGAACATCATATGGAGCTCTGCGTCACAGCTGCAGGAGCAAATCCGTGCACACCAGGTTTGTTTTAACGAGCTTCACCGGAGGAGGTGTAAAGCATAAAAAATTCCCAATAAGTGCTGTTAATTGTGTGAAAATATGTGTGATTTATCCCACCATAATAAATTTGAATATTTGGACTGTCGTCATTGTTAAGACATGCCATGTACCAACACCAATTATTTTCACAGTGCAGTTTAGTGTGCAATAAGATGTCATGTACAGTAGGGTATGATGACTGGGTTTAATTAGCATAATTGCTCACCAGAAATAGGCTTTTGGCTTTGAGTTGTAATTTATGTTCATATGGTGACAGGCGCTGCTCCGGGAGTGCAGGGGTCTCCATGGCGACTTGGAGGCCATGCTGGAGCGGGAGGGGCAGCTGGGCGAAGTGCTACAGACCGACAGGTGGGGCCAGCAGGTGAGAAACCTGAGCAGACGGACAGAGGAGCTGCAGCAAACAGCCAGAACACGACTGCAGAATCTACAGGATGCAGCTAAGGTAATGAAACCAACACCAACTGACAGTAGAGCTGGCATTAGAGCTAGTTATGTCACCCGTAATTAGAATTTTAGCCCAATGTTAAAAGATTTTCAGATGCTAGATTTAGCGGTCATTCAAAAGCATTTGGACACTATAGAATGGTAAATGTATTCATCAGTAGTGACGCAGAAGATCTGGTAGTTCCATCTTTTTAATGGTGTTTTGGCCCGTATATCTCTATGAGCTTTTGCACTACCCCAGGAACATGGCAGAAATTCATCAGTAATGTATTTAATGTTCCATCCCGAGCTCTCTACTATTATTATTCATTAATGAATTAAAAATATGGCAGAAAAGTTACATAATGTCAGCAATTGCATACAAAATATTTATAGTATGTATTCATATTGTGTATACCAATATAGAAATGACTGTTCAATAACATTCTTGTGTTGTGGACTCACTGTCATTGAATTAAGAAATAACTAAAGTCCAAGAGTGCCCCCTTTTGACTATTAACCAGTAATACACTACACATTGGAATCAGCATCTTTTTTGGCTTATGCTGCAGTAATCTTTCATGATAATCTCATTGTGTTCATCTGGAGCACAGATGAGAATCTGTTGTTAATAACATTGTGATTTCAAATCTGTTTATCTCCCCTCCTGTGTATTTGGAAAGACTATTCTTTCATAATTTGCTATTGTATTACCTCTTCTCCCCCATTTTTAAGCCTTGCGCCTTTTGCCAATTATAGATTTGGGTTGATAACAGTTAAAGAGTTATCAATGGTTTTGCTAACAAACACTTATCTTGGCCTTTATAAGACGTAAACCAAGCAATATGAATATTGATTAATACATTGTGTATTTATCTCAGTTTTTGTTCATCATCTGTAAGTAAGAAAGATGGAGGAATTGGATAAAATAAGTTAGCAATGGAGTATTGTATTATATTTATATTTTGTCTCATCAGGATATGTTGCGTTTGGAGGCAGAGGTGAAGAGTCTCCATGCTGCTGTGGACCAGGTCCAGATCACACTTGCATCTCCAGATCTGAACCGACTCAGCCTCAGAGAGCAACTCACTCAGAGACAAGTAATCAATCATCATACTTTGGTGTTCCTAAATCACAAGGTAATATTTTCTGATATCTAACATCAACTATCTCTGTATCAGCGAGTACTGGTGGAGATGGAGGGCTTCAAGCAGCAGGTAGCAGCAGTCCAGCAGTGTCAGAGCGCCCTCCGGCTGCCAGAGGAGGCAGTGGCCAGTCTCCCCATCTGTCGAACTGCTCAGACTCTGCAGCAAGAGGCCAGCCAACTGCAGCACACAACCATTCAGCAGTGCAATATACTGCAGGTAGGGGGCAGTAGTTGCATCAATAATAACTTCATTAATCAAACAAGAATAACCACTATATCATAAAATGCAATGTTTAAAATGGACAGATGCTTGACACAGTCACATTACAATGCTGTTTGCCTTCTGCTTCAGGATGTGTGTTGTCCTGACAGGCCTCTCAGGAATGTTTTGTTTAGCCCTCATAAGACCATCGTTGTCTCATGGTCTTTTGTTTTTTTTGCATATTTTGCATGGAAGACATGAAGTTTGAGATAATAAATATATCAGTATTCCCTTTGAAGTTTGAACTTTTGTACTGAAATGTCGCAATGAACCCAAAATTTACTGAATACAATTTAAAAGGTCCTGTTATTGCTCATCATCTTTCTTTAAATGTTTTCTTTCTTTTCTTTTTCCAGGAGGCTGTGGTGCAATATGAGCAGTATGAACAGGAAGTGAAAAATCTCCAGAGACTAATAGAAGAAGCCCATCGCATCATTCAGGACCGTCCCGTCTCCACCAGCAACATCCAGGAACTGCAGGCTCAAATTCACCATCACGAGGTCAGAGAGGACACTCAGCTTGTCCACTTAAATGTATGAAATGTGTGAGAGTTGACATATTCACCAGCCTAAGTCACTGTAACCTATGAGTAACAGTTCAAACCTGAACGGCTATACTACCTATTATGGACTTGTGCGCTTTGTAATGCTGCTATAAAAAGCCTCAACTCAATAACAAGTCAGTGAATAACCTCTGCACAGATTCTTCTCTTATCTACAGTGTATTGTAAATATTATTTTTTTGTCATTTCTTTCTGCTACCTAAGCCCTAGGCCTTTTGCTGCAGTCTTGGCTGCTGAGTAAGTGTATTTGATCTCCCATGCAGAGAATGAAACTATGCAGGCAAGAGTTAGTGAGTCAAAAACTGCGGTGCAGCAGCCCTGTGTTGGCACTCTGACAAGGGACAAGAGTTTCTATGGCAGTGTAATAAATTATTCAAGCTAATAAAATAAAATAAATGAAAAAGAATACAACATTTACAACAACACGCTATCAAGATGGCACATTACTCCCCATATACTCCCTACAGCACTGCAGAATAGTGTTTATAGATGAGTTTATGTCTGATCTCTAAACTCACTACTCTACTGGCTCAGTTAGTCACGTGACCCGATTATCAGTGAGCCGACCATCTGCAGGACTCACACAGGGAGCACGGAGAGGAGGAGGGCTGGCCTATAGCAGCCCTGTAATCTGACACCTCCTCTGTCATAGCTCCCTTTTGTTAGACCAAACTGCCCTCAGGATTGGCCGGACAGCAGGCAAAGAGGAAAGGGGGATGCAGCCTGGTGAGGTCACTTCCTGTTTTTCCTTGGCATTTGTTGTATGTGTTGTATGAGAGAGGGAGTGTCTTTCTGTCTGAGGAATTTTGAACTATTTCTGCTGGGGTCTTTCAATCGCTCTACCAAACATCCTGTTGTGTTTGTGAGTTGCCCGCCTCTGAGCTGCTCTGATTGGCTCAAGGATACCAGATACAGAAAAAATATTAGAGAGTGGAAGCTCTTGTGCTTATTCAGTGTGAGACGGGGAGGAGAGAAAATGCGTCCGCTCTACTTACTCATCGCATGCCGGCACCACATTCAACGCTGACTGAGACTACCCCATTAAACAAGGATCTATTTAACAAGCAACTATTGATTTCTTTCTGTGGACTGGACCTTCTTGACCCCAGGGGTGTCGGGGTCTCCATTGTAACCTGGGGGCTATGTTTTGACAGGAGCTGGCCCAGAAAATCCGTGGCTACCAGGAGCAAATTGCCTCTCTTCACTCAAAGTGTAAGATGTTGACAGTGAAGGCAAAGCATGCCACCATGCTGCTGACCGTGAGTGAGGTGGAGGGGCTTTCTGACGGCATGGACGAGCTCAGTGACGATGAACTGCCAAATGCTGTCACCAATGGTAACACAACCGGCTCCAAGCAGCTGCCCGCACACCCCTCCGTCGTCATGGTGAGTGGACAAGCCTTTTTAGGACATGCACATGTACAAATGCTGTCTGAGAACCTGTTGGCCTGTATGTTAAAACACATTTCCTTCCTCTTTACATAAAAAGAATCTGATGCACACATAGTTTACACATCTGTTTCAAACCTTTGACCAGATATAATGATTACACTTCCATTCCTTGTCACTATGGGAAAACCAATACATACTCACTTTTATGGGCAAAATGTTAACGTATAATCTTTGGCTCAACAGCTTTGCATGGATATGTACTGTAGCATCAGTACTATAATTTCAGTCCCATTTGAACATGAATGCTGTTTATTCATAACATATGAAGGCACAGTTATACTGTAGGTAGATAAATAGCCTCTTTTGCTGCAATATTCTGGTTGACTGATGTGTCACTTCACTTCATATTAGCCCACTTCTGTCTGCCTGCTGCTGCTCCAGTGTCCTACTGAGCCTGATAGTTTATGTTTTCTTGAGGCAGAAAACCTCCATACATTGTCCTTGTGTTTTCAAGTGGCTGTTGTATTCAGATTTGTGTGCTTCCTTTAGCCTTGTCACTGTTGCTTAGTGCACTCAGGAAACAGGATGTTGCTGCATGCAGGTCTGGCTTTGAACAGAGAGTGTGTATGTGGCATAAATAGGCACTGATGTAGATTAGTGTTGAAGAAATTTAACTCCTATCATCAGACTTTCCCACACAGTCCTCTGGTTTTCTAAGGCTCTCTGTTGCGTGTGCATTGCATCATAAAATGTGGAAAAAAATCTCAAGTCAGCCGGGCCGAGGTTTGCACTAAGTGCCAAAGCCAGCCCAATAGGGCTTGGCTCACATTTCTGGTCTGCCTCTGTACTAAAGCATGCAGCCACAAACTCTGTGCTATTTCTGGGACAGCTGCTGCAAGTTCTTTTGCCAATTAATGCTGCTCTATAACTTCATTCAATTTCGTACTATCAAAATTTTTACTTAATTTTGAGATAAATGTACTTGTTAAAAAAGTACATAAAACATGAAGATTCGGATTCTACTTTCATGGCTACAGAGACAGGAAATGCTTTGTTTGAGGTTGAAAATTAGTAAATCTGAATACCTGAACTATTTGAAGTGTAGTCTCAGTGTGCATTCAGTAGATAATGGGGACTTTAGACTTTCATCATGTGCAATTCCTTTGTACTGATGCATCCTGTCTCTGTGGCTCATTCACTCTTAATGTTTGTCTTCTACTTTTACTTTGTAGAAGAGTGTAGAATATGCTTTGTGTTTTTTACTGTCACTAGAATTCAATAAATTAATATGTTACTGACGTGATTGTTTGATTACTTCCTACTTACTAAATGATGTGCTCATTGCAGTCTTCCTAACCTCACTCCCTATTAATTTATGCTGTGTTCTTTTTCTCCTCTGTCCCACTCCGTTTCCTTTCTCCTTACCCTCTTGTGTTGCCTGTGGTACCTGCTTCTTTGATGCTTGTGTTTGATGTGCGGTGTGGTCAGATGACAGCAGGCCGCTGCCACACGCTCCTCTCCCCTGTCACAGAAGAATCAGGGGAGGAGGGCACCAACAGTGAGGTCTCCTCTCCCCCTGCCTGCCGCTCCCCCTCCCCAGGGGCTAACGGGGACGCTGCTCTTAACCAGGTACTGCGGACATGATCGTGGGACACTCCAGAGCTCAGACAACTCTCCTTCAGTCAAGCTTAAAGGGATTTTGCAAAAACAAACTGCTGTGAAGAGGATATAGCTTAGACTGAACTTGCAAAAGCAACAGGATCATCCTTTGAATGCATACTTTGTATTTTGCATTGTGAATCTTATGCAAAGTTACATAACAGAGAAATTATTGGACAAATTATTTTATTAGAAACGTTAGGGACTGTAATGTTTTCAGATGTGGGAGAGTTGCTGTGTGGCCCTTGCTTCCCTCGCTGCTAATTTTGTTTGATTTACTTTGCTTTAACCCCTGAAATTACATTACCCTCAATTTGTGTGCAATGAGGCACTCTTCCTTTATAAAACACTATGAAAGAAACATAGGTTGTCCTCTCTGTAATGTTGTGTAGTAACTACAGACAAAATCAATAGGGTCAAAGTCACAGTCTCATGAGACCTGGTGGTTATGAAAAACGAAAAAAAAAATCACACTTGTGTTAATAAATAAGGTCTGTAAATGTGCAGTTAATATGGAGAAATGTTTGAATAATTTTAACTCTCTTCTAGGTACGTGGGAACCTAAGTCGTGCTCCTCTCCAAGAACTTTATGATCCATCAATGGAAACAAATGCTGCTAACCTGGATGATCTGCAGAGATCCTGGGAAACACTAAAGAACGTGGTACGTCTTTACACCATTTTATGTAGCAAGAAACATTTTTGATGCTATTTATATTTCTAACACTTAATTCACTTGGAAATAGATCAGTGAGAAGCAGAAGAGTTTATATGAAGCCCTGGAGAGGCAGCAGCACTACCAAGAGTCTCTACAGTCCATTTCAACAAAGATGGAGACCATTGAAGGAGCACTCAATGAAGGTCTGGAGCCCAACAAGAGCCCGGAAAGCCAAATGGCTGCACATCAGGTAAGAGAGGGGTAATATATGACCTAATAAAACTTGCACATAGTTCTCTAAAATTTAAAAAATTCTAGTGTCATATTTGTCCTGGGCCGAGTGTATCAGAACATTCAGTAATAAAATAAATCACTAACTTTCTGGTTTGCACTGGCTAGAGCAATGGTGCCACTGTCCTCATGTCATTGTACACTGTTGCTATGCCAACTTCAGCAAAAACAGCAAATACAGTTCCTTTGTGCTGGCAGGCGTTTCGACAAGCCACTATTATAGCTTTAATTATGCCCTTTCCTTTTCCTCCATTTCCTTAGGTTTTTTTGTACATTCTTTGGCTCTCTGTGTCCAGGCACTCATGGACGAGATTCTGATGCTGCAGGATGAAATAGGAGAGTTACAGACATGTTTTTCGGAGGAGCTGGGAGACAATGACAGTGATGGGGAGCCAGGAGACCAGCTGGCTCTGCACTCTACGCTCACGGTGCTCGGAGAGAGGATGGCAACCATCAGAATGAAGGCTTCTGGGAAACGACAACTACTAGAGGTTAGAGACATTTGTACTTTTGCTTGATCTTTTTTTTTCATACTATAGGGGTAAAATTCCTACATCTAACATGAAAACATCTTTAGCAATAGCACAAATAGCTCTATTAAGTGACTTTTATAGAAATGCATTTAGTTCTATGATATTTGATGGTGTTTACTCTGTTTATCGTCTGAAGCCAAACTTTATCATATGAGAGACAAAAAACAAAACAACTATTTTTAGATTAATCTCAAATTCTGTTGAAATTGTAACTTCGACACTTACTATTACTTGAACAATAGTTTAATCTGCTCTGAAATTTAAATTCTTGTTCACACATTTGATGTGTAATAGATACACACTGTGAACTGAATTTTAATTTTAAAAGGAAAGACCTGCATAACAAAGCTGTTTAGCCCTCGTTCATAGTCTGTTGAAGCTTGTGTTTTTATAGTAACTCTAAATGTGATGCTGCAGGAGAAGTTGAGTGAGCAGCTGGAGGAGCAGAGGCAGGAGCAGGCCTTACAGCGGTACCACAGCGAGGCCGAGGAGCTGGACCACTGGCTCCTCAGCACCAGGGCCACCCTCAGCTCAGCTCTGCAGCTCCACTCGGAAGATCTGGACATGGAAGAGCAGCTTATAGACTGTCAGGTGAGACTTGTTCTACTGGCTGTAATAATGCTTAAGGGCTAACAGATCATATAGAATCATTTCCATATGTAGGTCACGTTTATTGCTCTGACGGATTTACTTTCATGTGATGTAATATAATTCTGGCTATACAATACTCTTCTTGTATTATCTCTTCAACACAGGAGATAATTATAGTATGCTGTACTGTGAGTGTATTTAAACCAAGTTGTAACCAAACAATACATTCATTTTTAAGTTTGGTAGGAATCCAGATTTCATAACGTGGATTTCATTGCTCTAGCTGTTACAGTGCTGTACTAAAAACTGTACTAAGAGCTGTGTTTTCAGTAGAACTCCAGGCTAGTCACCAAGAGTCACTGAAGAAAATATAGGAGTTATTTTCATATATATTAATTAATAGGAGACCATTACACCTTTACAACTGCAGGATAGGACCAGTGACTGTGCTTCAAGTTACAGTTCCTCGCTCTATGTTAAATTATTGGTCTGAATCGCTTGCCCCGTTACATTCCTCAGTGACTTCCTCCTTTGTTTCTATAGATACTAGTTCATAGGCATTTCTTTTCCAGGGGCATCTTTGAACATATCACATTTTATATAAAATTTATCTTACTCTTCTGCTTCAGCATTATACAAAATTAATATTATTTATTTAATGGACTATCTAATCATCTTTGAAAAATTTAAAAGATTTGATTTACCCAAATTCTTACAACCAAAAAGGAAGTATTTTAGTAAGTAAGTAAGTAAGCACTGATCTAAAATTAATGCTAGTGAGTGCTAGTTTAATTCGTGTTTTGAAGTGCCGTAATAGGGGTCCTGACATGTTCAGTGTTGTAGTATTATGGGGCCCTAATAAACTGTTAAATGTGTGCAAGTGTGTGTGTGCGTGTGCGTGTGTATTTGTGTGTGTAGCAGCTGCGAGACAATAAGCTGATTAAAGCTCACATATGTCTCCCATTGAGATCAGGTCTAAGGGTCTGTCCGCACAGATCATTATCTCCAGGGGGCGTCACTGCACACAAGCATGAATCATTGCCACTATGATTTCAAATGTTATGTCTTATGCTGTATAATTTAGGGGTTCAGTTGTGCTGACAAAAACAGAAATTATGATTGTATCTTTTTTATACAGTAGGGAAAAGAAATAAATGTGTAGTAAATATCATTACACCTTACAATTTATTTTGAGTAGTTTTCCTAACACAGCCTTCTTGCGTCCTTTTGCATTGTTAATTGTTGAATTCGGTTTTATGCAACCAATTACGTGTTATATTCTGTAATTAGAGCTTAAAAGGCTAATCTTCAAATGTTAATGTTCCATGCCCTGCCTTCTACTTTGTGAGAAAATTCTTGTTGGAGAATGACTAGTGGTCTGGCATTTCTGGTTAGAAACCCTGTACTTTGCAGAACACAGCCCTAATCCCCTCTCAGCACAATTGGTCACACTTTGCTCTTTTGAAAAGAGAGGGTCTGCTTTTTTGTCTTTTGTCACCAAACCATGTCATTTGTGAGTAAATTGTAGGGATTGAAAACTTAAGTTATTTGAAATACAAAGGAGTTATTGTGTGTTTGAATCATCAAAAACCAACAACTTATTTTATTTTGTGATTTTTGTGTGTTTAGAACATGCTGTTTGAGATTGAGCAGAAGGTGTCCTATCTCTCTGAGCTCTCCGTACACAGTGAGAGCTTGCTGTTGGAGGGACGAGCAGAGACCAAAGGAGAGGCTGAACAACTGTCCCTAAAACTACGCTCTCTCAAAGACAGCCTCCTCGAACTACAGCAGATGCTACAAGACAAACAGGTTGACATACAGGTAATTATACAGAGATTTATTATCATTTTTGTGTATGAAATGTCCAAATCCACATATAACTCCTGCATTTTGTTGCTTTAGCTTGGTACTAGTACTTGTTGTCAATAGTAGCATTGTTGCTAAAGTCATGTGGGGATTCTTCACTGTTTTCTATAGAACAACAAAGCCTATTTGTTTCACAATAGGCCACAGACAACTGAAAAATACGCTACCTCATCACATGTATACATTACACAGGTGTATTTCTGGTGACACTGCACAGCTTTGTGAACTTTTGACTTCATTTTTGTTCAATTTGCATAAACACTTTTCCAGTAAATAATGGTTAACCACAGGCTGTTGATTTAGAGAGGAGTAACATTCCTTCATCTCTGTCTCACTCCACTCCACAGAAAGAGTTCTTTGTTAATAAGGAAATGTTGACATGACATTTTTGTGTAATTATTTACCCACTACATATAAAATATATGACAAATATTCAGTTTTTCATAGTTTTTATTATTTGTACTTCTTTTACTGATATTTTCCCAGGGTTCACTGCAGGAACAGGAGGAGAGTGAAGCGAGTTCATCCTTATCCCAAAGTCCAAACGTCCAGGACTGGCTCTCTCAGGCCAGATCATCTCGGACCCAGCAGCATCACGACAACCTGCTCCGACAGAGGGTCAGACTGTTTTACCTTATCTTTTTACCTTATCTTTTCTCTCTCTCTCTCTCTCTCTCTCTCTCTCTCTCTCTCTCTCTCTCTCTCTCTCTCTCTCTCTCTCTCTCTCTCTCTCTCTCTCTCTCTCTCTCTCTCTCTCTCTCTCTCTCTCTCTCTCTCTCTCTCTCTCTCTCTCTCTCTCTCTCTCTCTCTCTCTCTCTCTCTCTCTCTCTCTCTCTCTCTCTCTCTCTCTCTCTCTCTCTCTCTCTCTCTCTCTCTCTCTCTCTCTCTCTCTCTCTCTCTCTCTCTCTCTCTCTCTCTCTCTCTCTCTCTCTCTCTCTCTCTCTCTCTATATATATATATATATATATATATATATATATATATATATATATATATATATATATATATATACACACACATTAAATAATTTGACATAAAAGAATTCAATTATGTGATGATATTGTTGTATACAAATAATTTGTCTTAAGTGTTATATCTCACAATTTTTATTTTGTTTTGGATTTTTATGAAATTGAGAAAGTATTTAAATTATATAAAACGTTGAATTAATAAAAAAATATTTATTGTGTAGGAGCTTCAGGCACAAGTGGCTGAACAGAAGCGGCTGCTCCAGTCTGTGGCCACAGTCGGGGAAGAGGTGCTCAATCAGACTACACCCAATGGAGACAGGTATGTTTTACTTTACACTATTATTACTACACTATAATTATACATTCAATAAAAGCTTTTGTTGTGGACAAAAACATCTAAAACTCATCTTGTGTCTACAGTGAGATGTGTGTCCCAGGAGGAGTTTTGCTGGAGGCAGAAAGCGTGTCTCCACTGGATCAGCTGAGGCAGCGCTGGGAAAACCTCAACAAGGACCAAAGCACAAAACTACAACTATCTCTGAACTCTCTGGAACAGGAGCAACTCAGTCCAGTATGGGACACATTTATCATACATTACATTTAACATGATTGATTAAGTCTTAAATTGTAATTGCATTGTGTACATTTGCAGGTCCTCCATCGCTCCCGTCTGTCAAGTCCTAGTGTTGTTTTTAGAAGTGATGTTTTGACTCAGGATGCTAGGTCTCCAAAAGCTCTGTTTGAAACCTGCAGTCAGACTCTTGAAAGAATAGACCAAGAGGTAAAACTTTGCTTATTCTTTTTGTGCATTATTATTTTGAAGTAACCTCTCCACACACCTGACCTGTAACTGGGCCTGGTGGCATCACCTATTTGTCCCAAATGAGATAGATAATTTTACCATCATACTGTGGAACATTTCAGGCAAAGCTAAAACATGTAGTCAAGTAATAAACTGCACACTGTAAATGCTAAATTGTTATGGAAAAATACTGCACACTTGATCATGTAGACATACAATTGAGCATGTGTTTAAAATTGTTCTAATTGCAGACTGAAACAGAGAGCAGATCATCTGCATCTTTAGGGGGAGCCATGGTGCAGCAGGACCTGTACAGTGCAGTGTCTGCTGCCTCCACCTGGCTTGATGCTGCAGAGAACCAGCTCCTCTCAGGCCCAGTGCTGCTGTCAGAGGACACAGAGATGCAGCTCACGCATCTAGAGGTAGGAACAAGGACACAGAAAAATCACCTCTACTGTAAGATTACAGTGTTAGGACTAGACAGTTATTTAGTCATTGTAATGGTACTGCAAAAATGATACTGCTGTATAATATACAATATATAATATATAATCATCATGCAAGAAATCATCATCAATCATCATGCAGAAAATGTAAACAAATAGGTGAAGATAAATAAATGTATTAGAATTAATTACATTTTACTGGAAAGGTAAAACAACATCTCCATTGAGAATAAGCTTTAGACCCTTTACATTAGTTATTGCTTGCATTTGCTGTGGGAGAAGAGTCTGTTAAGGCTAATCCATTCATAGACTTCTCTTTTATGCAGGGTTTGAACAAACAGTTGAAGGAGATGAGCCGAGAGGTGAACCAGTGCAGAGACCTGTTGGGTGGGGGGGCGGGCCGGGTGTGTGGAGGAGACGACAGGGTGCTGATGGAGGACACTTTGGAGGGGCTCCAGGAGAGGATGGGTCTGCTGGACTCCACGCTCGAGCAGCACTGTGACTGCATGAGGGACAAGCTGCAAGAACACTCCAATTTCCAGGTACAAAAAGAGACAATATAAGAGAATATCTCACAACTGTACAAATTATATACTGTCACCACATGCACGGAATTGGTAGTAATAATACCCACTTGAAGTCGATCCGACCTAGTTGCGAATCTCTTGTCAAACTCACTTAAATTGTTATGTTTTCTTTTTTTTAAATTAATACTGTAACAAAATGCATTATTGACTTTGCATGGGTGAATAAAATACCTGCCAGTGGTTGTTATATTGTTAAGCTGCCAACTTCTGAACTATTTCTTTATTCTTTCAGAGTGAACTAAGAATGATGTTTACTGCCTTAAGTGAAAGCAAGCACCAATTGTTGCAGAAAGTGGCTGGCACAGTGGACCGACCAGCAGCTAAACAAATAGAGGTACAGTATGCAATATAATAAAAAATAAAATCTTATTTATGACTACCTTTACTAAACGTATGCTGTACTGAGCAGACATTATCAGAAGTGGAGGACAGTATAAAGGAGTTTGATCAACGCGTCATGGAACTAAAGGCCAGAGCAGAGGGTCTTCATGGAGATCAAGTTTCCAATCAGGATCTACTAAAACTTCAGGTGATACATTTTTTTTAAATCAGGCAAGAATAATCCGGTTAGCCTCTCTTCCCTCACTTGTACTAACTTTTCTGCCTGTAGTTAAGGATGCAATGATATCCATATCTCTTGGTACAATATTTTCATGATATTAATTTCATGGTACCATATTTATTTTGATACTGTAGAGATGTTAGCAGAATTGTAGTTAATTATAATTTACATATAAAAATGCTTAATGCTTAACAATTATTTCTTCACATTATCTGCACTGAAATGGAACAAAGGATCATGTTAGTTGCTTCTGCTTTAGCTGTTGCTAATCAAAAAAAGGAAAGAAGATATTATGATATTTGGTGTATGTATTGTTTGTTATTTTATCAAAAAATCTCTAATATTTTTAATTTCTGTGTGGTTAGGATGTATACGAGGAGCTGGTTCTGATGGTGGGATCACGACGCAGTGGTCTGAACCATGGTCTGTCCCTCAAAGCCCAGTATGAAGCTGCTCTCAGGGACCTTACCGAGCTAGTGGATACTGCACAAGACAAGATGGCAGCTGACCAGAAGATGACTGTGGCCTCTGTCATTGAGGTGCAGATGTTACTAGACAAACACAAGGTAAGATTGAATTGAAAAAAATTCTAAAATAAGTTTGTGTATGTTGTATTAACTTGTCTGCATGACTTTTTATAGGACTTTTTTCAAAGTTTGGAGAGTCATATGATCCTCACACAAACGTTCTACAGTAAAGTGGCTGGATTGGTTACACAGCGGGAGAGCCAGAGTTTGGAGGAGACTATGACCTCTGCCCAAAGTGTGTTAAAACAAGCTAACAGGCGAGGAGTGGAGCTGGAGGGCATTTTGGAGGTGTAGATTTGTTATTTTTAAACCTCAGAAATATTACATAGACTGAAATCTAATCTGTAATTTTCTCTGTCAGTCTTGGAGCAGGCTGGTGGAGGACTACCAGGAGTTGTGTAAGCAGCTCGAGGCCGTGGAGTCCAGTATCCCAGCTGTCGCTCTGGTGGAGGAGACAGAGGAGAGACTGACGGAAAGAATTTGTTTATTCCAGGTAAACATTGAGCAGTGTAATAAATGGCAGGTTGAATGTCAAATATACATGAGGTACACCTGTGTTTTTCATACTGTAGTTATGTTTGACATTTGGTCAAAATCGAATCTTGTTTCATTCTCGTGAACCCAATCTTGTGTCTGATCTTGTCTTGTGGTAAATGTGTATCATCCCATTCCTAGTCTAGCCCTAGCCTATATGCATTTTGAGTTTAAACCTCTTTATTTGCAGATTAGTTTGCAGACACTTTGGCAAACTGTTAGAAATTAAGCATGACTATACATTATAAGTCTTAGATATAGTGATTTTTTTTCATTGATTACTGTAATTGTCTCTTAAGCGTCTAAAGGCCAGTCTGACAGAGCACCAGCCCCAGCTGTACCAGGTGCTGGAGGAGGGAAAACGGCTCCTCTTGTCTGTGGGATGTTCAGACCTGGAGAACCAGCTCACACAGCTGGGGGACCACTGGCTCTCATCCACCACCAAAGTCAATAAAGAGCTGCATCGACTGGACTCCACACTCAAACACTGGACCAGGTCAGTGTTACTATGGCTGCTTGTGATATATCTTTTGCACAATAGGGCTAATCTTGTATATTGTAGTCATCAGTATGTATAGTGTTTACATTTACTGTTTTAAAATTTTAGGTATCAGACCGAATCGGCCGAGTTGAGCCAGTGGTTACAGTCAGCTTTGGGTCGACTTGAGTTTTGGACAACACAATCTGTTACTGTACCTCAAGAACTGGAGAATGTACGAGATCACCTTTATGCTTTTCTTGTGAGTTAGTTTTCAAAATTTTAAATCAATATTTGAAGATTTGAATTACAGCATCTAAGTAATATAATTTGCTTTTTTATTTAGGAGTTTTCTAAGGAAGTAGATGCCAAGTCTTCATTGCGGTCTTCAGTATTGAGCACAGGGAATCAGCTTCTTAGACTGAAGCGAGTGGACACGGCTGGTTTGAGGACAGCCTTGGGACACATTGACACTCAATGGGCAGAGCTACTCACCCGAATCCCAGTGGTGCAGGAAAAACTCCATCAGGTCTGGAAAATTAATTGTAATTAAATGCAATAATACGATATTTCTTGTTAAATTATTGTTTTTTTTACTTTTTATCTTCAGTTACAAATGGAAAAGTTGGCATCACGTCATGCCATCACAGAGCTCATGAGCTGGATCTCTGTTATGGAAAACATAATCGAAGAGGATAAAAACAAGATTGTAGAAGCAGTGGGGTCAGAGAAAGTGCAGAGCTTTTTACAAAAATATAAGGTAGAAACAAACAAACTTTTTTTTTTAGATAGCACAGTCATGGGCTCACGTTATGCTGTGCTTTTACAGGGTTTCCGTATAGATTTGACTTGTAAGCAGCTCACTGTGGACTTTGTGAACCAGTCAGTGCTGCAGATTAGCAGTCAGGATGTGGAAGGAAAACGCAGTGATAAAACCGATTTTGCAGAGAAGTTGGGAGCAATGAACAGAAGGTGGCAGATACTGCAAGGGTTGATTACAGAAAAGGTACGGCCAAGAGTCACAACATGATGGAAAATCCTGTTAACTTAAGACTGGATTTGATAAATGTAATAAGAATGTTGCATATGTGTTGCACTTTTGTACCATTGTTTATAATTTCCCACAATAATAATTTTGAATCATGAATGCATTTTTTTAATATTGGTGAATGGAAATTTTACTTATGTGTATTTTTTTAGATTCAGTTATTGGAAGGACTTTTGGAAAGTTGGTTAGAACACGAGAATGGAGTCCAGGCCTTGAAATCCTGGCTCACGCTACAGGAGGAGAAACTAAAGAAGAAGCACAGGATAGAGGATGTGGCATCAGTTCAAAATGCACTTAAAGACTGTCAGGTAATCATAATATCATCATCATGTCTTATTTTTCTCATCATTAAGTATTTTGTGTTCTGTTTTAATATAAAATGATTTATGTTTTCTAGGAGTTAGAAGAATTAGTGAAGGAAAAAGAGAAGGATTTAGAGAAAGCAGTGGAACGTGGAAATGTACTTATTCAGAATAAGAAAGGAGAGGCCTGTGCTGCTGTTAGAGAGACCCTAAAAAAATTAAATCAATCCTGGACTCAGCTGGACCGCATGGTTAGTCTCTCTGTGTTCAGTTTATTTATTATTTATTATTTATTATTCACACAATTAAAAATACTAAACAACACAAGTACAAATACATCTTAACCATATGGTGAATTATGTAATGATCTTAAACAAATGCATCAGCTTGCAATAACATACAGGCTCTCAATTATATGTGAAATGATCCTCCTAATGTAACAGCAATACCTGTGATTTGAAAATTTGTAATATGTTATGATTCCCACCTCTGCAGATAAGTCTGATGAAGGTGAGCTTGAAGTCAGTATTGGAGCAGTGGACCCTGTACAGACGCGCGGCAGAGGAGATTAATGGATACCTGATGGAAGGCAGGTACTCAGTGTCCAGGCTGCACCTTCTCAATGGGTCCCTCGAGGCAGTCCAGCAGCAAGTGGAGAGTCTGGAGGTGAGAGGTCAACTTGATGTCCAAAACAAAAGAAAAAAAAAACTTATCTATGTTATAATGTTGTTTCCTTACCTCGGACATACCTGCAGTTGTGTTTTGTTTCATTGCCACATATTTAACACAGAAATTCTGCATATTTGGGTTGAGTTCTCTGTTCCACCTTCCTGTGGTAATACAGGAAGGGCTTTACTGTGTTTTTTAAACTCTGTACATCTTCACTAGAATCATTTTGATAGTTACAGCCTTGAAATTAAATTCCCAGTCTCTACTTAACTAAAGGTAAAAGGCCACTGTTAATGCTTCATGACATCACAAGGTGGAACCGAACTTTTTGACCTTTGAGACTAATAATAAAGGGTTACTCAAACGTGTGAATGAAACAAAACAAAACTCCAGATCTGTTTTTGATGAGGTAACATTCTAACATGGCTTAAAGGTCACATGACTCAATTTTGTGTAATATAGGACATTTAAGTAGTTTTCTGATTTTTTGCAGAGTTTGCAGGAGGAGATGGATAAGCAAGAGAGTAGTTTGAAAAAGTTTGGGACGGTAACGCAACAGCTGTTAACAGAATGTCACCCATCTGTGGCCGAAACATTAAACCGGGCACTTGGAGATGTCAACATTAGGTACCATAAAGCCATAACGTGCATTGCTCATTATTCTCACCATACTGTATACAATAATGTGTGTATTTTGTACTTTTCAGGTGGAATAGTCTACTTGAGCAGATATCAGATCAGTTAAGGAGCAGTAAGGCCCTGCTGGGTTTGTGGCAACAATATAAGACATTATACAACCAGTGTGTAATCGCTGTTCAGAAACAGGAACAAAGGGCAGACCGCCTGCTCAAGAGCGCCACTGACAAGGAGATCTCAGAAGAGGAAAATCAAGCATGGATGAAGGATTGTGATGTAAGTATTGTTGGTCAGCTTTATTCAATAACGAATATTAGCCTGTGTGACTAGATGAGTTTATGAACCTTTGCCAGTTGGCTGTAACACGGAAATACATACAAATGTTACACTTATATGTAAGTGAATTTGTGAATTTGAATTAAGAGTGCCGTCTCTTCAGATTTTTTTTTTGGTCTTGGATAAGTTCAGAAACAGTGCATCAGTTTATTTCCACCATTTACAAAGCCTCTATTCCATGTACAGCATACCAAATTGCAGCCTGCCTCTTTGTCTGTTTAAATGTAGATTCACTGCACAATCGAACAAAAGCCTTTTGAGATGGGAGCTTCAGAGGAATGACAGGCCCTGATTTACACTACATGGGTGCCCCAATGTCTATGTGAACTTGTAGAGCTTAGCTTCTCTTGTCGTTTTGGTTTGAGAATTCAAGATATCTATGCTAGGGATAGTATTAGTACTGTGCACGGCAAACCCAGTAAATGTATAAAATCTTAATCATTTAATTTCTTAAATGTATAAAATGACCTAAATAAGATAGACAATAAACAATATAGAAAAAAATAACACACATAATAATAACAAATTTAAACCTGTTCATCCATAAACAAAATCAAAATTGCTCTAGATCCCTGAATAACACACTCATAGTATAGGCCATGTATCAGTGTGAACCATACCACAATGAGAGACCAGCATATGTTTGTGGTGCAGGATTGTCTGAGTGGCCAGGCCTCTGTGCATCAGTCCCTTCAGCAGCTGCAGACTTTGGGGCAACAACTGAAGAGCCAAGTGGATGCCTCCTCCTCGGCAACCCTTCAGACAGACCACCTGTCCCTCACACACCGCCTGGCAATGCTAGAGCACTCCCTCCACAGGCAACAAGAAGTACTACAGGTAATGAATCGACTTGCACTCAATCTGTGCTTGCACCTTCACAGGTCATAATATAGTGTATATTGTTATTTCCAGTGTGGCTCTCAGTCGTGTGAAAGTTTCCGACAGCAGTTGAAGACACTGGTCAGAAAAGCAGAGGAGGCGGAGGAGGTGCTGAAGGAGCCAGACCCTGTAGGCTTATCAGACTTGAATGCTCTACAGACACATATGGATAAACTCAAGGTAAGATTGTGCTTTTAATAAGACTCTGTGCACACAGCTGAGGCTTTTACTGAGTTCAGTGCTGTGTCTCCAGATTGAGCTTTTGAAATTGAGCAGTCTGGCAGCAGATTTGGAGCGCGTGAATGATCTGGTATACCGACTGCCCGTCAGTGACACTGACGTCAAACAACTGCAGAGTCTGAACAGATCCTGGGCAGCTCACTCTTCCCACCTCACAGAGAGATTCAGGTACACTCACCTAAAAATGTCTTGAATGAAAAAGTAAAAACAAACCTATTCATAACAGTGTTTTGATATTCACATATTCAGCAAACTTCAAGCCATGATGCTGCAGCATCAGAGCTTCCTCCAAAAGTGTGAGAAGTGGATGGACTTCCTGTCTCAGACTGAACAGAAACTTGCAGCTGAGATTTCAGGCAACTACCAGAGTCTGCTGGAGCAACAAAGAGACCATGAGGTTTGTGACAAAAGTAACTTCTTTAAACCCCTGCAAAAAACTTTTCATATAATTATTGGTTTGTTTTGTAACAGAACTTAAAACGAAATTAAAAAAGCATATGAAACAGTGTGATGTCTGCATCTCCAGAAAGCTGTTATCTTTTTGCCCTCTGTAAACAGCTTTAATTTAATATAATTTTGACTTGCACTGTTACAGCTGTTCCAGGCCGAAATGTTCAGTCGACAGCAAATACTTTATTCGATCATCAGTGATGGGCATCGTATGTTAGACCAGGGACAAGTGGATGACAGGTAAGCACATGCCTGATTATTTAAATGTATTCCCCCAACAATATGCTAATTTTCCTCTGTATAGGGATGACTTCAGTGTGAAGCTGGCCCTGCTGGGTAACCAGTGGCAGTGTGTTGTGAGACGTGCCCAGCAGAGGAGGGGTATTATCGACAGTTTGGTGCGACAGTGGCAGAATTACAGAGAAACCTCAGAGAAACTGCAACGATGGCTCCAGGAAGTGTCCCATGAACCAGACTTGCACCAATCTGGAGAGTGTGTGGCCTTACAGCAGGCCAGGAACCTGTTAGACCAGATACAGGTGGGTTAGACATTTTGCAAGTGATACAATTTGTTTTTTTCAAGCAATCCTAAAACCAGGTAAGTTGTAAATTATACTGTTAAAACCCTGGAGGAATAAATCTGAGAGTCCCTCACTCAACCTTCGTTCTTTGAAGCTTCTCTGACAAGTGTATGTATTTTTTATTAGGTCGCTGCAAGGGCATGTGCAGCTAAATTAAATCTACAAAACCTCATTACTGTGTATCTGTGCAGTCTTTCCTTCAGATTTTGATCAAGCCCAATCAATCCCAGTCTTAATTAACTCCTAATCTTTTCCATGTCCTGTGGTAGCCCCCCTTAGTAAATCCACTGTCCCGTTTGCCTTTGTCATGGCTGTTACAGCTCAGAGAAAGGGTGCTCCACCGGCAGCAGGGGGTCTACATCCTGACTGTGGAGGCCGGGCGGAGTCTACTTATGTCGGCCGACGCTCAGGCAGAGTCCAGGCTCCAGACTGAGCTCATGGAGATCCAGGACAAGTGGAGACATGCCCACCAGCGTCTGGACCAGCAGAGGAGGGAGCTGCATGGGCTGCTCAAGGTCAGAGGAATCCTACAAATACTGTTAGGTTCTTATGGGTTAAATCAAATAATACATTTAGATACTGGAAGAATAGGATATTATTTTGGCCCACCATTTATATAAATTGTTTTTAATGTTTAATATTATTTTAACTTTTTTTTGTTTTCTTAAATGCATAAAATACATTCTGGACAAACCTGGAGGTAGAATCAGCACGCTTTGGATGATGATGATCCTAATTTAACAGATTTTAGCTTCAGGAATTATAAATGAAAGCTATTGAATATAGGTCAGGATTTCTTTTTGTTTAAAAATGCTTTTTTGGTTCCTTTCCCTCTTTGTACAGACAGAAACCACTCTAAAGAATATGCACTAGGCATATTCTTAAGAGTGGTTTCTGTCTACCTCTCAGTCTAACTATAGCTCCACTGCAGCTGCATTTCTTATTAATGATTTCTGTATCCTCAGAACTCAAATCTGTGGACTTAATGCATCTCACTGGATCCAGATTTATTTCTGCTTAGTCACTGTGTAGTGCTGCTTTGGTTTACTCACAGTCAATTTGATAATTGAATGAAAACCTATAAATCAAGTATTTAATCAAGTAGCTAGGGGCAACAAATAATGGTATATAAAAGAGCTGTCAATGTAAATTTTTTTATTTCATTGTAGTGCATACTTATGTCAATGTTTTGTACATGATTATATCTTTTGCACAGAACTGGGAGCGATGTGAGAAAGGTATAGATGCTTCTCTGGAGAAGTTGAGGGCCTTCAAGAGAAAGCTATGCTTGCCTCTCCCCGACCATCATGAGGAGCTCCACGCTGAACAAATTCGATGCAAGGTATAAATGTTGTTTTATACACATGCTTTCGAAGGTCACTGGTGTCATGATGTATACACCTGCCTATATAAGTACTAGGATAAGTCTGCCCCTAACAGTCTTTGGTATTCAAGCATCCACTATATAACTGTCCTTCCTCTAACCTGCTAATCTATCTACCAGGATAAACAGTGGACAGACAGATGAAAAATAAGCTCTTGTCTCATTGTGTGACCTTGTTAATTTGGGTTTGTCAGGAGTGCTGTTTGTGCCTCATGTTTTTGTAAATTATATTTATGTACCTCATCAATTCTGATTCTTTCTGGTGCCACATGTGAAACAGTTACAAGTGTGCAGTAGTGTATTCTTTGTGCCAGCTCCAAGTTCTAGATAAATGTACAGGTCGCCCATCTATATGCCAAATTATCATGCAAATCACTACATCTTTCATCCAGGTAATATGCTAAGACAACTCCAGCCTATACATAAAACATCGTTGAATCATCATTTTTTTAAAACATTATTCTTCTGAGCTCTCATTAAAACCAGTTCAACCAGTGTATGATATATCCCTTGTTGGTATGTGTGGTAATGTTTCATGCATGACACCTAGCTGGTTCCTTGGGGAGGAGGGGGCAGTGAGTGTGGCTGTTAGAATCAACTGAGGACAGAGAGGGGGGTGGGGTGAGTGCCAAGCCTGGAGGAGAGAAAGGAGGAGGAGGAGTAGAGGGTGCATGCGCAGAAAGAGACCGAATCACAGAGAGCATCACTTTTAGCTGTGGGGGAGAGGACATGTGTGTGCTAGTCGTGTGGGGTGTGATGGAGACATTGACGGGGGCCACAAATGCAAACAACGCAGCTAAACAGGAGCAGTGACAGAGGAGACAGAGAGACAAGGTTAGATGCCTCTTGTTGGTTAGCATCTCTCAAGGTTACAGCCAGAACAAGCTAGTTTGTTCATTGCATCACACTTAAATGTATCTTTATGCTTAGTATTTCATGTTGCAAATGTATTATCTTTAATTTTGGTTTTAAATGGTTTCATTTTGATTCTATTTGATTTTGGATTAGAATATGTCTTATATAGCATTATACTGTCAGTGAAAGTAGCCAACAGTGCTTGCCTGTAATGCTGGGCTCCTCTGCATGATATTGGATGTGATGATGGTTATGTGTGTTTTAGGAGTTGGAGGGCACAGTGGAGGGCTGGGCCGATGACCTCACATCCTTGTTCATGTTGAGGGACTCGTTAGACGGTGTGGTCAGTCCTGATGACATCACCGTCCTTCAGCAACGCCTCCAGCTCCTCCAGCGTCAGTGGGAGGAGGTTTGCCACCAGGTAGAGGCTCTGCAACATTTTTTATAACAGTCTCCATTGAATATTGTATTTTACATAAATTACATGAGGTTACCAGTTCTTCTAGATTCCTTCTGATACACTTCTAATAATGTTTGTAATGTTTGTACCCCATCAGCTTTCCCTGCGGCGGCAGCAGGTGAGCGAGAAGTTAAATGAGTGGGCTGTATTCAATGAGAAGAACAAGGAGCTGTGTGAGTGGCTCACACAGATGGAGAGCAAGGTTTCTCAGAACGGAGACATCAGCATTGAAGAGATGATCGAGAAGCTGCGCAAGGTATACTACTATAATATACTACTACTATAATACTAGTTTTGGTCTCTCCTCTTGATCTCACTAATTAGGAATAAATCAAGTAACAGACTAATCTTACTCTTGTGTCCCATCAGGACTATCAGGAGGAGATCAGTGTGGCTCAAGAGAATAAACAGCAGCTGCAGGTGATGGGCGAGCGTTTGGCCAGGGCCAGTCAGGACAACAAGGCCTCTGACATCCACCACAAACTCAGCAAAGTCAGTGAGCGTTGGCAACATCTGCTCGACCTCATCGCTGCCAGGTGAGAGCGCACCTCATCAAAATAAATACTTTTTATACAATGAGAATTTGTATGCAGTTCCTCTTATCAGCACTAGATGACACAGTTCCAATTTCATACTAAATATTGTATTGTATAAATATATATATTCTTCCACTGAGAAAGCTCTTCTTTCTGGACCTTAAACTCAAAACTCAAACTTTTGGGTTCGCACTCTGTCCCTCTGGCTGTTGCTCTTTGCGCTTTAAGGACGAGGACCCCACTGACAGAGCAGCATTTATTCTGATTCTTATCTATCAACAACTAAGGCATGACATTTCAGCTTCTGAGTGAAAATCTTGTGTCTTTTATAGTTTTAACAAAATAATTAATAGAGAAATCAAAAATCCTATGGAAATCAATCTATAATTACACAGTGTTAGAACCATCAACATTTTCCATTGTGTTTGTATACTCACATTAAAGCAGCTCTATACCACATGCCTCTGAGTGTGGTCTTGTTTTAGCAGCAGCATTTGTCACCCCCCTCTCTTCCCCTTCTTCCCTCCCTAAACACTCAAACACGCCTGTTCGCCTTCTCTTTTTTTAACCTCAGTGGCCAACAGTTGATAACTCACAGTTGTGCCCAACCAGTACCTACTGCTGCCCCTCCCCCTGTGCTCAACCAAAGTTTAGAGAGAGTCCAATGTGGAGCTCCCAGACGAAAGAAACAAACGTTTGGATCTTTACACTTACCGACGTTTTCGACGCTATCATTGTCTTTGGGAATTTTAGACCCCCATGGTTTTGGATTTAGGGTCGGATAACATGGCAGGATGCCCAAGTGAGGATCTGCCAGAATGTGACTGCGACATCAACAGGCAGGATCAAGTTTTTGTTTAAAGAACGCACAATGTCAAATATACTGTATAAATCATAGCTGATCTCGGGCACCTTCTTGCTTTGTTGAGTCTATGTTAAATATGTAAATAATGTGAAATATCTGTTTTACATTTGCAAACCGTGTGTTCTGATCTGCACCATGTTGTACTGTATATTTACAGCAGTTCTTGGAATGTGAAGCCTCAGTGTGTTATTGATACTTGGCTTTGAATGGAGAAGTCCAGGAATCAGACAGCACATGTTTGTTAGATCATGTAGAGTGCTCATACATACATACATGCTGCATTTCTACCTACACCTATATTAGCAGCATTACAGTTTAATGGCTCTGCTGCTTTAAATGCTCTTTAATATACCTTTACCACCTTTAAGGTTAGAATAGAGCACATATTTAACACTTTCTAAACTTTAGTATTGTTTACTTTGGGCTTTTCAAAGCTCAAGTATTATGATTTTTTTTTTTATTATTGTAATTTTTTCAAATGTTTTGAGCACTTAAATTGTGCAAAGTGTTCAGTATTAATGTGCACCAACAAGTCAACAATGAGCTCTTTCTCTTGGTCATGTCGTCTGAATACAATTATTTGCTGTCAAGATGGGCAGCCCTGTGCAGAATTAAACAACTGGAATTATTATTGCAGTGCCCATGGCAGCGATCTGAATCAATCAATCAATCAATCAATAAGAGGTCAATTTGTGTTCAATATCATGTTGTGTATGTTGATATGTTTTCAGGTACAGTCAGTATAGAAGTGTATCAAGCTTGAAAATGAGTGGAGAGAGGAATTATTTAGTTGCTGGGGCAAGCTGCTTATTTAAGGTATATAGTAAAGTTTTTTGGGTACTGATGTGATCTGCGGTTTGACCTCCAGGGTGAAGAAGCTGAAGGAGACCCTGGTTGCCGTGCAGCAGCTAGATAAAAACATGAGCAGTCTGCGCTCGTGGCTCGCTCACATCGAGACCGAGCTCTCCAGGCCCATCGTCTATGACACCTGTGACGACCAGGAGATCCAGAGGAAACTCAACCAGCAACAGGCAAGAACTACACACATCAAAGAACAAATACACATCAGAGTTAAAGGCTAGTATATACCCATGCTACTTAAACTAGCTCAGTTGTTTATTTAACTATTATGTATTGTGTAGAGGAGAAAATAGATTCAATAGTATTTGTGGAATATGAATAGGCACGTGAGGGAAAACCACACCGTGACTCATACAAATTGTTACAGTATCACTATCCTGTTCTGCTGCCAACACATCCCAGCCCTAAATCAAGCTTAGACTCAGAGACTACACACAACATGCAAAGTAGAAATTGAAAATAAATTAATAATTAAAGATGCACAGTCAGTGAGAGGTTGTTGATTTACTAGGAATGTTTCACAGTACATCAATAAATTTCTGTGTGTTAATTATATTCAATAAGAGGTGTAACAGGTGTTTTTATTGTTCAAAAATACCAGGTTTAATGCTATTCTGTAGGCAAAGCAATGACATCTCCATGGAGACAAGAAGGTGTACCTTTATTTAAATCTATTACGCACACTGCCGTTTCTAATTGAGCATTAGTCCTCATATGTACCTCATGTCCAAGGGCATTGCCATTGCCTACATCTCATACTCTTTCTAAGTGTAGATAGAAAAACATTATTACTTCTTCTATGATTTCTACAGGAGCTGCAGAGGGACATAGAAAAGCACAGCACCGGTGTGGCCTCTGTGTTAAACCTGTGTGAAGTCCTGCTCCATGACTGTGATGCCTGCTCCACGGAGACTGAGTGTGACTCCATCCAACAAGCAACAAGAGGCCTGGACCGCCGCTGGAGGAACATCTGCGCTATGTCTATGGAGAGAAGGCTCAAGTAGGCTTCAATGACAAACTGGTGAAACTGTAATCATATCCAAACTTAAAGACTTAACTCATCATTTGTTTAGGATTGAGGAGACCTGGAGATTGTGGCAGAAGTTCCTGGACGATTACTCCCGGTTTGAAGAATGGTTGAGGGCATCGGAAAGAACAGCTGCTCTGCCAAACTCATCAGGAGTGCTGTATACTGTAGCCAAAGAGGAACTGAAGAAATTTGAGGTGTGTAAAATAATATATAATAATAATAATTTTTTTTTTTTTTTTTTTCGCTATCCAGTGTACTTCTTGTGCCTGTCCACATAAACATTGAAAATTCTGTCAAGGGCATTTACTGTATTGTCAAATTATACTTGCACAATATTTAAACTTTTTTCTCTTAAGACAAAACACTTGTAGCATGAAGCAGTTGTCACAGTGCAAACGCAGAGTAGAAACGTGAGTGTCATGTTGCAGAAGCTGGGCTGCACTGGTCGGTCAGCTGCTGCGGTCCATCATACTCACGTGTCATTTCTGATCACTGTAAACTCACTGGCCTTTTGGTTTTCTAAGGCTGTGGTTTTCAAATGGGGACTATGTAACTTTTCTGGAGGGGTCCACCACATGCTTCTCATCTCCACAAAGATGTTATGGCTTCGTCTCAAATATTCCATAGTATCACAATTAACGTATCTATCTTACATTTACTCAATAACAGTGGTTTTATTGCTAAAATCTTCCTTGAAAAACCTACATTCATTTGGGGCTGCCTCTCCACAGATCTTGTAGCATGACCTGTTAGTTATAGTCAGTGCCAAATTGTGGAACATTCTAGGCAAAGCAATGGCATCTCTATGAAGATGAACAGGTAGTGGACCCTCCAACAGGAATGTTACATAGATAGTGCACGTTTTAACATCCTTATTTTTTTTTTATTATGGAATCCCAATAGTTATTACATCATCATTTACTATTCCTTGGGTAAACTTAACACAGGATCAAGGTACAAATATGTGCTAGAAGAAATATTTAACAACCCTAGCGGTGTTATATTTTTACTGATGATCTTATAACAACAACATATATTCAATGCAAGTCTGTGTGTCTTTGTGCCAGGCCTTCCAGCGCCAGGTGCAGGAGTGTCTAACACAGCTGGAGCTTATTAACAAACAGTACCGTCGTCTGGCCCGGGAAAACCGCACTGACTCCTCCTGCCGCCTCCGAGAAATGGTGCATGATGGGAACCGGCGCTGGGACAACCTGCAAAAGAGGGTCACTGCTATTCTGCGCAGACTTAAGGTAATGCACAGGAGAATGTGCAAAACGTTTCTCTCTGATGTTGCAATGCATTGTAACCGTTTTGTGATTCTTGCTCTCGTTCAGCACTTTATTGGTCAGAGGGAGGAGTTTGAGACAGCGAGGGACAGCATCCTTGTGTGGCTTACAGAGATGGACCTCCAACTGACCAACATAGAGCATTTCTCTGAATGTGATGTTCAAGCCAAGATTAAACAACTCAGGGTAGGAGTGATTAAAACAAAATTTTTAGGATACTTGTGGTTATGTTATTTCCTATTTTTGTATAATGTATAAGAACGTTTCAGTATAGTTTTATTTGGAGACAAATTAGAGATCTATTAATGCTTCTGTCCCTTTAAATATTAATTATTACTGCTACCTTATCCATGGATCTGGAAAGGCATATATCATCTTTGGTGGTACTTGGTGTAAAATATTGGTACAGTGGTATAATAAATTTTGGTTTGATTTGACTATAGCAATTAATTTTCAGGATTGTCTGAAATTACAAATATGTAGTATGTTTCACTGTGCTGTGTAGGCATTCCAGCAGGAGATCTGCCTGAACACAGGCAAGATAGAGATGGTGTTCAGACACGGTGACGCTCTGATAGAGAAGAGTGAACCCCTGGATGCCGCGGTGATTGAGGAGGAGCTGGAGGAGCTGCAGAGATACTGTCAGGAAGTGTTCGGACGAGTGGAGCGCTACTACAAGAAGCTCACACGGCTGCCTGTGAGTCCACTCTCTGTACATGTCAATATAACACATCACAGCATTCGGGAATTTTTAGTTTAGCATTGAGCTGGAGGGCAGATCTGAGATGATGGAATTTGCAGATTACAGATTTGAGTTCTGGTTTATGGTTAGTATTTTCTGTAATTACTGACTCTATCCACATGAGAAAACTGTCACAGTTCAATATCTTCTCAATCAGTATTAATTAACCTGCTTTTCCTACAGTTGGCCGATGATGACCTTGATGGTTCAGACAGAGAGCTGGAGTTGGAGGAGGGTCCGGAGCTCCAGTGGTCCGACTCTCCTGTTCCTCGGACATCCAGTCGCCCTGCTTCTGGCACTGCCCCCCTCCTGAGGGCAGAGCGGTCAGGCCGGGACACTCCAGCTAGTGTGGACTCTATCCCCCTGGAGTGGGACCACGACTACGATCTGAGCAGAGGCCTAGAGAGTCCAGGGGGTAGGGGCCACAGGGAAGATCCAGACCAGGAGGATGAGGAGGAGTACCTGAGGACAGCCTCAGCTGTGCTCTCAGGTTAGGATACATAACAATGAGTGCTAAAATATACATACTCCTTTGTAGGGCCTTAATTGACAGAAATCTTTTGGCACAAATTGTTTCCTATTTTCATCTATAAAACACAAAACTTATTGAGTTCCACTGACCAAATGTAATTACTAAATTTTTTTTACTTAAATATATATTTAAAATTACAACTTAAATTTCACAAAATTATATGACGCTTATATATCAGGGTCTTCTCAACCATTTATGAACTGTGTTGTAAAGAATGTTATGCCTTTCTTCCCAGATGTAGTAATCCCAGAGAGTCCAGAGGCCTATATTAAACTGACTGAGAACACTTTGAAATCCTCGTCTGGTACGAAGAATGAACAGTGCTAAAGCTAAAGAATGACAGAGCATGAGTTAACAAAGCATGCAATCATGCTACCTGAAACTGTCAAATTTCATTTAGCACAGCAGTGCTCCCATTTAAGAGTTTTAAACTGCATGTCTCCCCATCTAAAAACAACTCAAGCATGACACATTTGCACGTGCTGTCTACTTACTAATACATGGCCATTACATTACTGTATATTTTTGGGTTTGTTTTTCATTGTCACATAACACAGTTTCCATCTAGTTTTTAGACTAATGCACGTTATTCCAGGAGTACAGTCATTCACCATTGTCTCTCTTATATCTGAGCATACATAATTTGACAGAGTTGTGTGTTCAGGAGATGCAGCCCAACTGGAAGCCAGTCTGAGGCAGCTGGACCAGGCTCTGGACGCAGGGCGGTACCACCTTCAGCAGAGAGAGGCCAATGCCAACCGCAGCAGCCCGGACTCCACATATATGGGCTATGTACGCCACATTTACTGAATAATTTGCAAGTTATCTATACACTTTATTCATGGGTTTCAGAGTGCTTTTTGCATGTGCTCAATGTTAGTATCTATAAACAGGAAACCTACCAATATCTGATTTTTCATATAGTATACCAGTAACTTTCTATGATGACTTTGAAATTATACTTGTCCTTATCATCGGTTTAGTGCACATGATTTAGTTATTAGTTATTTTTATTCATGAAACATGTTGTCTTTAGATGCGCCTGATGGGAGAGTGTCGGGGCAGTATTGATGCAGTGAAACGAGCAGAGGGAGAATTGACTGAGGATGAAGATGATGTCCCAGGATTTACCAACCCGGACAGCACAGATGCTCAGAGCACTGGTCAGCATTTCACAGTTATTAACCAGTAGAATTAAGCAACAGTGGAGTAATGTCCAATAAAAACTCTGCATTTCTTTTCCAGGTGTGATTGAACGGTGGGAGCTGATCCATGCCCAGTCCCTCAGTGAGAAGCACAGGTACAAGCAGGACCTGCAACAGTGGCAGCAGCTGATCTCAGATCTGCAGACCATGAGGGCCTGGTTGGGACAATGTGAGGCAGAACTCAGCCAACTGAGAGGACAGCACCAGAGCACAGACATCCACACCATACAACTAAGAATCAAGAAACTCAAGGTTAGTGCCACATGTGTTTTTTTTTTAGTCATCATGAATTTGAAACACATAAATAATCTTTCTTACTTTTTGTGTGCTTCAAATAGCTTGTCTCTTTCTCCTTTTTTATCTTAATTTAATTTAGTTTTCTTAAAATATTTTATCTATATGGCAAATGACATTCAAATAATTGCAGATCTAGTTGTTGTGTAGAGACAAATTTAATCAAAGATATAACCTAAAATTAAATGTGCAGTGTTATTTAACTATGATGTCTTTCTCTACTAATAAACATGTCCTTTGCCAACCTTCAAACACACACACAAGTGCTTGGTATATTAGACTAGACTAGGGTATCAGAGCTCTATAAATACCTGGTCTCATGCCTCAGGGCTCCACTGACCTACATCTAAAATGTTTGAACCACTGTGACAGGTCTAACTGATACCCACTCTTCACCCTTGGGACCAGCAGCCCCTTTCACTTTGTCCTAATGGTGTGTCTCTCTTTTACCTTGTCCTGACCACTGCGGTTGTTCTCCAGGATCTGCAGAAAGGAATGGATGTGCACAAATCAGAGGTGCTCTCCATAAACCTGAGCAGTGCAGACTTTCTCCAGTCTGAGCCTGACACTGAAGAGGCCTGGGAGCTGCGAGACGCCCTCAAAGAGATGAACTCTCGCTGGGACCACCTTGGGACCTCCCTGGAGGATTGGAGGAGTGAACTGCAGAGGGCGCTGTTGCAGTGTCAGGTAGGACAGGAATGCAGGGATGGAGGATAGCTCCCAACTGATCCCTATCTTTGAATAGGCTTTATTCACTCTTATGTCACAAACCAGGGAGATGTTTGGAAAGATGCAATTACAACTTCTGGTGTAGTTGGGCTCATTGACCGACTGTGATAAAACCCATAGAAGTTAATGTGATCAACCATAAAAGGAAGACTGCATATGTGCTGTTTGGAATAATCTTGAATTTGGTGTCTTCATCTCTTCTAATTGCATGTCCTCAGTGTGCTCGGAGTTGTGTGTCAGAGGGAAATAATGAAAACTGAGGCGTAGATGTAATTGTTCATACAATTACAATCATTTGTTCAGACAAATATAACAGAATGCTACAATGACATTTAGATGAAGAAAACTGGGCCTGGGAAAGGTGTAATCACATCTTTTCCAAACGTCTTCCTGATTTTGACTTAAGTGTGAATAGAGCGCATTCAGATTGTAACAAAATGTAATTGTCACTTTAATTTCAGGAGTTTCATGAACTTAGCCATGGTCTGCTGCTTTGGCTGGAAAACATTGATCGCAGAAGAAATGAGGTGGTGCCCATTCCTCAAAGAGCCAACCGAGAGACTTTAGTAGCTTGTCACAACACACTAACAGTGAGTGTATTGTATTTGTTGATTTTGGCATCGCATCAGTATCTTTGTTGGGATTTTATCAATTTTGTCTCTAAAGCAGGGATTCCCAAACTTTTTGAGGCCAGGAACAACTAAGAATTCAAAATATGCTAAGTTGTATGAAAATATTCCATATTATAATGCCTTTGGGTGGAGCCTTATCGGGCCCCACAATGGCATTATAATAAAATTCAAAAGTTCAAAGCATGTTTATAACCAAATTTGGATGAAAGTATATTTTATATTTAGCTAATTGCTGTAGTTGTTTCCATTAAAACATGATGTATGTTGTATTTCATACACTTCCAGGGACCTCTGGGGGTCCCGGATCCCACTTTGAGAACCACTGCTCTAAACGTACATCTTACTTGAAGTCATTTGTTCCCAGGTTAAACAGATAATGTTTTTATTTTGCAGCAAATAAAGCATGAACTGCTGAACTCGCAGCAGAAGGTATCATCCCTGCAGGATTTGTCCACTCAGCTGTTGGTCCACACCAGGTCCCCCTCATCCCGGGACCCCCAGCAGCTGCAGGCTCAGGGCAGTGAGTGTCTGGAGGCCCAGGAGAAGGTCCATGTGATCTGGAACAGGCTGAAGCTGCTTCTGAGGGAGGTGAGCTCTGACCTGGAGGAACTGGAGAGGAGATTGGAGTTAGCCCACTCACAACAGGTCAGGCATGGCACATGGGGCACAGAAGAGGCAAAAGTTATGTTCCACCATTTACAGTTATTTCAAACTGTTTTTCAGGATGTCGTTCCTTTGCCTGTTGCAAAAGTGGAGACCATTCATTTAGCCGAAACAGTGTCAGAAGTGGTCCATCAAAAACCACTAACGGTAATAATTTTTCTTCAAAATGTCCCCTTTGAACCTCTAAATGCTGCTCTATAAAGATATTATTTCTCTGTTAAAGGAGTATTGTTGCCTCCTTTTTAATGATTTTTGCTGCCAACATCATATCAATTGATGAAATTATACAAGAAAACCTGGCTTTTCATTTGACAGTCAACTATGTAAATCTGAAATAGCAAAAGCTATGTTTTATAATGTACTTAAACATTTTCTATGTTACAGTTAATCCCTGAGAAGCCAGATTTCTTGGTTTTAAAGTCAATCACGTCATTGATTATGCTGCTGCTCTTTGGTTCAATGAAGAATGTTATGGCTCTTTTATGTTCCTCATCTGAGGCTTGGTCTTTATTTGCCCTTGACTGAACCATTCTTTTCTTTCTTTTACCCCTCCCTGCTCATTGCCTGGCACAGCCCCGAGGTAAAAGTAGTCAGATCCACCCGGGACATCCCGAGAGCAGACCGCGCCACAGGTACTCGTCTCCTGGACTCTAGCAGCTTTGGACGATGATGGAACAAGCAAATATCTCAAATGTGTCTCAGAATGAACCAGCACGTCATTGACAAAATGTGTATTAAATGTGTCCTTTTGTTGTTCCATGATCTTCCTCAAATCTAGAGTACTGTGTCTACTGTAAATGCCCAACTCTAGATCTTCCCTGTTTTCCTTTCCTTTTTTCCCTGCTTCTCTTTGCTATGAAGCTCTTGCTGTCCTCTTTTTAACCTCTCCATAAAGCTTTGTCTGCCTGCATTTTATCTTATTGCCCACTAGAGGGCAATATAATGCCAATAACCCTTCTCTATTAGAACTAAAGTTGTTTTTCTACTTCTTGTTTTCTTTCTTCTTCCTATCATACTTACATTTTACAGCAATCTAACCTTCCTTTATTCTCTTTATAATAATCTTCATTTCCACCTTATGCTAACAGAAAAATCATTGTGATCTAAATGAAACCTCTGCTATAAATAGCTATAACTCAATGTTAGCATCATGGTTTAAAAAGCATAGACACACACACACAAACACATCCCCCCCCCCGCTTAATTCAAGCATTTACACCTAAATTGTCCAACTGTATATTGGTTTGTAGAACAGGGGTCGGCATGCGGGACCCTATTTCGTCCCAGTGCAATAAGAGGAACAGAGTGTTCCTTCCTTGAGTTCTGGCTCTGTTAGTAGAAATCTCTGGAAAGGCATTTGGCTTTTCTCCTGCTTCTGTTTGGAATGAGCTGTGGCATTGAACTCTCACATACTTAGAGACAGAGTTCTGCCTGAGAGAAGAGACAGTTAGAGGAATGTGGTTATTGGCAGTAGTATGTATGAAACTGTCTAGTGTATGTGTTGTAATTCTTGTTTGTTTGAAGTACCATAATGTGATAATATGTGATCATAAAGTGTACATTCAATTTCAATATCATCCCGTCCAGATTTAACAGACAAAAAATTTGACTGTGATGGTGTGTGTGACTTGTTCCTATCTTCTTGCAGCCGGGGCAAATCACGAGGCGTCGCTGGCTACGGTTCCTCCCGTTCTGACCTCCCAGACTCTGCCCCCTGCCCCTCCTCCTCTGCCGGGGGCCACTCGTTTGTGCTGCGTGTGCTCCGGGCGGCCCTCCCCGTCCAGCTGCTGCTCCTCCTCCTCATCGGCCTGGCATGCCTCGTGCCCATGACGGAGCAGGATTACAGCTGTCACCATGCCAACAACTTTGCCCGCTCCTTTCACCCCATGCTGCGCTACACCAACGGACCTCCGCCCATCTGAGCGACACAAGTATCTACCTACTGCTTTTGCCAAGGACACCACTGACTCCTGTGAATGTCTCCATCGCCCCAAGCCCTAAAGCATCCAACTGTCCCATTGGAAAGCACTACATAATGAAGTGACTCGTGTCCTTACTGATGTTGCACACCCTTGTCCTAAAACCCTCCAGAAAAAGTGGACCTTTATCTGAAAGACCACCCCCAGTCCCAATATTTCATGAACTAATGTGTATATTATTTTTAAGGTTTCTGGGAAAACCTGGTAAATCATTGAAAAGCAAAGCACTATTTATATACTGTATGTTGGGAGCCAAAGTCAACTGTGCTATTGTCCATTATACCCAGTGCTGCTACTATTTATTGATAGTGTTCAATCACTTGTTAGTAGGGTTAGTACTTATAAATCTCAAGCAACAAATGTTTGTTGTACCTGTAAATTAGAGTAGTAATAGTAAAGCTGCCACTGGTGTAGCTATTATTCATGAGTTTCTTTTGACTGACAAATTTAAAGAACCATTGAGATAAAACTGACATAAATAATACTGTACATTTTAAATAATGTACTTGTATGTGTGGCAGCTGCTGCACAGATCTGTGCTAAAACGGAAGTCTCTTTTGAAGCTAAAGCACTGAGGGCACTATTGAAGGTACTGCACTGATGCCGTCCAGCCAAAATGGCTGATTTTAATTTTTATTTTGTGTTATTTTCTTATTTCAGTATTGAATCATTTAGGGGCAATTATGTACAACACATATGAGCACTCTGATTACAAAGTAATTTATACATGAATGTTGCCTTTGCTTATAAGCCAGGGCAGTTATTTTTTTATCTGTTTGAGCATGCACTTAAAAGTCCCTAGCTTTTAAGAAAGCCAAACAATCACTGGTAGTGTTTAGTTGACGGCTGTGATATTGAAATATGTGCTTTGTATTAATGGTAATAATGAATTCGCTGTGATGACACATCAAAATCACTGCGTTGTTGAACCAGAATCTGTAAAAATAATATGAAAATTGTTATTTATGTATGTACAGTTTGCTAATGCTGACTCTTTGAAATAAAACTTGAAATATTTACCATAGTCTATTGTGCATTTATTAATCTTAAGAAATGTCAAATCAAAATCCCATGAGAACAAAACATTTTATTTAATTCACAAATTATTTTTGCTCAGTTTAACTCTGTATTTACATCCATCAACAGTGACAAATTATGATCCTATATAAGCTCATTTTATGATTTTTTTTTTACAAAGATAAGATGCATTAAATCTAAGATCTATAAAGTTACATTATATTTTTTCATTAAATAACCATAATTAGCAATATTGTTTTGTGCAGTTTTTGATGAAAATAGCAAAATTTCTTCAGATAAGCCACCTTATTTACTTGGTAAATGGTGTAATTACACCATTAACCATCTTGAAGCTGTTTCACACATAAAAAAATAATTCAGTAAGATTTTGCCATGTCAAGCAAACAGATGAGAGACGACATGCGCTCTATAGAGACTTAACCAATACAAAAGTTAATCTTCCTTTATATTTTCACAAAGACTCAAATGTTACCAAGCTTAAAAACATTGCAAAGTCACATTAATTTTACTCAAGTGCATTTATCTGTTTTGAAAAATAATAATGCCCATTAGACCCTTAAACCCAAGAAGAAGTGCACTTTGGTAGAGGCAATAAAAAGACTAACATAAGCTGCTCATTGCCATTTTAGATCACATGTGCGGACAATACAACAATAATACCTGCTGTTTGGAAAGCTGCACTGTAGAGCCATTAGACACATAATTATGAATATTAAAACAGCTGAATGAAAATAACTGTGTTTCAGCCCAGAGCCTCAGGACAACTATCCACAGCCGCTAGAGGAAATAGACATAGACAACTAGAAAATTACTGTTCATCTTTTACCTTCAAAATTGATTCAAACATAACTTTATGACCACCAACCTATAATGAGGCCATTAGGGTTGTTGATATCACATGACAAAAAGTCTAACATTTTTAAGCACAGGGAACAGTTGCGATTTACACTTCATTGTGATTCGTTAAAGGTGCTTTGCGTAACTTTTCTGGTGGAGGGTCTGTCAAATACTTTTCTCCTTGAAGATGTTATTGCTTTATCTGGACTGTTTCACAGTATTGTACTGAACCTTTCTATCTTCATGGAGACCAAACCAGACCACATTACACGTCAGATCTGCGGAGAGGTCCCCACCCCACCAGTCGTGATGCCTGTTTTTCTAGATCTTTTGGAGCTATAAAAACACCTGTAATTAAATAAATGTATGGTAGAGCTGTTTAATGTCGCACTATAGAACATTCCAGGCAGAGCAATGACATATCCATGGAAAGAAGCAGGTAACAGATCACCAACAAAAAAGTTACATATTGCACCTTTAAATCTGCCTCTTTGCTGTTTTAGATCCAGTTTACCCATCACAATTTGGCTTTTGGTTCAATCATTAGTTTTAAGGAAAAATATCAAAATACATAGCGCATTACAGATTGTTGAATTGGGACTGCATGTTAGCCAAGTTGTTATCAAAAAGACAACACACTGTTTTCATGTTGTATCTTTAAACACTATCAAATCCCTTCTAAACTACGCTCACCGTGCACCATGTAGTCTTTTCATGCAATTTGTGTGCAATCAGGCCGGGGCCCTCCATACTGAAGGACACTTGAAGAGGACACTTTGCCTCCCCCCTCCATCGTACCGAGGGGGTCTGAACTTAAACCAGGGCTGATGTCAAAAGGGGAGTCGTTGGTGTTCAGGGAGCGGGCTTGGCTGGTCCCGTTAGGGTGATGGAGGCGGTGAGCGTCCAGCATCTCCAGCAGCAGGTCATACAGGGGCACTTTGTTTTTGCACTTCATGCTGTATAGGTGCTCCATGCCTTTGTTGCTATAGAGAAGAAAACACAGCTACATAAAGCAACAAGTATTTTTTAATGAAAAATTAAGGTAACCACTTACAGAATATCTGTCTCTCTCAGAATTTTGCTGCTTAAAATTATTATAAGTACCAGTATGGTACCAGTACCTTGTTTATTGATTATTGTGGTCAATATGGGATAGTCTGTTTTGTTAATAATTAGCTTTACAATGTAAAACTAGAACAACCATAACATATAGCAACAGAAGAAAATAACATGGACCAAAATGACAGTCCATTCCTACAGGAAACAACTTCAAAATGTGGCCCATCAAATTAGTTTAATTTATTATTTAAAAGAAAATGCAAATATCCTTTGTTCTTTATGGTCTGACCTCATGTGCCTGATGTGGGATAGCAGGAGCAGGAGCTGGGCCTGTCTTCTGGACTGCTGTTGGACAGTGTATCCTGATAGGCTGATGTGGTGAATGAGGGCATCAGTAATGGTGTCCAGGATGCTCTGGACTGAAGTACTGTCATGAAGAGGCTCCATTGTGCCCGTGCAGAATGAGAATGCACCTGTATAGAACAAACCAAGTTTACATGTGATACTAGTGTTTAAGAAAAAAAAGGTAACATTTTTTATTTCCACACAATGACCTGCTCAGCTAAACCTTAGTGTATAACATTAAGGTGCACTTTAGATTTTATGAAAAATGACTAAAGTGGTGCCAGCTATGTTGTGTCTTTGGTCCCTGACAGAGTCCGCGGCCTCTGGGGCAAACAGCGACCTGGACTCCTGTTGTCATGGGAACAGTTAACAGAGACTTTTGGGAACATTGTGTGCGATTAATGTGGCTGAGCTCCACCTCTGAGTGTAGGCTCAACCTGCTCACTATTTACTGACTTTAATTTGGGAACAAAACTGTGAAGATTAAAATGAGATTATTTTAGCAGCAGGGTGTCTGTGACATACTCACCAGAGTTGAGCAGGATAATGGCTTTGAGGCACACAAACTCCTCTGGTCTGAGCTTGAGCATGCGGAAACGAGACGCTGTGGCCAGCAACATGTCAAAGATCTCGGCAAAGCCCTCCACACAGTCCCCTTCTTGTCTGAACAATGGAATCAGAATGGATTACATCAAAGGTATGACTGTCTTTTAAACAGCAGAAAAAGCTCAAGGAAACCCAGCAGTTAAACATCTGTAAAGGTAATGGAGTAAAAGACCCTCTTTAAGTCACTATTGAACAGTGATGTGAAGATAGCTGCTCTCCAGGTCTCATAGCAGAGTACAGTGAGATAGTTCTGAGTCGGGGGAATTTGTCAGAGCTGACCCATAGCGTTTAAGTCATCATGTCCAATTGGAGAGGACACTCACACAGGCCGGTTTTTACAGATAATACACTGTAATACACTTCTGAATCAAATGGTCCATCAGGCACATCAGCCGCTAATAGCACTGTCTGTGGCCTGGCTCTCATCCTCCGTCTCCTCCCTCTCCCTCTTTCCCCTCCCTCTCTCTCTCTCTCTCTCCCCACCCACCGTCTTCCTTCCTCTATGGCCCTCTGCTCCTCTCCGACCCCCTCTGTGGTGAGGATACTACCTGTTTATGTGACCCTTTGAGAACAGCCTGTTCCTGCACTAGAAAACAGACTCCAGATTCAAGGCATCTTTATTTTCTGCACTTTTTTGCACTATTTTCTGTGAAATCCACCCTCTTCCTCCTTCTATCTATACTCTTTTCCCATCATTCTTAGCACATGGCTTTGATTAAATCTATGTGGCAGTTGCTCACTCAGTAGTGTAATGGCGAGGAGATATTTCAGGGTAGAGAGGCTCCTCGCCACAGGGAGCATGTAATTAGTCTTTTACTGTGCGGCAGACGTGTTGAGATGGCACAATGGCGACCAAGGTGTGAAATGGAAAATCTACAATGCTGATGTATCACTCTTAACATCAGAGTTAGAGTTGAAAAATGAGGAGAGAGGAACAGGGAGGTCTGTGTCAGATCAAAGTACCTGTCCAAGATGAGGTCCTGGGCAAAGATGAGTTTCCCAGGACAGTGCATAGACCTCCAGATCAGGCCAATCATTAGCACCTCCAGCCACGAGCTCTCCAGCAGCAGCACCTGGTCATGGAGCGAGAGCTGCAAGAAACCTGAGAATAAGAAAAATACCTCATAAAAACTGTGGCACTGTCAGCTTTGAATGGTTAATATGACATTACTATGAAAGACTGGTAAAAATGTTGAGATGACAGCTCTCTTCCAAAATATGTTCAGGCTTGAAACATTGATTTGAGATTTTTTGTTACTAATGATTCTTCTAATGCTACTCTTCTCATTCCCTATGAATATGTATTAAGTATATATACTTTTATAGCAAATTATGTTTATATTGATTGGTCAACTTGATTAATAATTAATATGCCCTAAAAACTGTTAATATGTAATAAAAACACGACAAGAAAACAACATATGAGTTACAATACACTACTACTTAAGTGCATTCTGTATTCTGTCAATACCATTTACAGTATTGTGTAAAAATCAGTTTATGTAGTAAAAAAAAGTCCCCAAAACATTAACTAAAATTTTCTGTCTACACAATTAAAGGTTGAGGCTTGTAACAGGGTATCATTTATTATGGGCACGTTTTTTGTTGATATTTAGGATCACCACAGTAATTATGTCTCCTCCTGTAATCCTGGTTCTATCTATAAATGTGTGATAATTAGACAGGGTGGGCAGGCGCACTCTGTTGATGCAGTGAGTAGATGTTGCACTGACGTCCCACTCATCCAAATAAAATGCCCTGTTTCTGTCTGGAGGCTGGAGATGTGCACTGAAACATCTGTGCCCTCATAAGAGCAGGTCTTATCAGTGGTACTCAGCTGTCTAAATTCATATGTGATTACATGCAATTCACTTTCATTGTCCCGCTTTTCTGCTTGGGACCTTTGCAATTAAAACTGTGTACTTTTGGGCTTTTAGTGACGCACTGGGTTGTAATGCCTCAAGATCAGATTCATTCATTTGAGACTCTGACTGTTCTGTATGTGTGCGTTTGGTGCGTTTGTGTATGCTGATCCTGAAGTGTGCAACACTTTGTCTCGATGGGGTGCCTCAGATTGGCCAAACAGTGCTCTCAAAGGTGATGACAGTAATTACATCACTGTAATGGCTCTGCATTTGTGTGTCACATCGCTCTGCTGCTGCCTAACAACTCAAATAGAAAACAACGGAAAGCTTAGAAAAGCTGCCAAGCACTGTTTTAAGACATTCTATTTATAACATTTGTGAAGTTTAATCAATGTTATTGCTCACTTCTACTATTTTAGAGATGAGGAACCTTTTTATAATCTATATAAGTGATTCTTAGGTAGAAGACTGGGCAATTTTTAAAGAGATATTTTAAATAAGCATTGGTCTATAGCATTTTATTAATAAGATAAAGGTGCACTGTGTAACTTTTCGGTTGGGGAATTGTTTCTATGGATATGTAACTGCTCTGCTTAGAATATTCAACAATATGATATTAAGCAGATCTACCTTACATTTGGTTTGCTCAAAAATACCTATAAAAACAAGCTTTCTGACTGTGGGCAGTGTTGCCTCTCCACAGATCTGTCCTGTAACTTGGGCTGGTTTGGTCTCCATGTAGACAGAATGGTTTAATGCCATACTGTGAAACATTCTAGACAAAGCAATAACATCTCAATGAAGAAAAGCATTTGATGGACCCTCCACCAGCAAAGTTACACAATGCACTTTTAATACTGAATACCAATATGATAGTCTGACCTGGTAGTTTCTTGGCCCAGGTGATCATGTGCACCAGCTCTTTGTCGGCCATGCTGGTGAGCAGGGTCATGATGGTGACTTCTGTGTATGGTCGACTCATCTTCTGACGAGAGCAGAGCATCGGGGGCTCAGCTACCTGCAGCAACTGAAGCACCTGCGAGAAAAAGGCAAATACTGTCACTGTACTCATCAGGTATAATAGATTACACATAATTTGAGTGACTGGAGCGTGTGTGCTGGACCAGTAAACACATGCCAGGACTCACTTTCCATATAGACCAGTTACCGGTTTCCCACTGTCCTTACTTAGATCTTTTTTGTTAGATACTGACCTCTGCAGACTGAACACCTCATAACAGCTGGAGATTTATTCTGGTCAAACATGCCTAAAACTGTAAGCTTTTTTACACATTTGTCAAATTATAAATCATTTTATGTCAAAATGTGAGTGGCCATGATGTTGTGAGTGACTTTATGACTGATTGGAGTATATTGGTGTTTGTGGGTTACTCTGTACCTGGTCAGGAGACAGCCCAGAGACGACAAGCTTTGGTCCTCCACCTGATGTACTGTTGTAGTGCTTCTTGCTGTCCTGTTGAGGTGCTGTTTTGTGTTGTAAGTTTTTTGAGTTTTTGTCTCTGTCAGTCCTTCGCTTATCACGTCGCAAAACCCGACCACGGTCTTTACGAATACCTGCATAACAATTATAAACATGAAGGATGCCGTGCAGAATATCAGTACAGCACATTATATTCAATTTAATTATATTTCACATTAGTCAGGTATCAATAAAGACAATCACAAGTAAAATTTTATACTGTCCCAATTTTTACTTTTTATTTGTCAAGTGAATTAACATTTGGAATGGTTAATGGGTTAAACTAGTGTTGTTTTCTGGAATTTAGAGGCATGAACACAAATACTGAATGTGGGTGTGGGATTATGAGAAGCAGTACTCCTTAAGAGGAAACTACGTCAAGGTCAAGTTTGTTTATAGCCTGAGTTTGTACATGCATTTTGGCCACTTTCTCCAACAGCAGAAAGCAAATTAATTCACCAGGGCTGAGCTTTAAGCACACAAAAAAGCAAAATATGAAACAGAATAGGCAATGAATCATGGTTTAACTCACCTCCTTTCATCATCCCAACTTCGTAACACTTTCTAAGACGACAGGCCTGGCAGCTCTTCCTCCGATTCCTGTCGATGGTGCACTGATTGGTTGCTGGGCACATATAGTCATTGTGACCTAAAATGGAAGAAAGCCTATTACATTTTGGGCCCTCCATTCCTGTGTTCAGTTTTGATTTAGGTTATTTAGTAGCCAGGAACACTGTATTCCAGTTTTAAATGGACCTGAGAGGAAGAAAATTAAAAAGTGGCATCTTGGCATCATCATTGCCATGGAGACTATTGGTTTGTTAGTGACCGCTCTTTCATGAGGAAGAATTTTGGATCAATGTTGTAAAATGTCCTGTCACAAAAATGTCCTGTCACAAAAATGACTAAACCAAGTTCAGCAGCTGTGTTCAGTTTTGTTGCATGTACATGAACATGTATGGCGCGCACTCAAAATAATATGACTTTTTTCCCTTTCGTGTTTTCTCTTATGGTTATGTGTTTACATACATGGGTACTTTTTTTATTATTTTAATTTTTTGTAAAATTTGCTTATAAAAAAGTCGTTAATTTCTGTATACTTCACACACAGAAAAAAACAAAAATTTTATTTATATCTGTTGTGTAATGTAAGAATAACCAGTGGCCACTGATTTGCACCTAGGGCGAGACCCCCTCCTGGGCAGCTGCCCAGGGTGGCAAAAAGGAAAAAAATCTACAACTTTAAAATCCTAATAACATAATAATATAACAAGTATATAATGCTGCACACCCACCTTGGATGCTCCTCTTGAAGAAGGCCTTGCAGCCCTCACATGACCACACCCCATAGTGGTACCCAGAGGCATAGTCACTGCACACTGCACAAAAGCGAGTCTCTTTGGCCATTTCAAAGCCTCCAGGTCCGACCTCTGCCCCTGACCCAGGTTTACCCATTCTGAAAGCATCCTCTGCCCCACTCTGCTCCTCTCTCGACATCTGTTGAGTAGATGGTACACCGGACCTGAAAAAAAAATTGTAGTGTAACACAAAGGTTCTCACAGTGTCTTGCAGGTCAAATTCTGATTTAGCATGGTTAACTTAAAGTGCTGGTTTCATCTTGGTAGGAATCTAATTTTGACCTGTTTGGGGACAGATTAGCATTTGGGCACAGCATTAGGCATACAGTGGGACGGTGGTCAGCAGTTTTGCTGCACTTTATATTAACTACACATTAACAAACAAATAAATAAATAAATAAATAAAGCATGGACAAATACTTTCATTCATAATTAACTTAGTTTATTATGAATAATTCAGGCTTAACATAAAGAGATTAGGGTTAAAAGCTAGAGTATTAGTTATTAGTTACTAAGTCTGAATAATTCTTCATCAACAATTTATTCATTATGAATTGCATCTTTGTACATGCTTTAATAAGGTTATTAAAATTGTAGTTATGATAAAGTGCTACTCTCTTGCCTCAGAGCCAGAGCATCCCAAATTTGATATCTGTTCAATGCGAGGCCATTTGGTGCTTTGCTTATGGTCAAGGAAAAACTACTAACACACTTTAAACTACCTTTAAATCAACTAAGTCGAGATACAGGCACATAATTCAAAAACAGTCTGTGTGTTCACTTGTGTTGTCTTTACGTATTGTTCCCTGTTCAAGGTCTTCGACAAAGTCCTTAATCTCTGGAATTAGAAACCAGGGTGAAGCTTGATCCTTACTACAAAGATAATGCAAATGTTTTGAATAAAAATCCCAAAACAATGCTGTTATATAATTATATTCAGTTTGTGATGTACCAATGCCAAAAACTGAAAGATAAGACATAATGTGTTTCATATGCATAGTTTTTTATTTTTTTAATTAAAGATTGAAAAGTACAGTTTTAAATTAAGTTTAAAAAAAGAAAAGGAAAACTACTATCACTAAAATAATTGGGGGGTTTCTTGCACAACTCCTTTTTCTTACACAATCTGTTGATAAAAAATTGTGTGTAAAGAAGAGACCCTTGTCAATTATTTACATAAAGAAAAATAAATCAAATAGGTCAGTGATGCAGGCCAACAAATGTTTGAAATGTACCAATGTCAACATTTTAAAATTCACTTATAGTGGGGTGGAAGTGATGTGCAGACAGATACACCATCAATTGTAGAGATTAAAGTCACACAGCTCACCTGTAGATTAGTGTGGAGCTGGTCTCCAGATAGTGGTGGCTGGGTGGGTGCATGAAGGGGCTGAGGCGGGGGCTCGAGGGAACAAACACCAGAGGACTGTTGGGACCGCTGCCCAGGGATTGCAGGCTCCCGTCAGAGGGTGGTCCATGAGCGTCTATGGGCGCAGAGAAGTAGCCCGTGCTGGAGTGGCTGTACAGGGTGGGTGCCGGCGTGGGGGCTGTGTAGTCATATGTCCCATCCAGGAAGTCCACAGTGGTGACCCCTCCGGACCCCCTGCTTTCCTCTGGGTACATGCCGCTGAGGGGGTGAGGAGAAGGGGCTCGTGGTGGAGACAGGCCCTCCAGTTCAGGGCAGGTCCTGGCTCCGTGCGGTGATCTGCAAGGCTGCCTAGTCTCCTTAGTACTCTGCCTGAGCAACATCACAGCGAAGCACAACTGATAAGCAACATGATTTAGGCTGGCTCTCCCATTTTCGGGGAGGGGGAGTGGAGATGAGTCGTGCTCTCACTCTCTCTTTACCCTCTTTCTCCCTGTTATACTTCACTAAAAGATTCCACTTTCCCTGCACTTTTTCCAGATTCAAACCCCCTCCTTGTAATAGACTGCCTTCACACCCTTTTCCTCTGTTCCTTACTACACACCTCTTCCAAGTATGTATACATTTCCGTAGCAGAAAATAAATAAGACTGCACAAGGAAGTAATGCCTCTAAACTACCCTGTCACTATTCCCTGTGCTTGCATGTGCTATCCAGTAAAAGCAGGTCCTATTACAGCGCATTCATTTAGCTGCTTGAGAGCACACAGCCATGACGTGTGACCAGTCTATTTGTGGCCACATTAGAGATACACCTGAGACTTAGCAGCAGTGAATAAAAATCATAACGGAAACAAGAAACATTACACAACACAAACAGAAAATCTAAAAACAGGAACTGAAAACATGCACTCACCTGTTACACACAAATTGTCTTCATATGGCACTGTTGCTGTGTCTGTCTTACTGGTTAGATCCTTTCATCCCTCCGACTCGTAGACATCTGGCTGTGCACAGTGATCACAATGGGAGTAGTAGAAAGGTTGGAAATAAAGATAAACAAATTAAAGACACAACCAGATCGATACTTGTGATTTGTGCGATGCCAGGTCACCATAACACAGCAAACAATTTAAAAGGGGTCAAAATTCACCAACCATTATTTACACAATCCACGTCATCTAATGAGTACTTGTAGAATTAAGAGTTTGTTAAAAAATTCATATAGAAATGTAAATAATTTAAATTATATTAAGTACTGCTATAAAAAGTTCCTCTTTAAACCACAATTTATGGATAGATTTAAGAAGACATTTTATAGCACTTACTAAATTGACCTCCTGCATATTTCTTCTTTCTGCTTAATGTGGAGTCAGTGTTTTTCCTTGTTTTGAAAATTATATATGTATAAAAAATAAAAAGGAATTATAGCATTATAAACCATACATTTTCTATATTTTCTATGACAACTTAATCACAAATGTCCCACATCACAGATCACTTTTGGCAACGAGTTAATTTTCCCATCTCTTTGCTACATCTTCCTTGAGTAAACAGCCCAATTTTCAGAGCATGTCAGGTCAAGTGGAAAACAAGTAGGCCTGATGATATGTATTTTTGTTTAGTACAAAAACTGTTAGTCTTGCAGATTTTAAATTTTAGAACTATAAATGAAATTACAGATTGGGGCTTAATATGTGCTTCATAAAGCTTAACATTTTGATTGCATGAAACAAGATAGCGCTTTTTCAGTTTATGATTTTCTACAAATATTAATTGAAACACACTAGTGTAAAATGGCAATATAGACCATAAATGTTTACATGGGACTTCTGACTCAAAACAAAAGAAACAAAAAGAATGATTCACTGTGCCATTTTATTTGATCAGACCCATGCATTATATTGGATATTACATTGATGGGTATGTGGGAACCTGGATGATCTAACAGAGACAGCTAGACATCAGCTTTTATCTCTAAAGACATTGCAGTCTGGTTTTCCATAAACCTCAAACCTACTTTGTGGCCAGGAGTAGGAGCAACATTCTAAAACAAAGATTTATCTTGGCCTCACATTTTATTTCTAACACTGCATTTAATAAGTAAACATTAAGCACACATTTGAATATCCTAATTATTGATATAATTCACCATTTAAATGTATCAAAAATGTCTTTAACCAGTCTCAACCCTTTGGCAGTAAGATGTATACAGTATAAATTTTATTTTAAAATTTCCTTATAACAATAATTGAGATTATCAGAGTTTTCAAGGTTTTATGGCTTACAGATAATACTTGCTCTAACGCAATCAACTGCCGTTGTATATGCAAAAGGCAGCATTTTCTCACTGTTCTAAATGTGGCCCATGAAACTGAATGACAGCGTACTTGCCACTGGTCATCCAGTTTGGTTCTTGAGAGCTGAGCTTCTCCCCTTGTCCTGGCTGCAGGCCCACTTGCACATTGGCTTTTAGAGTTCTCAGGCTGCAGAGAGGTGAGGGTTCAAACCCTCGGAGCGCAGTATCAAAGCTGACAGTGAAGTTCCAGTCTCTGTCTCCAGTTAGCTTCCTGTAGTTTAAATCCCCTTTAAACAACACAAGATCTGCTCCTTTCAGTTTTGCATACAAGTCTGGAGCATCTACCGCCATGTCACAGAACTCATGAGGCTGTGTCCAGAATGGATGGTCATGATAGGACCACACTCCATCCTCCAGGTACTGCTTCCACTGAATGGCACTTTTAGACATCCACATGTGATTGGATGCCAAGGTCTGTCTGATGGTCCACTCAAAGTCTTTAGCAGTGACATCAGAAACAAACCACGGAAAGGATTTTCCATGAAAGTGGATCTCACTGGCCAAACTAAATGAGACCAGGAAATCAGCTAGCACCAGGTCAGTAACTAATTCAAAACCAGCGTTGTCAAGAACAATGTCAACTCTTTTTCCAGAAACTGCAGTGCTTTTGGAGGAGGTAAGAGCCACCCATACCATATCCGAATCATCCACCAAGATGAAGGGTTTCAGATTGGGGAGGGCTTCAATAGGACTGTCTTTTTGGGAGTTCTCTTGGCCTGCAGAAATTGAAAGATCACACTTGTTCCCCCAGAGAGACACCTAAAAAACATACAGTATATATAATGTTACAAAGAGAAAGACAAAAAAGAAATAAATTTTAAATGTTTACAAACCTGCAGTAACTTGATGAAATTATCAAATAATTGATTTTTCGAAAGTCCATCTTTATCCTTTTTAAGTGTTTCCAGATACGTACATAGAGCCATGATAGCTCTCTGAGACTCAAAGTAGCTCTGAGTTTTTCCTTCATTAAAAACATCAAACTCGTTTATGGGAGGACTGTAAGGAAAAGTTCACATACACTGTAAAGTCAATAATATATGTAGAAAAGTATCATGGGTATTGCAACTACATAGGTAAATTTATATTACTTGAGCCAAACAGCCTCTTGTATTCTTCGATACATGTAGCATTCCACATAAAGCCAGGGAGACTTGAACCAGCTCACAGACTCCTTACCCCCCTGCACAGTCTGATGTCTCTGCAGGTACTGGTTCCATGCGTCCACATCTCTTAGCCCATCTGTGAGCTCTAGTATAGGTTTGTCAGTTTGAACTTCATTCCTTAGTTTGGACAAGAATGATATTGCTTTCTTTTCTGCTTCGAATCCATCCTGTGTGAATCAAAGAAGAAACCATCTCCATTAACTCTCTGGGTCTGGATACATGTTTACTATATGATAATAAAGCATTTTACCTCTCCATATTCCTCAAAAAACTTATTCTTGTTGCGGTGAATCGTGTCTATTACTTTGGTGAGGATAGTGGGCATTCTATCCTTTACAGTCAGATAAGCAAATGACCTGCAGGATAGGAGTAATATTATTATTAAGTAACACTGCAAGTGTAGCATTAAGCCCCCAAAACAACTGAGCTAAAAGTGACGAAGGTAGATATGTTTCTACGAATGAATGAAAGGCATGGCATTTGTATTTCATAAATAACTCAGGTGTATTCTGATGTACGAATAAAGTTAATTGGCTATTATTAAACTTCATACAGGAGGTGTGTGGCTGTTAGCTTGTGGCTAACGTTGCTCTCATTCGTGGTCCATTACATTTCTCATTTCTTTCGAGACGAGTTGATGCAAAATTACTCAACTCTTTTTTGCCATGGAGTAGCTATTTGACTACGAGTGTGAGACACACGTTCAAAGCTCCTGTCAACAACATACCCGACCACTTTAGCAGACAGCGGAGCGGCTCCGTGCTTAGCCATATCCGACGCCATCTTTACAATGTGAGATTATTCAAAACAACTTTATCAGTATTGCAAACCTACACACAAGATTTTGTCTGATTGTATTGAGACGCATCAGTCAAATAAATCTCATATTTTTATGTTGGTTGCAACATTTTTTTTAGGCAACTTGCGGTGTGATTAATGCTACCCTAAATGCGACACTGCCATCTAGTGGCAGTGAAAAAAACCGGTAACAGTTTAATGTAGGCCAAGCGTCGCTGCTTGAGTGGTTTGTCGGGTTAGCTCTAGATCCATGGGTCAGCCCCACCACCCTTTAAACTCCGGGAGGAGTCCAGTCTGTTGGTTGCACATGAGGCTGCATGGCGTCGCTTGGGGGGAAACCTTTCATATGGAAACGTGCTCAGCAGGAGTGGGGGCGGGCGGGAGGCTCCAAAAGAACTGCAGTTGCCCTGAAATGTTTAGTGACAGATGAAATAGACTGCATGTATTTTACAGACATTTTTATTGTTTAGGAATAATAATTGAAACTCATAGCCAAGGTTATAGGTTAATGCCTCGGTGTACACCACAGATAATACAATTTCATTTTAATATTGGGACCTGAAACCCTCACTTAAAGCATCTTTAAGGCTGTTTGGAAAGCATGGCATGACCTGTTGATTTTACGCACATATGCTTGGGCACATTTGATTCCCCTGTTTTGAGTCTTCTTCATGCGGAAAGTGTTCAGGATGTAGGAGCTTCACTGGGTGTCCAGCTGCGTCCACCTCCGGTGCACCCAGACCCCCCTCCCCCCGACTCCACAGCCGAGTGTTTTTCTACCGACAGAGCGGTGACTCACCACTCCGGTTTCAAAACAACCAAGACTGGGGGAGGGCCGCAGTTAACGTACAAGGCCTGTTTAAACAGGTGTGGCCTAAAACTGTGGACTTTTTGGCCTTGTTGGTTGTGTTTAGTGCAGCACGCAGACCTTCCTTGACAGTTCAAAAATATGACACATTGGTCTCGGGACATTAACCATTTAACAATTCTAATTTACTACTTAATTACAGGCTTTGAGTTATCTTGCAACATGCAAGCATGGGAATGGGGCTGAGAGATAGGCCTAGGGAAAGGGAAGGCTCAGTTTTACACATCTCCACAGGTTAAGACCTCATGGGTTTCAGGCAAACAGGTCCTTCCTGATTTCAAAGACTTTGTGAGGACCCATTGAGGCTCCCATTCAAGAGATAATGCTATAATATTTTCAATTGAATTGCCTAATTGCTATGCCCACGGAGGACAATTGCCATAGCTAGAAACCAGTGTGCCGTTGGCCTAAAGTTTGCCTGGTCTCCATTCCATTTTTCTGGTATAAAGAGGTTGGCTGAGTAGGCTGGGAAAAAGTAGGCATATGCTCATCCATGTTCCAACCTACGAGGGCAAAAAGTAAAAGTAATATTTTTTAAATGTTGCACATAAAAAGTAGGCCAACACATGAATTAAAGAGTTACAGGCTATAGTGGCCTATTGGTATCAGGTTATTTACCATGTCTGTATTCAAATAGGGCCCGTGGGGAAAAAATTAAAAATAGCTCACCCATGTTAAAGGGTGCTCTCCAACCTCATTGAAAAGTGTTTGCACACCCATTAGGGTTAAATAATGACATGGGAAAGTGTTGTCATTGCATCACAGCACTCTCTATCAGTTTGGTCTTGACCCTTTGATCTTTGTCACATTCAACCGAGAAGCACTGAATCCCAATACAAGATCATGAGAATATAGGATATTTGCCATAGGTAGCCTGTTTGTTCAGCCCTGTTACAACGTAGTTGAAAAAAAAGTGATTATTATAGTAGTCAATAATCAGTGATTCAGAGTTTTCATATTCATGTTCCCCAAGACTTTCGCATACACCCTGCACGACACACTTAAAAATCTCGGCTGCATGATAGGTTACAATATTATAATCTATTCTAGGCTATATTCAAATTAAGCATTGGCTTTACAATTATAATAATTAGACTATGGGGTACACCTAGGTCCATTTGGTATACCCCTGGAGGTACTCCAAATAGCAAAGGCCTATAAGATAATGTAACCCAGGAATAGGCCACTCTGAAGAGCCTCCAGAATGTGAATCTAGCGAAGAAGACCATAACCCAGTCAGCTTTCATTTTGAAGTACATCCTCCTATGATACACAAGACAACTGCAACAATGACAGGGTAGCCAATTAAAAAGTAGCCTATAGTCTATGCTGAATAAAGGGTTAATTAGACCTAATTAACATCAAGTGAATTGGAAGTAGCCTATAACATATTGCTTGTAGTGACGTGCTATTTGTGGTTTTTACGTTTACTTTGCGTGTCTTATGATTTAATAATATAAGAATTACTTAATAATACAAGAATTTTGTCTATCTTACAGGAAACATAGGTTTACGCGTGGCTTGTCACCATCACGTTCTACAATCAATATCCTACTTCTATTACATGGGCTATTTTAACCTACACAAAAACTTCATAACTAAGTTAGTAGTTTAAAGAGTTGTGCGGCAAGCTTAGTAACGAGTAAAACTAAACTCTTCTCTAAAAGCCTGACAATTGTTTCTTCTGGCGGCGGTTACAGAGTGCGGGAAATTAACGACGGCTCCTCCACCCCCTGCTTTGCTCAACGGATTTCTACAACGGCCAGAGTCATGTGATTGTAACGTAAAACCCCCAACCGGAAAACACCGACGGACGGACGACCCTCTCCGCTCCTCCGCCGCCAACGAACGCGAGGAACAGTACGAGCTGCACCGAGCGCAGAGCGGACGCACGGGCGGACGAGTCTCCGGTAACAAACAACGGCGACGAGGCAAAATCCACGGTCCCCGGCGAGCTGAAGGTACGGCTGTGGGTTTCTAAGTGCCATCGTGTGTATTTAGTTCAAGAGTAGCTGTTTGAGTCCTCTTGTTACTCGCGTTCGTCACAGAGAAGTTAAAAGAAACGCATTCGTGACCAACCCATCCCCCTTGCGTGTCTCGCTCCTCAGCAATACGTGTGTTGCGTGCGCGCACCCGCCATCGAGAATGTCCGCTTTATAAGTGGGCTACAAACGCGTATGATCAAGACAGTTTTGTAAACGAAATTGTTTTCACCCCGAAGCTCATTCCCGTTATCCACTGCCTTTCCAAAGACAGCCATTCTGATCTAGAAAATCGTACTACGGAAGTGGCCGATCCACGTGTCTTTCCCAGGGGCGGTGCTTTCGGAATAATTTTGCCTGTTAACTAGAATGATGATCACAACTTGGGCTTTATCAGCATCTGCCTCTCTACGTGTACAAAGTGTTTTCCATAACTAAGACAAAACAATAACAATAATAATCGGTTAATGACATTAGCCCTAACAATAGGTCTAATAATAACAGTCATCAAATACTACGCCTATTTTAGGCACGGGATGCTGTTATGACTGCGGTGTGCAACATAGGTTATGGATAGAGCTTTTTCTTTTCTTTTTGCATTTTTCTTTTTTTCCTTTATTATTATTTTTTTTACACAGTTGTGGCATTTTGCACTGCAGAATTCCTCTGTGATGTGTGTTTAACCCCTGTTGTGGTTTATTTATATACTAATTAGGCCAAGTAGGTTAATTTGCAAAGAGTTTGCACTGATGGGGGTAGAATCAGTTTAGGAATGGCTTAGGAATGTGTGTTGACACACGGCGCTTTGATCATGTGATGGCTTGAAGCTTCTATTGAACTTTAGGGTTAACAACACCCATCAGTGGACCACAGAGTGTACACAATTAATCCAAAATATTCCTCAGTTCAATGTAGGCCTAGTATACTTGGGGTTTATTCAGAATATTGTCACAACATTTACCACACTGCACCCTGTCAGCCTCTTAGTGGTATCATCTGAGTTGTTTTTCCATGCAGGAAGCTGTTTGTGGCTAAATGTGCTTGTGTGTGTTTGTGCAGGTTGAAAATGGAGCTGGCCAACCATGGTCTTATCCTGCTGCAGCAGCTTAACGCACAGAGGGAGTTTGGCTTCCTGTGTGATTGCACAGTGGCCATCGGAGATGTCTTTTTCAAAGCCCATAAAGCAGTCCTTGCTGCATTCTCCAACTACTTCAGGATGCTCTTTATTCATCAGGACAGGTATTGAGCAGGAGTCCTATCAAGCCTTGTTTTTGTCACTATAGTCCATACACATCTTGATATAGAATTTAAATTAATTGCAATTAACTCCAGTCTTATTGCTTACTGTGATGTTTTATCATTCGAGTCTTACCTCAAATTACTAAATGTAGTAAAAAAGTAAAAAAAAAAAAAAAAACATTTGTTATTTAATAGAAGTTAATTTAATATAAAGAAGTCAAAATGATGTGTGGGGTCTGTAAATATTTTTGTAAATAAAAAAAGTTTGAATTAAAAAAAGTAAATAAAAAAATTTGTAAATATTTTTGACTTAAGTTGTCAATAATAGAATTCTTTGTAACAGTGTCTAATAAAGCTATAAAATATCTTTTGTTTTTAGTGACTGTGTGCGCCTAAAAGCTGCCGATATCCAGCCAGACATCTTCAGCTACCTCCTGAATCTGATGTACACAGGCAAACTGGCGCCGCAGCTGATCGACCCCTCACGGCTGGAGCAGGGGGTCAGATTCCTGCATGCCTATCCACTTCTACAGGAGGCAAGCCAGATGTATTCAGAACACAGCGTCAACCTGTCCACCTCACTCTATGGCATTCAGATCTCTGACCAGCAGGGGGGGCTGTCTTCTCGGCTGTCCACTCAGCGACAGCTCTCCTCACCTTTTGAAATGGAGCAGCCCAGCTCTGAAGGAAAGTACGAGTCCACGCAAGCAGCATCTGCAGCGTTCCCAAGTTCTTTTCCTTCCAAGTTTGCTTTGTCTCCTCCAGAGACAGAGAGTTCTGTCAACAGAACAGACGCTGCAGTGGAGGAGGGAAGAACTGACTTGAACAATTCAGACGGTTCCTCAACCATTCTCCATGTAAAGCCTAGTATTATGAAGAGAAACGCATCGTTTAGGAAACATTACTCGTGTCATTTATGCAGAAGTCGATTCACTCAGAGAAGTCTTCTAAGAGAGCACCTATTGCAGCACACCCAGACTCTTCACCAGTCCAGTGCTGAAGTCTGCACTGTTCAATCTCCTGTCACCACAGAGGAGTGCACGATGGAGACGGAAGGGGGAGCTAGAGGGGCTGCTGCTCCTGCTACAGTGGAGATCATTAGTGACAGCGAGCAAACGCCTGTATCAGGCACAAACTCTGACTCTCCCCGGGCTGAGGTGTCCACCTCCAGTTGGGGACTGGGGGGGCTGATTTCTCAGGCGGACACCCCACCTCCATCGGACATTGCAGACATTGATAACCTGGAGAGTGTGGATATTGACCGAGAAGTAAAGCGAAGGAAATACGAGTGCTCCACATGTGGACGCAAGTTCATCCAGAAGAGTCACTGGCGTGAGCATATGTACATTCACACAGGCAAACCCTTCAAATGCAGTGCCTGTGGGAAGAGCTTCTGCCGCGCTAACCAGGCAGCACGCCATGTGTGCTTGAATCAGTCGGCCGATAGCTACACTATAGTGGACCGCCAAAGTATGGAGCTGTGTGGAGGGGATGATCCAAGCCAAATGGAAGCTATGTTTATGGCATCATCAAAGCCCTACAAATGTAATATATGTGCAACCACTTTCTCCAGTCCCACTGAGGTGATCAAACACCTGTGCTTTGCACAAGGAGGGGTAGTGGGGCTGCAGGAAAACGTTGGAGGCGGAGCAGACCTGCAGCACGAAGAGGTCTCCAAAGATGAAGGCTCTGACTTGTCCAATTCTGGCATCCCACTAGAAGCCATAAAGAGTGAGGACATCCTTGTGGAGTAGTGCCAAAATATCGATTTCTCCTTGAGATGTTTATTTTCTAATGTCTATTGGCTGATATTTATCAGCAAGTGTGGACAGGGTAGAAACATCAGGCCACCCCTAATTTTGTTATGAAAGCAATAGCTTACATTTTTTAAACAGACAAATTAACCGAATGCACTGGTCTCACTGTTGATGTTGAACCAAATTGAATAACATTTTATGCCAACAGTCTGGAGTGAGAGTTTTAGGGGCTGAGAAAGAGGAAACAGACACTTCCTGCAGTAACATGGTGTGAAATGAGCCGACTGTACGGACAAACAGGTTAATAATACAAAAGTAAATAATTATCTCCATCTTAACATGCAAACTTGAGACAATCTATGTCTTTTGTGAAATTATTCAAATTGTCTTCCTCATTTTGGTTTCAAGTAGAATTTCTTCATAAATGTTAAATCTGCTGAAGGAAATTCTTCATTGTATTTTCCCCATCTCCAATTTCAGTCAGCACATCATTATCTGATATGCATTCTGGCAATTTTTGCATGGAAAGATTCAACATCAACTTTGGAAAATTGCCTTGTTAAATTGATAAATTAATTTGAAAAACATAGATAATACCTTATAGATAATACTTAACTGATATTGATAAAATTATATTCTTCCCTTGAGTTTTTCATAAGCTATAAACAGGAAATATACTACTGATCACTTAAAAGGGTATGGTAGTTTTTAATATCTTTAGTTATGGCTAATCTAAATGTTGGGGGAAAAGACTAGCACTGAGCATCCCCTCTATCATTTATTATTGAAAAGTGGGGACTAATCTAGTATGTATCTAGTTTAGACATACTAACATTGCATTACTTTTACTAGTTGCTTTTTATACCAAAGCTTTGAATTGCCTTTATATAAATGGTTACTCATGACTAACCCAAAATTATGTTTTCCTCAACTTCCAGTTTAAAAGTGTGATTTAATTTGCATGAGAGTTCATTTTGAGCATACTGGAAAGCACAATAATCTGGCTTCCATATACATTTATATTGAAGTAGATAGATGGCGCTCTTTACTGTAAAACTCTTTTCCATGTAAGCGCGGAGCCCACTTCACAGATCCCAAGTATGTGTGACCTGGGTGACTTTTGATTTGTGCTCTTCCAATGTTGTCACCCAGTTCAAAAGTAATTCAATTCAGTTATGTACTACTGATATTCAGCTTATGCCTTTATTTTATTTTTTTAATTGTCCATCAGTTTGGTAACATTGGTTGTATATTTGTGCATTGAACCATCAAAGTATCTCAGGAAAAAAGCTATATGTTTTTACTATTGTTAATAAAAAATAAATCTTAAACATCCACAGTACTGATGTGCATACTTTTCACCAATGTTCTACCAATTGTGGTGCATAAAATGAACAACAAACAGCTATTTTTTGTATGTGTGTACAAACGTTTTAACATTTTAATGAGGCACAAGCAGAAAATGATTTATTTGTGCTCTCTCTTACATTTCATAAAATTATTTTCTTTATTCTTCCTGTTGAAAAATTCTGTCATTAGTTACATTATTAAAAGCTAAATTATGATAATTAATTACAACATAGGTGAAATAGTAATACTTATTTACATAATACACAAACATAATTCTACTCTATTTTACATAAAGAGAAATATAGTTACCGGTCCCAAATTATGGAGAAAAGTTATTAGTGCCCATTTGTTATTTTTAGTAATTTATTTATTTTTTGTTCAGTTCAACACCAACTGGCCCTATACCAATTAAAACAATAGATTCTTATTCCATTTATTACATACCTACAGTCACATGTCTGCATCGGTGATAAAAAAAAAACAAAAGAGAAAAGGAGACTTCCCTCTTAAGAAAGTCCCCTCCTTCCCCCAATGAATTTTAACCTTGTGACTTGAGTTTGGTTTGTGGTTTGTGAAGTGTCTTGAGAGATGTTGATTTAATTGAATGCAACTGATGTCTCATAATATAGGCAATGGAAAAAACATGACTCCCTGATTCATTGTGATTTGATTTGGGCTTTAGGATAGGAAGGGTGGACTTTTCATTTCTGTATCATGCTAAATCTATTCCAAAACATTTCATGCCTGGAGTGTAGTATACAAAGCATCTGAACCAGATACATACTGTGATACTTCATGCTGGCAACAGGGGGAGTCAAGTACTGTATTGTTGATAAAAGTGCGACCACATACACAAATGCAACAAAATCTGGCATGAAAGTATTGTTTACCAAATAGTCATGAACAAATTAGTTATCATATTACTTTATTGTATCTTTACAATATTATGCAATGTGTAACAATGTAATTTTCACAGTAAATCAGGCAGTGATTGTTTGTCATATCTACAGAAGCTTATGATACACTATTTTTGGTGGGACGCAGCACATTGTGACAAGTGTCCAGTCTTGCAGGTATTGAAATACAATATCAAACACCGCTTATTTAGATTTTTACAGTGCTATTACATATTGACACACCTGTACCGTGGTTCACTTATATTTGCTACAAACAATAAATGAATATGACATTAAAAGTTGTGATGATACAGGTGGCATCTTGAAGATTTTGTTAAAATAACGTTTCAACTGCCATGGGGATACCCAATGTATCACAGGTAAAAACAAGTGAATGTCCATACAATAACAAAATAGGGCAAAAATGAAAAAATAGAAGTTGAATGACGAATAATCAATATAAATACAATATACAAGATAATAATCCTCTGTCTCTTCTCCATTGGTCATAAATCTCACTCTCGCTACTATACAACCTCACACATACTGTATACACAAAATACACACTCCACCAGGTTTCTCCTGATTCAGCAAAGGGCACTAGAAAGCCACTGAACATGACGTCACACTCATTCGTAAGCCAGATGAGATGCTTTCGGGGAACAGGACATGCGTGAGTGTGAGAGCCAGTGGGGATGGGGGAGTTGCAGGAGGATGGTGGTCAGGGCAGGGGCAGAATCAGTATCTTTTACTCTCTGGGGCGTGATTTCCAGAGCTGCAGCCTTTCACACTGTCTCTCCCTCATCACTCACGTCTTCCTGGTCCAAACTGTAAGTCGCCCAGGCACATGTTTTCTGTCTCCATCTGCAACAGAGAAACAAAAACATGAATAAATAATGTTCAATCACGAACAATTAACAATTTCTTGCTACAGATAGACATATCTATCTATCTATCTATCTAGAATACAAGGTCAGATAGAGACAGAGGGATATATAGTTATAACATTTGATACTTTGAGCCTATGTTTAAGGGCAAAAGGTAATGTCTGCACATGTAAAAATGCTGCTTCTGTAACACTTCTTTTCCTATTAAATTCCTCATGAGAGATTTCAAGTGACCCTTTATATCAAGCAGCCCTTTATATCATGTTGCCTTATACATTGAAGGTATAATTCAGTCAAAATAACATAAAAGTCCCGGTTTGAGCTCTTTGAGGCTTTGTAATTTAATCTAACAAATGTGTACACCGACATGGTTCTTGACTCCATACTGAGAAAGAAAACGGGAGGAGGCAGAGGAGGAATCATAATCAGTCTTTCAGCACAAGTTCATCTGCCCCTCACACACACCGCTTCCCTTTAAAACCCACGGCCTACAAAGAAGGGGTCAACGGCGGCATTCCTGCTTTGATATCAAAGGTCCCCTAGTTACTCATAGTCTGAACAAAAGCTTTTTCATCTGGTCAGTGGGTAAATCCCCTCCCCTACTCCCCTAATAAAACCAGGGCCCATTGATGTTTCAAAAAAGCTACTATGAGAAGATTGCTTGATATGCCAACAAAGGAATTTTACAAAACAACTACCTTGGTTCTCACACTAAAACACATGTACCATTAATAAAGGGGCTGCCTCACCTACTCACGATGCTGCTGTGATCTCTGTGGAGACTGGTTCTATTTCCTTCACGGCCTCCTCGATCACCTCGATCACCTGGGCCATGACCTCGGCGCATTTCCCCAGTGGCTTCTCTGCTTCTGGTTGGCTGTCTGCTGCTGCTGCCGCCTCTGATTCTTGGGGTTCCTCTGACACAGTAGACAGCCGTTCAGATACTTGTTCTGAAGTTTCACCATTTGTCTTGATTTCTTCTTGAGCTGGGGCATCCACTGGACCATTTGTGTCAAACTCAATTGCAGCCTCTTCTTCCACTATTGGTTCTTCAACAACTTGTGCTGTTTGGAGGACCACCTGGACTGGGATGTGGAGTTCTAGGGGTTCGGGCTGTGTCTCTTCTTCAACTGGATCCGTGTCATTTTCTTTCTCTTCAGCTTCTGCCTTCTCATTGCTCTGTTCTGGTTCATCTTTCTGACTTTCTTCCGTGACCTCTTCTTTCTCCTCTTCTGCTGCTGTCTCTTCACTTACTTTAACCTCTTCCTCTTGCTTCAACTCCTCCTCTGGCTCCTTTTCCTCTTCAGTTAAATCAATGCTGCCTGTGATTTCAATTGGAATTGTGTCAGTAACTTCCATAGCAACATGAAGAGTTTTGGTGAGGATTTCTCACACAGGATTGCAACTGGAGTGTCTGTGACAACTGGAGTTTCTGATTCGACCTCAATATCTTTCTCAGTTGTCGCAACTGCCTGGTCTGGGGTTGGGACAGTAGAGGATGGAGTGGTGGGTTTTTCAGATTCAGGGGCATCTTCTGAAACTTTGTCCACAGCCTCTTGGATGACATTCTTGGCAATTTCCATGCTTTGTGACTCAATTGTCTCTTGAACTCCTTCCCCCTCTGTTATTTCTTCCGTAGCCTTTTCTACTGCCACAGCAACTTCTGATTCAGCAACTTCATTCACAACTGCTTCAGCGACAGGCACATTTTCAGCCACATCTTCAGTGGCAGTAACTTCTTCAGGGTGAGGGCTGACAGGGGCAACAAGGACTACTGTTTCTGCAATTACAGGGACAACTTCACTGGGCAGGACAAAAGGAATTTCTGGCTCAGTTTCCTTTACGGTGGTCATTGTGCTGTCACATATGGTGGAGGATACCTCTTTGGTCACAGCTTGGACTACCTCTTCAACTGGAGTGTTTTCTTCAGTAGCAACAAGCTGCTCCATGTCCATCTTGACTTCCTTGGTCTCTAGAGTTGGCTCAGTCACTTCAACACTTTGAATACACAACGCAGCTTCAGATGTTGCAATAATCGGATCAATAACCTCAACTTTAGGTGAATTTTCGCTAGGTGTAGGTGGCTGGATAATTTCAGATCCTTCCATTTCAGTGCTAACAATACCAGCTTTCTCAATATGTGGCTCAATACCTTCAGTGGCAACTTGAATGTCTGCAATGCTATTTGCTGTTTTTTCTACCATGGGTTCAAGTTCAGTGGTATCGACTTGGTGGATTTGAGCTTCAAGGACCGGATCTTCAGACATGGTGGCTTGTTCTGCCATTTCTGGTTTACCCTCAATTGATACTTCAGTAGCACAGGCATCACGAATTACAGCCATACATTCTGTAATCGGTGACACAGGCTTCTCGAGAGTGACTTTTGCGATCTCCTTGGTTCCCAGACCAGTGCAGATAGCCATAGCCTCATCACGGGCATGCACCTCAAGGATGGCATTGGTCGTAGCATCAGCAGTTTCAGTTGGGGGCTCATACTCAGTTGTTTCAGCAGCGGTTTGAATGGGAGCATCTTCAACAGCAACAGATGTCTCTGCAGGGATTACATCATTCTGGGCTTCAACAGCTTGGAGAACTTCCTGAGCATTTTCGGGCTCTGGTTCTTTGGGAACAGTGGCTGTTTCTGAGGATGGAGCAGGAGCGACAGGTTTGACTTCAGCAGTGGACAGTCTGCGGCCAGAGCTGACTTGTTTAGGAGACACAGGGGCTTGCTCTTCATCTTCTGTTATGTCAGTATCCACCGATTTGGGGGTGGCAGCGCTCTCGGCCTCCTCTGGGATATCACTTAGCTGGTCTTGTTTGTCATCTTCAACTGCTGCTGAGATCCAAGATGGGGACCTCTCTTCAGCAGCACTGACTTTGGCCTGGACAAGTTCTGCATTGGCTTCTTTTTCGGATTCAGGTTCAGCTGGTTCATCATATTCAGAAAGAGGGACCACTGCTGGAGTGTCAGAGTCCTCTTCACCAGAGCCATGTTCTGTTGAGGCTTGTTTTTCGGACTTCTTCTTTCTACGCCCAGGGAAGAACTTCTTCAGAAAGAAGGATGACTCTTCTTTTGGGACTTCACTGTCGGACAGCACTTGTTCTCCTGCCTCCTCTGATTTTTCATCACTTTTTGTCCTCTTCAACGTCACCATGCGTTTGAGTGTATCCCAGGCAGAGACAGGAGGGCTCACGGGTTCAGGA